ACGCATGGGCGCCGCTACAGGTCGCAGCCACCGCCCGTCTCCCGTCAACTGCCCGTAATTAATTAATAAATAAAAAATATATCATCTGTACGCACTACTTCACTGTGCCAAAATTATCGTTCATTTAATTAGCCATCGGCTCTCTGTTGCCTATCTGGCAAAATATTAGCATACCTATACCTAATTAACCCTAGAAAAGCATGAAAGTGCATCCATTATTTTCATAACACGACAGCAGCTCAGTTGAAAAATTACAAGCCCACCTTAGCACTCCGACAAAGCTGGATAATTTCCAGCAGCTCCTCCAATGTCGCTCCGCTTCAGATTTCAGACTCGGTCTTGATTGCAGTTATCGGACGATGACCACAATGCAGTATTTCACTTATTATTCACTTAGTCACTCATTACTCAGCTTATTATCGAACTAGATAAGCACCACAGCACTGTTTTATCTCACTGATCGCACAAGAATGGGCAAACCCACTCTGCGCACTGCAGCCACAACACTCCCCCGCCGGCCCCCGCGGTCCCCGGCGCACAACTGACAGATTGCGAAAATGGCGCCGCCGCCGTCAGCATATAGCTCAAAATTTCGCTAAATTTACACTGGTTGACGTAAACGAACGGTGCTCTGGATGTGTACCGCAATTACCAGTGCGACACAACACTTATGCGCGTATGGATACACTTGCTTTGCATGGAAACATATCAGTTAGGTATTTGAACATCTGTTATGCTGTTACATTATCCTGTTTTGCGTAAAGATGCTTGTGTGGTGTAATAAAACTGCCGATGTTTCTTAGATAACCAATAAACGTCGTATAAAAACAAACTTATTCTTGACGCCTTTACTTATTATGGCGTTGTGCGACGATACCTTGCTTATTTATCACGAAAATACTTAAACTAAAGATATCTTACTAAGTGAAGCAGAACTTTGAAGCTAATTGAACTATTTACGAGTATATTGAACTTGACATCGCTCAATATTTCTGTGTGTGAATGCATATTCTCTTAGTCACTGAATTGAGAAAGCATAGTATTTGGATGATTCACTGGGCTCATTACAGTACTAGGAGATGGACATTCCGATTATTGAGGGCCTTGAGTCAGCTGGGAATGTTTTGAGGAGGCTGGGGGTGCTTTAAGAAGGCAGGGGGTGCTGAGCTCAGGATTGGGGGTGCTTGAGCACCCACAAAGAGATATAAAGTTACGCTTATGAGTGGAAATATCTGGCAGAGCTGAAAATGGGCGATAGGAGCCTTTTCAGTCCGCCTAATGAGCATGGGAGTCCATGGTGCTGTTTAACACGTGCTCAGGCGGACTGATTCGTGTCGGTGAGAGAGGGGGTAACTTCAAGCACAAGTAAAATACACGATGGACGTTCCTTCACATCGTGTCTGCATGAAATCAAAATGTCCCAGAATGCTCGTCATCCTGGCATATAATTTTGCCAGATATATTTGCATTTTAACCCCACTAGACCTCATTACTTTTTAACAAGTAAAAAAATCACCCTGTAAAATAAGCTGAGCCGTATTAGCTACCTAATTCTTGCAACATTTCTGTAGTGCATCGGAAGTCTTTACAAATGACACTCATAAACAAACAAAAATCGACTGTCTGGGAGAAAGAACAAGACTCAGGCCTTAACTTTGTAAGTGATCAAATCGACGGAAAATCTGTTTGATAACAGTTAATATACTTTGTGTAGGACAAATGGCTCGGATGCAGAATTCGAATGCATGCTTTGTTTGCGGAAGGGTTGCTGGAAATTATATAATCGATTGGATAAAACTTTTCCACATAGCGTTTTTCATTCGAAGGGACCAGTTATGGCATCATGACAAAACCATCACATGTCATGATTCCGTCGTGTTACTGATTTATAAGACAGTATCCACCCACGACAAAATTGATAATCTCACCAGCGATCTCGGATCTCACCTGATCCAGAAGGGAGTAAAAAAACACCCGGATCTACCCACCTACGAGTCGATAGCTGCGCCGGTCGGGATTCACTCCCGTCGAACCCTCCCAGCTAACATCGCGGTACAGACCGCACGTGCCGTCCGCGTCCCTGCTGAAGGCTCGACAGAGGGGTAGATGGCCGCAGAGTACTCCGCACTGGGAGTCGGATTCAGAGGGTACTTGCAGTTCCAGAGTTCCGTTGATGGTAGATCCGGGCTGAAGCTGAAATACACCCTCGGTAGCGGAGGTGATATAGAACCATCCGAGGGTGGAAATGAGAGGAAAGAGAGTGGGAGTAGAGAGCGACATCATCTTTGGGTGGTAAGTCTCGGGATGTTTTGAGATGGGTGATTGAGACAGGAATCCACAAGAGGAGCGCTGGTAGGGTCTTTACAGGGGTAGGTTTTCGCTTGAAGAGATGCGAGCAGAACCAGTCGAGGATGGCAAGATGCTATGAAAGAATCGTTAAGTACATGCAGTAGACTTGCAAAAGAAAAGGCCTATGGGAAAGAACAGGGAGCAATGTCCCTGCGGGCGTTAGGTCGGGAAGTTGCCGAGGGAGTGCTGGACTTGGGGGCGGCCGTCGCAGCGGCCATCCATAAGAGTCCATACACGTTGCCTGGATACCGATACGAAGCCGAACAACGGAACAACAAAAGGCAAACGGGAGCGACGGGCAGCTGTGACGCCACCGGAACAGGACATAAATCGAAGGCCCAATAGCAGATTAATTGAACTGTCTCGGAAAAGCTATGAGGCCAGGTGGGGCAGCATTGTCCTTGTTTGCGAATGCAATACAGGCCAATTATGAGTCGGGTCGGAGGTAACGCTGTCTATTCATTCATTCATTCATTCATTTTTTTCATTTGTTTCGAACCTATGCATCATTCATGACGTAAAACCCCTGGACTTGGGTACCTTTAGGGTCATATATTTTTTTACCATTTGATTGTTTTTTTTTTTTTTTTTAATGCGCGTTAAAACAAAGGCGAAATTAGGAGATCATGACCGCAAGACGACATCTGAATTCTGTTTTGGTAAATATTCATTTTGATTTTGTCCTTTGATTGTTTTTAGACATTCCAATCTCTGACCTGACCTGGAAGGTTAAATAATGACTTGTGACCGTAACATTGGCTCGTAAACTTTTGCCTCGTAGCGAGCAAACGCTTGTTCAATGAAGACGTGGCCCAATCAGTGGCCGAACAGCTGGGAAGGGGAAGGGGTCCCTTTCCGACCGACCGACTCTCTACGAATTGATTGAAAATGGGCTCAAAAATAAATTTGAAAGGGGAAAATTCCCCCTTCCCCCTAGCCGTTCACGCACACTTTGAAAGGGGGAGCGGAATTTTCGAAGGGGGGGAATTCCCCTTTTCCACCTTTAAAAGTTACCCTGAATAGGCCTAATGTGAGTTTTCCAGAGAAACAACATGAACTCGGGAGAGCGACACACTGTCGACTTCAGAAAGTTTTGGGCTATCCCTCCAGCTTTGCAAGCCACATCACGGATGTGGGCGTGAAATCTTAGCGAGATATCAACCTTGACGCCCAAATCCACGCAACTGTCAGATGTGGGAATAGGCTGGCCACCAAGGAGGTACTGAGGAGGTGGAGGGGGATCCCTGGCTCGTAGGGGGTAGAAGCGGAGCACAGTGCACTTTTTTGCGGTTCATGTTGAGCCCCCAGGACCTGGCAGTGGAAAAGAGGGCATCAATATCAGCCTGGATCTGCGGGAGGGTAGCGTATGGTAACAACGGGCTGGACTGGTGACGGGAAAAGGAGGCGTAGATTTTAAGGTCGTCCGCGAATATTTTGTATGACGATGAGAGGTTAGGGGCGATGGAGTTGATGAATATCAAGAACAAGACTGGACCAAGTACCGACCCCTGTGGAACACCGTTACGTACTGGGCGGGGGGAGCTCTGGGCTCCATTCACCAGCACACTCATGGATCTATCGGTAAGGAAAGAACGGATCCAACTCAGGAGGGAGGCGCCTGTAGGATCCGGAGTGGCTCCACGGCAGTCATGGCCGAAACCCAGGCATCTCAGTTTCTCCAGCAGAATCTCATGGGAGACCACGTCAAAGGCTTTGCTGAAGTCGAAGAAAACAACGTCAGATGTTTTACCCTCGTCAGTTGCCCTCGACACATCATCGTATACCAGCAGCAGCTGATCTGCCGTGGAGCGTCCTGCTCGGAAGCCGAACTGGTCGAAAAATGCTTTAATTCGGAGATATGGAATTTCGAACTTGCAGTTTTTGGATTCTAAGGGGCTCGTTTCACTCGTGCATTAACACACTCGCGCTCCAATCCATCCACGTCGTTCGTTAAAGGGACACTCCCTCCCACCTTAACATTAGTTTTGAGTTGAGATAGCCAAATTGGTGGCCATGGCCTGCAAATACCGGTTTGGGCACTCACAACATCGACAAATGCTTTAATTCGGAGATATGGAATTTCAAACTTGCAGTTTTCGGATTCTAAGGGGCTAGTGCATTGGTATGCCCCCTTAGAATTTGTGACGTCAGCGGAGATCTAACGATTTTTAAATCTTTTACTAAAACGTTTGGTAGCACGCGGTGGTATATGCTGCTTTGCGCGCAACAAATGCCGCACTTTCAAATAAAGTCGCTAGGAACAGCGGAGATCCCAAAAAGTAAACAAAAGTAAAAGTCTAATTACTAATATCTTGAAAACCGGTGAATATTTTTCGATGCAATTTGGTCGATATTCGTTTTCGCTCTTTCTGAACCGAGCGACATCACTTTCGTGCCAATTCATTAACTTTTTTGAAGGTGGGAGGGTCCCTTTAAAACCATTTACACACGGGAAACCACGTGTTAATATATCAGCCTCTGACGTCACACGCTCAATATTTTGAGCGCTCAATTTTTTGAGCTTTTCCCCCTTGTGCGTGGGACTGATATAATATTACCAATAAATGTTTCATTTATTGTGTCATTTAAATGCCACAATTGAAGCTCCTTCATCCACACCGGCTTGCGTTCTCTCATAATAAAAACACCCGTAGGACACAACAGTCTTTATTATCCAGCGTTCCAGGTTCAGTAGAACGTTGATATTCAGAAATTCCATCTACGCAAAACACAAGAACCAGACCCCAAAATGTCTTTCAAAGAATACCCAGAAAAAAAAACAACAACCATAGCCATTGATAACAAAAAGCATATAAAATATCATGCACCACATATACGTGATGCTTTCAAAATAGATGAAAAAGCAATTTATATATAAAACTCACGATGAGCTGCAACTAAATTCATAACAAGGTCCATATGAAACAAATAACCACACGACAGTGGCATAGTCAAGGGAATGCTGAGGGCAACCAGAACAAGTGACCGTTCTACTCATACCAACACTCAGAATAGGGTCATATGAGCAGTTCGGGCGCTCCCCGCCAGATGCCACTAGTGTTCCCACCCGGTTTACGTCCCAACACAGTCATCGCAAAGGCATGGCCACGGCGAGGTAACACACTTCGCCACATAGCCCATTTTGAGCGAGAATAACGGGTCTAACTGGACGGGCGCAGCGGACGGGACGCCTTCAGCAGTTCCGCCACCGGCCGCCAGGGGCGCCGTCAGCGCAGTTTCAGTAGTTCCTCCACCTGCCGCCGGGCGTCGCTGGGATCGGTCACAGAATGGCCCACTGTTCTGGGATCCTCGTAGATGGCGTGATCGTTCCCTCCTGGGCTGGTCTTGTCACCGAAAAAGTGGATCGCTGAAACATGGGGAGGAGGGGCGTTATCGCACGTTCAACGTATTTACCCTGTGATGGCATTGCTTGCTAAAACATTTCTATCAAAGATTGTGCAGACTTTGTAACCACTTTGATAGAATAGTCGCGGCGGTCTGTTCACTGTTCAAAGACAAAGGTGACGTTGTGCTTCGCCATAACTCCTCGTCCTCCCCACTTATCTGAGCTCACGTCAGATAGAACCAGGTCAAAGTACAACAAGGGACGCCGGTAGACGATGACAGCTGCAGATGCTCGATAAGGAATCATGCCACGAAAGTCACTTCTTAAAACTAATCATCTGTAAATGCTGAAAGTCAAATGTCAAGTCATGCTTTCCTGCGTTGCATGCTCAGGGAAGTCACGCAACTGGGTGCAATTGCGCTAATTGAAACATGGTCAAAGGGGGAACCAGCACCACTAATACAATGTAAAGCAATGTCCCAAAATTTGTCGATTTGGGTGGGAAACGACATCCAAATGAAATTCATTTTCCACTCTCACCACCATAATTTTTAAGAACAATTTTCCACTCCCAACCAAGAAAACCTAGATTTTTACCTATAGAAAGCGCAGTTGTGTGGATGCCCGGTTGGCGGTTTAGCATCAAACATCCTACACCTTAGAATAAAATGGGACGCCATTTAATTGCGTCCCAGAAAAGCTATTTCTGGCACCCTAAAAGCTGACTCGCCCCAAAATTGGTCCTCAGCACCTATTTGGTGGATACCAGCACCAATCATGGAAAATGACCTTAATTAGCTGTTTCTGGCACCTATTCATCGGTACGCCTTACTCTTTTTTCTGAATCTGGCACCTAAATGCTGAACGTAACACCAATCTAGTAGAAAAATGAGCTACTGGCTGGTAGAATCAGGTTGTTCTGGTATAATGACCCCTGGAGTCTAGCCTAAAGGTTGCCAGTGCAGCTACACTCTAAGACAGCCCCCTAGTGATCTCAGAATTGTATATGACGTTTAAGTAAGCAAATAATATTGATTTGTTTGAAAAAAATGTCATTTAAATATTTAAAAGTATTTATTTGTAATGCTTAAAGGGAAACATTTTTGTGAGTAATTGTCTCGATTTTGACCATTAAAACGGTTATTGTATTTTTTGACGTCATCAAATAGCTCCAAAAAAGAAATGTAATGTTTTCATTCCGTTCAAGGCCGCTGAAGAAACGCGGGATCTTGCGTGGGACATTGTCCGTTGTTTGCCGCGCAGAGTTGTGCCGTGGTTGTGCCTTTTTCATCTGTTTCTTACTTATGTGTGCATGAAGCTTTGATTTTGTTTTTGGTTATTGTGGGACCGGTCAGTCAAACGCCCCTGTAGAAACCGGATGCTGCGTTTGATCGAGATGGAGTCAGACGATGATTGCAGAAAGCTAATAATATTGAAAAGAGGGCCGGTTGCGTGGCATGTCTGTTCAGAGTTGACATTTTGCTTTACTCCAGTTTATGACCTGAGAGCCTGGCTGGAAGTGACGGATCCAAACTTTTCACGTTAAAATGGCTGAGGGTGCAATAATCTCTAGTCTCTACATAGCGGGCTGGTATAGGAGCGTCTTGCTATGCTGCACCATAGCTGGCTAGTGATTCTCTTTTGGCTAGAAATGGCATTAATCATTATCTCCACTGGCGAAAATGGCACTTGACATCACCGAATGCAACGTTCATGTTTGTTAGGATACATAAAATCAGGAAGATTACGCGAATTAGGTAGGCAAACGTGGAATAAAATAGGTGCTGGATGTTTTGGTTTTGGTGCTGAATCAGCAAACAGCAAATACGGAGTTCAACTAGACGATCTGGCAACTTTAGGCTGTGTGGAAGCAATTAGGTGCCAGATTCAGATATTAGGGTCGAATAAGCATTTTGGGGCTGATCAGCAATTAGGTGCCAGAAACAGCTTTATAGGGACCAGAAACAAATATTCCCCAATAAAATGCATGTTTTTGGTCGTTTTTCACTCTTTTTGGATCTAATCGAATCAGCAGTTTTTCACTCTCTCCCCTCTTTTTGTGGCGTAATTTTCCCCTCTGACACCCAAGACAAAACTCAATTTTGGGACACTGATGTAAAGTATCGAAATTAGATTTCGAGTCGCGGTTTCGGGATATCTTTCACTTTCCTGCATGAGTTATTTTTGTGTGAATAGAAAAAAAATAACGCTCCCACACAGCCATGAATTAGTCTACAATGGAAATACAAAGCAATGACAGTAAAGCAGCTAAATTCACGTTGCGATACAGGACTATGCCGGACAGAAGCGCAGCCAGGATTAAATTTCGGAGGGGGCTTGAAGTGGTGAGGGCGCCAATATCGGCTCAGGAGGGCGCCAATTTCGGCTCAAGAGGACGCTATAAAATACAAAAAGATATAAAATTGCACAGCTGGGTGCCAGTGCCGCATGGTGTACCGCAATGGAGCTAGCTTACCGTCGAGGGCGCCTAAAGTGCTGGATTTGGGAGGGGCTAAAGCCCAGTGTGGCCCCCATTGGCTGCGCCCCTGACTATGCATCATTCATTCCTTAACATAGAGACACGGGGATATTGGTTGGCACAGTTCCTCATTACACTCCACGGTCCATTGGATTCAACAGGACTGGAGGAAAACTGACTACACATTTCCTGTTTGCTATCAATGGCGCGTCTAATCCAGACGTATGAATCACCGGTCAAACTGGCCCGCGCATGGCAACAGAAGGCTTAATACGGGACCCGGATGTGAGCAAGGGACGTCATAAAAGTTTCCCCGGCAAGGTAATGCTCATATACCCCATATATGCTGAGTACTTGGTGTGGGTTTGACATCATGCATAAATTGTCCGGACTCCTATCAACCGTGTATTGACACAGTCATAAGCCCACTTCAAGGGAATATGTAGGTATATACTGCATATGAATAAAGCACAAAGACTCAGATGAGGATACAACCACACGACCCAAGCATGCGAACCAGAACGTCATTAAACTAATAAAAAATGGTAATAAAGATAATAATAAGAAACAGGGAAAGATAAGAATGAAAAGCAGCGGCCAGGACTCACCAAAAATGCGTCAGTTACATAAGAATCGTTATCATCCGTTGTCTGCCCACAGTTTCCGTAAGTACTCACCCTCGAAACCCTCCTTTTCGACGAACTGCAGTGAGTACGTCTTATCCCACCCCCGCGGGAACACATCGACACTTATTTGACCACCTGTAACAGAGTTCCGGGTCACTCAGAGCATATCAGTCTGTCAGTAGGCTATGTGAGGCAGAGGGCAAACACCGATTGGTAGGATCAACGTTTATCGGAGTAGATGACGCGGAAATCCAGGGAAAAGTGACGTCTTTGACTGCGTCACATCACATCCGGAGCTTATATCCCTACGGGGCTTAGCAATTCCTGACGCAACTTCAGTGAGTTGCAAAGAAATGGATCATGATCGATTCAGAAAACGTTTGTGTTATAGTTCATAACTCTAACCATCACATAAATATTTTCCTAACGTCCCTTCTCTCCCGATAATTTTCTCCTTTCCCTACCCCTATATCTTTCTTTTCTCGACCCCTACCTCTCATTCTCTCTCAACTTTCTCTTTCTCCTGCTCTTTCTATTCAACTCTTTTTCTCTTACTCTCTTCTTACTCTCTCTTTCTTCCCCTTCTCTTTCCCCCTGCTTCCATCGTCCCATTTGCCATACGACTCTCTTCATCTTTATTTACCCTGAAAACTTTTCTATCAATTTTCCGCTTTCTTTCCCTAAACCTCAGTCACTCCCTCTATGCTTCTCTCTTCCATCCTCCACCTTACCGATGCAGACACTGAGGTTGGCGTCTCTGAACTCGGAGTTTAGCGCGGCCACTAGGGCAGACCTCACACCGTGCTCCGTGTCGTACACTACAAACGCGTCCCGCTCGGCCTGGCTGCAGCTGCGGCCGATTGGAGAAATGTTGATCATACCTGGGGATATAGGGGGAGAATGTGGGGTTATGCATGGAGACAATGACAATTGTGGTACCTAATTGATAAGTGGGATAATTGATACTGATATAATCATACTCAGGAATTTAGAGGGGAAATGTTATACGTACCTGACAGAATGGAGGGATAAGGACTATACCTGCAAACGCAGAGGACAAGGGGTTATACCTGGGAACACATGGGAAATTGGTTAACCCGCGCGGGGCTGGGGTTTCCAGCCGAACGCGCGGGGCTGGGGGGTGTAAATTTTACCCCCCCCCCCCTGTTATCTCCCGAACTAATGGTCCGATTTGGAAAATTCAAACGCCAATCGAAAGATCTCATCACGAACAACTAAAAACATGTACTTAGTTTAAAGGGACTATCCCACCTTCTAAAATGTTGTTAAAATCAGTTAAATTGTGCCCGACTTTATAGATTGGATGACCAGGAACACGGTTCTGGCATTTATTTTTCATTAAACATCTTAGGAGTTAGGCTTCCCATATTCCAAACACAAACTTTCAAATATGTGACGTCACAGCCCAAAATTACCTCCTTCCCCAGGCCACATTACTGTCATAAAGCTGATTCTTTTTACTCTGTAGGCACCACAACAAAGTTCAGACCAAGTTTTAAGCGATTTTTCAGCGAACAAACCCATTTAAATCAGAATGACTAAACGAGGTGACGTCACACTAACGGTCGCTCCATGTTGAAGATAGGGCCTTGTACAAGGCCCATTTTCAAATGAAGGGAACGAATTTCTTCAACACCAAGAGGCCGCGGGGGTTGCAACCTAGATAGATAGTGGTTTCTGAACCTCGCCGCAAACTTGGCTATCTCAACTCAAACCCCATGTTAAAGGTGGGATAGTCCCTTTAAAGTTTGAGGTCAAGGTCAGGGTCAGGTCAAGGGTACAAATTGCAAGTTTCTAAAGTATCGGCCTTGCACCGTAGTTGCCGAAGAATGGAGTCATGGACTGAGACTGATTGCCCAAAACGTGTTCTTAGGCTACCAAGACAATATTCGTTGCATACAATATCATTCAGAGGTCAAGGTCAAGGTCAGGTCAGGTCAGGTCACCAAAAACAAAATATAGAAAAGGGCATGTGCGACACATGTTTTATGGGTCATTTTACTCATAGAATTCAATAGGCACACTCAATAAGTGATATGGACCACCTCTGGATGAATTTCAGGTCGAGGTCAGGTCAAGGCCTAGCCCCCAGGCCTAGCCTGAACAGCCTAGCCCCCATTCGGAGGGTCAAAGTGCGCAATCCGACGGCGCCCCCGGTGACAGAGAACACAAAAGGTCTGATGTCACAGCGGCGCGCGGCGCTCCGGGCCGGTGACCGGGATCGTTATAAGGACTTAAACCGACAGGTCAGGTCGGCTGTCCGCCGTGACACGCGCGAGGAGATCGGCCGGCGTATAAGTGAGGGCGGACCGAGCTCCATGTGGCGCAATGTGCGGCCGGTTATATCGGGAAAACGGCCGACCCGACCACTACCGCACGCGGACGTGGACGCGATAAACCAATACTTCGCCAGTGTCGGTACCTCCACCGCCCGACAGGTGGACTCTGGTGGCCCGCGGCTGGCAGTGCGCCTGCCCCGTGTCAGCACCGGCCGGTTCCAGGTAGCGCCTGTTACACCGGAGCAGCTGCGGCGCGTTATCGGCCGGATGGCGAGCAGCACGTCGTGCGGGGCGGACGGACTGTGTGTGCGGTTCATCAAGCAGTGTTTCGACTCCATCTGTCCTGTCATCACCCACATTGTCAACACCAGCATCAACTCCCACACCGTCCCAACATCATGGAAACTAGCCCTAGTCCATCCTATCCAGAAGTCGCCCAAATCCACTGACCTATCCAATTTCCGTCCCATATCAATCCTACCAACCATCGCCAAAATAACCGAACGTGTCGTTTATGAACAGCTTTTTACGTACTTTACAACCCATCACCTTTTCTCCTCTAGTCAACACGGTTTTAGATTGAACCACTCGACCGACACAGCGTTACTCACTGTAACTGACAGAGTGTTTGAGGCCATGGACCGGAAAGAGATCACCCTTCTGTGCCTTTTAGATCTATCAAAGTGCTTTGATGTTGTACCTCATGATGGACTTCTGAGAAAATTGGAGCTGTACAATGTAGACACTCGCTGGTTTAAGAGCTACCTGGCGGACCACTACCAGCAAGTAGTAGCTAGGAGCCAGCGAGGCTCATGTGATCTGTCGTCGCCTCTGCCGAACCCGATCGGAACTTACCAGGGGTCAGCGCTCGGTCCGCTGTTGTACAGCATCTACGCCAACGACTTGCCGCTGTATGCTGATGACGCGTGCATAGTGCAGTACGCGGACGACACTCAGGTTCTCGTGAGTGGCAGGCCCGGAGACATTGGTGCCCTTGTTAGCTCCATGGAACGTAATCTTTCGCAACTTGCTCACTGGTTTGGCAAAAATGGCATGAAAATCAACGCTAAAAAAACACAGCTCATAGCTCTCGGCACTCGACAAAATCTTCGACAGGTACCAACCATTTCTATCAAGTTCATGGGCACGACTGTCTCCGGTTCTCTCATGGTGCGGAACCTGGGTGTCGTATTCGACCAATTTATGACTTTTACCGCGCACATTGACGATGTGGTTCGGCGCTGCACAGGCATTTTAATCGGTTTGAGCCACTGCCGTCATAGTTTACCTTCTGCGACGCTCACAACTCTAGTCCAATCTCTAGTCGTATCACTTATTCGCTACTGTCTTAGTGTCTACGGAACCTGTAACACCACACAAACTGGTCGGCTACAGAAAGTGTTGAATTTCGCAGCACGCGTCATCTCCGGGCGTCGAAAATTTGATCATGTGAGTGACGTCCTTCATGAACTGCAGTGGCTTTCGGCGCGCAATTTACATGTTTTTCACACGCTGACATTGTTAAAGCGCATTCTGTCTACCTCTCAGCCCGAGACGTTATCCGCCAGCCTCACGCTTCGACGACATGTTCATCAGCGCGACACGCGACAGAACGAGCTGCTGAATGTGCCTACCATTAGATCAGAATCCGGTAGGAGACGCTTTTTATACTCAGCCGTGACCGCTTTTAATGACTTACCACAAACGATTCGCGACCTAGGCCTGAGCCCATTTAAAAGAGAGCTGCGGAGGTATTTGCTCCAGCAACAGACCGATGCCGGCTAGTGACGACCCGCTCGCGGGAAGTGTGATTGGGTGTGCGTTTGTGAGAATGAATTCGTGTACGATGTGTGTGACCAACTATCCTTATTTTTTAATTGTGACCCTGATCCTAGAATAGCCACGCTTGTGTGGAATGGGTCTATGATGTGAAATAAATAATAAATAATAAATAAACAAGGTCAGGTCAAGTGAGGTCAAATTTTGAAGTTGGTTGTTAAGGCCTAAAAAGGCGTCTATCTGATGCAGTTTTTCACGGCGAATCGAATGGTGCTATTTTTGTTTCCGTACGAGGTCTAGAACTTCCAAAAAAATCATTTTTCAAAACTTTTGTGTGTCGTGACGTCATAAAATTTTGAATAACTCCCACATTTTTGAACCGATTCTTCTAAAAATTGGTATGTAGGTGCACATAGACCACTTCTCTGACATATATTCCGGTTTTTTCGATACTCAAAATTTTGGATTTCATAATTATTTTCCCAAAAAGTCAGTTTTTTTTAAATTGGGCCAAAATCCAAAATTTTCAAAAAACCGAGATAGCCATTTGATAGACAAAGTAGAATTACGCATAACCTTTTTTGTAACGTCTTGATTCCTTTAAAAATGAAGATGTTAGCAGCGTTTGAAATTTTGCCGTTTTTGAGGCGAAAATGGCGAACATGACGTCACTAAAACGTCAATTTCTCAAAAATTTTCCGACAGATTTCGCTCAAATTTTCAGGGAACGTGTCAAATTGATGTAAGAAAAGGTACTGAAAGTTTGGCGGCGCTACGCGCCGCCGTTTTTGAGATATTGCAAAAATTCGCGAGGGGGGGTAAAATTTACCCCCCCCCCAGCCCCGCGCGGGTTAATAGCCGGGAACACACGGCGAATATTTTACAAACGCCAGGAAAACTTCGAAAAACCTGGCCATACGGACCCTAGCTCATCAGCCACCACCCCTCGCATTGATTCAGGAGAAGCAAGGGATATATGTTAAGTTAAAAATGTGACATCCAGCATTTTCGACATATTCCCCGTTACGGCAGCACTATTTTCGTAAAAGCACCTCGATGCAATTCAACTAGCTCGGCGACAAATCCAGCATGAGCTCACCGTTCCTGAACTCGATGAAGTTGCCTCTCTTCAGTGGCAGCTGCACCTTGCTGAGGTAGCCTAGTGTAAAGTTGATGAAGCGCTGAAGGAACTCATCGCCCAGTTTTCCGACCAGGTCCGCCTTATGTATCAACTCGCCGCCTGTGGAGCGGAGAAAAAGGCAGAGTGAGGTCCAGAGTCCAGACATATGTTACAATACATGGCACAGCAAATACAATATAGAGCAACATAGAATCAAAATGAAATCATGATGGAGCAAGGTCAGGTATGTGCCTCTTAGACGCGCCACGTGAGTTGTTGTGTGCTATACTGAACCGAATAAGGAATCGCTAAAAAAACATGACAAAGCGTTGGTTTATATGTTTATATTAGCATATCCAATCTGTACAAAAATCTATAGTTCGTTTTTTTTTCAAAAGGACGCTGGCTCAAAGTGCAATATCGAAGCTCTCACGTGCGTTTTGGCAGCTTCAGTGTCTGGCCAATAGTTTCTTACCGAAAAAATAATCGATTTCAAATAGTGCACGGTAACTAGCTGAAAATTGTTTTTTTTTAAATGAACATACTATGATGACGTCACTGGTGGCAGCAGGCACCCAAATGTCCGTGCAATGGGACAAGTGTCAACGAATTTGGGTGAAACTTAGTTTTTCACTGTTGCCGAGCATATAATCGAGTAAGCGGTTCCGTCCATGATAGTTATACGTTACATTGCAATACATGTTCGACAGCATGACGTCACCACTGTTCCCATATCTGGTTCCAAAACGCACATATGGAAATTATCGGAAAGAAATCACATGTTAAAATTAGTCGACGTTCGATTTTCTCAGGTTCAGTTTTTGCTCGTTTTGGCGGCTAAAACACGTGCTTGTTCGAAAAACATACTTGGAGCCAGCGTCCTTTTGAAAAAAAAAAACGAACTATAGTACCCAAAATATCGACATCAAGATAGTCACTCTCGGACGGTCCATGTCCAGTCCACGCTTTACAAGGCATGCGGGCCCGTCGTCACAAAAACCTGCAGCTCCGGTCATCACGTGACTTATTCAGGACCGGTCCACGGTTTAGAGCCCCGTTAGCAGCACGAATCGACACTATGTGTCGGGCAGAGGGGCCTGAGTCGCTACTGACAACGCCAGGGCGAGGGGAAACTGGGCTAATGTTGGCTTGGCAGGCTCAATGAAAATGCAACGGGCGGCTCGAGGCCCGAAAATGTAAAAACATTCACGTAACTTTTGTGAATAGTGGCAAGTGTCTACGTCACTTCTTAGGGCAATGGCATATTAAACGCAATAAGAACAGCCCTTTTATACTAAATCACTCGTAGATAACTTTATGCGGCGGAAGTATAAACAATAGGTTCGGTCAAAAATGCCCAGCTAATTCGTCGGTGTTTTCGTAGGAAAAGCACCATAAAAGACACCCAACCACCCCAATAACCTGTTTCACCCTATCTCAGCACTTCCGCACGTGCCGATGACCACACGAACCCCCTTCCCTTCTCCCCCCCCATACCGGTAATAATCGGTAACAGCCGGTAATAACCGGTGCCCACCCCTAGTGTTGGCCCCCGCCCGGTCGATGGGGTCTCCTATCTAAGGGGCGCCCGACATCCGAGTAAAGGTGTCCTCGGGACATTGACAAACTGATGGTAACGCGGTATACCTCAAATAACATTGGATTTCACAAACGTCGACAAACATTAAAAACTAATGTTACGCGTACAACATATAATAACACTGCAGAAAAATCGAAATCAGACGATTATTTGATTGTCAATCAATTATCCCAAATTTTCACCAGCAAATGAAACTCTATCCACCCGAGGCCACCTAGTTATTTTCAACCGTCCACCCAAGCCGGCTTCACAGCAGCGCTACGATCGATATTGCAGGACTCAGGAGCCGGGTAAGTGCCGAGGTCGGTCAACTGTTGCCAGGCACGCCATTCCTGAAATGGGCGCGGTCCGGCAGGCCGGCGGGCCATGGCAGGTCATCAGGTGAGGGGGTGGCCCGAAAATGGGGTCCGATTTGAATGAGATCAATAAACAAGGTATGCTGATGAATGATGATGAAGCGAGGTCAAATCAAGCTAAAATTGCAAGTTGATAGAGGAGGATCAAAAGAAGGAATGAAGGTAGGAAGAAGTACGAATTGGAGGAGAAAGGCTAATGCGTCAAGGAGCTTGGCTGTGCAGGGCCTGAACTTGCAACCCGTGAAATAATTATATTTAAGTTACCAAAAGCCCATATGGAGGATTGCTACCGAAATATCTGACGGCTTACTGGCCATTGAAGGTTCACACGCTGTAACTACTCTAATAAACCTTTGAAGGTTTACAGGCCATTCTCAAACTCACCTTTGAATGCGACCAGGCCGTTCTCTGCGAACACGTACTCGCACATGGAGTGTACGGCCTTCTCGTCACCACCTGCCAGCTGCTGGCAGATTTTGGGCAGGTCCGAGCCGCCCACCACGCCGACACAGGCGTGCTCGCGCAGAGAGCTGAGGAACCCGGTCATATCCGGGGTGATCTCCTGTGGGTGAGGGTTGAAGAAGTCAGCAGTAGGTCAGAAGAGGTTGCAGTCACCTTGGAGGTTATATGCAGGTTAGGTCAAGCGAGAGGTCATGAGACGAACAGTGTGATGTCAATACTGATGCGATGCTGGATATTAGTGGAAGAGGAGTAAGTCACATTTAATTCATTCTATACATCAGAGCATTGTCATGATAACATTTTGCATCATACTTATAGCAGAGTAGCCCATTCCCACAAATTCAATACCATTCTGTCGAAACACGTGACTTTAATCCAGCGCCTGCAACGCCAGGCGGTGCTTTCCAAATTAATCACGTGATTGTCGATGACCTCGGAAGAGGCTCACGCTACTTCAGCCCCCCCCCCCCTCCCCCACCGTCACCCGACCCCGACCTGGCACGCGCAGAAATCAATGCCCCTAGCCGTGGCGGACGCTGCGAGGTCGATTCAACGCTGCCTCCTTCGGACCAGAGTAATAAACAATAAATATGACAATTTGACAAACATAGCGACTCCCGAAACGGGAACCTGAGAAAAAGCTTCGATCTATTCTTAGAACTCGTCTTCGTCATTCGTGAATAATATATCTATTATTTAGCCTTATATTGAGTGTTATACGATCAGCTACCTGGCATTGTGACGATGAACCTTACATCATGATTAGCATACCCGTCACATGCTTGTTGTTAGCCGTTCAGCCTATTATTCATCCATTACGGGCCTCTCAGGTATTCATATCCAAACACAATGCCCGTGCCTCCCTGCCTTCCGTCGGCTAACATTTGCACACCTGACTAGACTGTCTGCACCGCTACCCTCCCCCTCCCACACCCCTCAGTGCCCTCTACTCAGCTGACCAGCACGGGGCGTGGCTAGGATCAATAGCCACCCAATTGGTCCAGACTGGTCACTAGTCACCGGCCGGCTACCCGACAAACTTAGATAGCTAGTCGTAGATTGATGGATTGAAAATAATTTACCGATCGTGTTTTGATCGATACGGTCACGTGTTTTGTTGAGCGGATCACAAGCAAGGCGTGTTGTTTATCACTTTCAGAACTCCGCAATCAACAAGTTTAATTGCTAGGGGACGCAAAAACAGAGGCGCCCATTACCCCGCCGCACGTGAGGGGAGAAAAACTCAAACGTTCGAGTAATCATCACGGCGTCAAATCAGGCACGCGCAGCGGGTGTCATGGCAACCTCCGCCACGCAATCCACATTCCTACAGCTCACGCATCGTCGGCGCAGCCATGAACAAAGCCGAGTCCAGCTACCGTCAGCACCGCCGCTGCCGCCGACGGCATCGACACCGTCCGCCGACGACCGGCGGGGACAGGTATCGACGACCGGTGTGCCGTCGGTGGCGCCGTAGGGGCGCGTCGACGACGGTCCGGCGAGCAGTGGCGTGCCTCCGGCGGCGCTGGACGGTCGGCGGGGCCAAACAGGAGGGAAGACTCGCCTGGGCGGCCGTGGTGTGCGCAGGTCAGGCACGGCGGAAACCGCTGGTGGCTGGTCGAAGGGCTGGCCGGAGGTAGCTGCTGAGAGACAGCCGCGAGACCAGGCGGTCTCTTCTCCCTCTACTCCGTCAAGCTGAGTAGAGGGAGACAGAGGAAGAGGGCCGTCACTGACACCGGCCGGTCAGCCGAGCCCGTGCACGCTGCGGCCGCCGGGCAGCAGGTCGTGACCTTAGTGAGGTCAGGAGGATCCTCCAATCAGAGCGCCAAGGGCGTCCATGTGCCGGAAATAAACGAAGAAGGCGCCTGCTAAGTCAACGACGAAGAACAAGAAACTCGTGCTGGAAGTCTTAGGTGAGATCACTTCAGAGAACTTGACAACTACAACCACAGTAGAAAACCGAGGCCACAACACACACTACAAAAGTGACGCTGTACTTCAAGACCGGAACTCGTCATAGAAAGTTAACCGAAGTGAAAAAGTATCAAGATGAGTAGCTCGGGAGGAGTGCAGCGGCCCAATTTTGCCGATCACCGCTACCAGGAGGCGGTGGGCAACTTGAAGCAGCTGCTGGCAGACGGCGGCAGCTACAGCGGCCGCGGCTCCGACGCCGGAAGCGTCCGCTCGCGCGCCCGAAGTGTCTCGCGCGCTCTGGATCCAAGCATCATGAGACCGGAACTGAGCCACTACCGAAGTGAGGTTGGCTCCTACAGACGCCACTACTCCGCTTCAAGAGTTCACACATCCAGCCACAGAGGAGATACAACCAGCTACCGGTCAGGCTTGACCAGCTACAAACCGGATCTAACCAGCTTCCGACCGGAAGTGACCAGCTACCGACCGGATGTGACCAATATCCGGCCGCAGAGCGCCATGGAGGTAGGCTCTGCGCGGCGGTTCGACCCGCTCCCGATGGGCCCCGGCTCCGTACGGGCCCTCTCGCCTGTATCGGTGAGGTCCCTCCGACTAACAGCTGACGATCACCTTCAGCTGACTGATGACGTCATTGGTCCAGACGCGGTGGACAGCACCGGTGGCGGACATACCAAACTGGCTGACAACGGGAACGTGGGCTCCAGAGAAATACAGGTGAAACTGCTGCATGAGACCCGCCTAACATCTTGCTTGACCTTAGTTGACCAGTAGTCATCTAGCGTTTTGTAAGGATAATGTTCAAACTTCAAAGAGCAATGTGTAGGATGCATCTAATTTTGATTTTTTACAGAAAAATGCGATTGTTTGAGCTTAGCCAGCGTAAGATAATGATCCTCGAAGAACGAAACATGTTCTAGCCATCCGTCACCCACTTTCATCAGGTGCTGGAGCTGCGTCAGCTCTCGCTGCGCCAGGAGGCGCTCTGTCAGCAGCTCGAGGAGGAGAACGCTGAGCTGCGGGACGCCGCTGAGGAGATGCGAGGATACGTGCAGCAGCTGGTCGCCGAGAACGCGACGCTCGCCGAGGACCTCAGGTCAGTGCAAGGGATTCCGAGTCTGGGACGATCAGGGTCAGGACTCCGTTGTAAAAGAGATGCTCAGATCAGAGATAAAAGCTGAAGGGGCGGGATGCTGGGTCAGTGAGTCAGGGTAGACCAAGCAGAGCCTCAATGGGAGAGTGAGGGTAGACCAAAGACAAAGACGTAAGCTCAGGGAAAAGAGTGTAGGTCAAAACAGCAAAATCGCCTCCCTCCCAGTAAAATCCCTTCCACCTAGTCCCCGTCACCACTGCATTCAACCATTTCATCCACTGTCTTATCTCCGGCAACCGCCAACATCCACTGTCTTATCTCCAGCAACCGCCAACAGCAAAAGTGATCGCCCACACAATCCCTCCCCCGCCATTTCTCAGAACTCGCGCAGCTGAGACGGTCAACGCAGAGTCTCTAGCGGCAGCTGAGACCCGCCTGAAGGACGTCCAGGAGGAGCTGGAGAGGTTCAAACGGCAGGCAGCCACACAGGAGAAGAACCTGAAGTCTGCACATGCCGAACAGCTGAGGAACGCAGGCTTAGAGAAGAATCGGCTGGCTGGGAGCGTCGAACAACTCAAGGTAATCGAGCGAAGCGAGTGGGTAGAATATGATAGAATATTATGATAGAGATCAAAACAATACCATGATAAAATAAAATGGCAGCAGGTTGAACAGTCAACAGACCGAAGCAGCCATACCATGTTACCGATCGCAAAACTCAAAACATATAAGCAATGCTTGCAAATTAATCAGATACAAGCAAAGCAACGGCCGCGACAGGGTGTTAAAATATGGTTGAATATAGTCTCAAATGGTGCAGTCATAATGCTTCAGCATCCTTCAGAAACAACAGCAGATGTAAGGAATTGCAGAGCATGCCGCAAAGCGATGTTAACAACATGATGTAAGTGAAACCCCGCGATGCCAATGTTCCATTGCAGACGGAGCTAGAGGAGCTGAGACGACAGGCGGAAAAGGCCGAGCAGAAGGCGGTCGCCGCCCAGCAGAAGGCCGATCAGGCGCGCTCGGCTCAGTCTGAGGCGGACTCGACAGTCGCCAGACTTCGGAGGTACGGAGCTGAGTTACTGAGACTATGCTACCTACAGAGTGTGATACGAGTTCTATGCGACCAAGTGGTTATAGGAAATCTGCGTCAAACAGAATAACAAATTATTGCATGCATAACTAGCTTATTAGGTATCATCCTGTTGTCCAGGATCATAGGGCAATGTTAACGGCTTAAAACATGTGCCATGGCCAGTATCTATTGTCCAAACAATATCAACCATAATTATGGCTCTCTGTAAGTCGTGATCGTGAATGATAAGATAGGCTTCTTCCACTTCTGCCCAGCCTGTAACGAAAGCACACTACACACAGCCTTTGCCCAATATAAATCATCCAACGCGACCTAAGCGTCTCCCCCTACATCCCCCTCTACATCCCCCCCCCCCTGTACACCCGCAGGGAGCTGGAGGAGAAGGACCGCCAGGCCGACCGGACCCAGATGGAACACGAGCGTCGTCTGGTGGCAGCCAGCGAGCAGGCTGAGAAGGCCGTCAGGGACACCTTCGACAAGCTACAGCAGCAGCTGGACCGTCAGCAGCAGCGTATCGCGGAGGTAATGGAGGGGATAGGGGTGACTGGGGTTCTGGGGTGCTCGACTGCATCGCTCCCTAACGCTTGCCTATGGTTGCATAATTGCATTATTGGCCTTTTGGTACCTAGCCGAAAGCAAAGAGGAATGCAGCATACGGGAGCATTGGCAAGCTGCAATGCTGCACCTTCTTGCGGGTTATACAATATACATTGCTAAGATCTTGTCTGATCGAGCCACCACACAAAATCAAACGATACCCACTCAAAGATAAGAGCATTAGAAAGATTAGGTAGTATCGTGGTCGGCGGTCGCATTGATTTCGCCGGTGCTGTTGTATTAGCGTCCAGTCCGTATCACTAACCACTCTCCAAGCTGGAAAAATGAATCCATGACTTATTCACACTCCATCATGACTTATCCGTCCCCCTCATTTCTCATTCGTCCTCAGTTGGAGGATGAACGCGAGCGCCACCAGCGGAAAGAGCAAGAACTGCAACTGGCCGTGTCCCAGCAACGGAAGGCGGCAATCCAGGCCAAAACGGAGGCCGACAGCGCCGCCTCGCGACACCAGCGCGAACTAGAGGCTCTCCAGAAACGGATCCAGGTGGTGAGTTCTGCGATGGCTGACATCGCTGAATCAAGGACTGACGCACATTTCCGTCGTTAACAGTGAGAAAGGCACAATAGAACGCATCGAGACCTCAACAGCTCTTTCAACACAATCGCGTGGTCCAAAAATGCAAACAAATTGTTTATATTACGCGTTGTAAAATGCTAGTTAGTCGTAGACCTGTCATGGATTGTAGAATGTTGGCTGTCCGCCGTTCTCATTGGTGCAGCTAGTGGCCTTGATCCGACTCTCGAACGCTGATTGGTTGACAGCCCGCGGTGCAGACCAATCCAAGCCAGGACCGCCTCCGTCGGGAGATGGCGATAATGCGCCAACAGCTGACGGCTACCGAGAATCAGCTGACTATTGCCAATCGGGAGAGAGGACGCCTTCAGCAGCAGGTAACGGAGAACTTCGACTTGCATTTTGGAAAAAATGGGAACTTCATCTCTTTTTCTAGCACGATTGCAGCGTTTCATTGCAGTTTAAATCACGTTAGCTTTTCTTCAATACCATCAACTAGTTTCAGGTGCTCATTTGGTTTCTAGCAATTCAAACACATTCAGACATAGGCGTAGGAACAGGGGGGCCGGGGGGGCCATGCCCCCCCCCACTTTCGGAGGTGGGGGGGCCAGCAATGTTAACTGGCCCCCCCACTTTTTGCTGACTTAAGTGTCTGTCTGTACCTAGGTACCAGTGCTACCACCCGGTAACTTGACAACAATTCAGCTTGCCCTTTAATGAAGATTCCCTTTTGTTTCTACAGCGTTATTGACCGCAATTTCCTTCACTCAATGAAGGAAACCATATCAGAGACAAGACTGTGGGTCCTAGTGACAGCATTTTGTTGAATACGAGGCACGGGACAGCGAGCACTGAAAAGGTATAAGACAATACTAGCACGGTGCAGGAGAATGCGTATACAAACGACCAACGCTTGACCGGATCTGCTTGGGTCGGCATAGTTCGTCAAAGGCGTACTAGCTGGGGGCCAGGGTGACCATGCCCCCGCCTCGGCTCAAACAGGCTGGGGGCCAGCAATGTCTGTATCTGCCCCTTCCCTTCCACTTTCAGTGCAGTGGCGGTCGCAGAGGGGGGATCAGGGCCATGCCCTTCCCCCTCCAAAGGCTAATCAGGGGGCCATCATATCATTTGCCCCCCTCCCCAAACAACCAATGGGCCCCCATGGGCGTTTGGGGCTCTGGCCCTTATTCGATTGTCACGAGGCTCAAGAATCCCACGCTAGCTATTAACAGCTCCCAAGCCAGTCTTTGAGGGTCCTACACTGATCTTGGAGGGCACTTCAGTGGCGGTCAAGCGCCGACATTGACCGCTGAGAACCCACATTGACCTCATTTGAGGGCCCCTAAACCGGCCTCAAGGGCCCAGTCGGCGTCTGAGGGCCTCACACCGGCCTCTGATGGCCTCATTTTTGTCTCTGGGGTCCCAAGAGTAACCTTTAGGTGCCTCTGAGGGTCCTGCACTGAATTCTGATTTCTGAAGACCCGATGCCGGCCTCTAAGGTCCGCATCGGCCTCTGAGGGTCCATCTTGGCCTTAGAGATCCAACGCCGGCCCATGCCGGTCTTTTAGGGCCCCACACTGACCTCTAAGGGCCCATGCTGGCCTGTAAGGACCCGTCATTAGCCTATGAGGGCATTGTACGGGATTCTGAAGACCTGATGCCCGCCTCTGAGGCCCATCTTTGTTTTTGAGGGTCTTCTGCTGGTCTCTGGGGTCCAACACCGGCCCATGCTGGTATTTTAGGGTCCCACATTGACCTCTAAGGGCCCCGCACTGGATTCTGAAGATCCTATGCCGGTCTCTAAGGGTCCGCATCGGCCTCTGAGGGCCCATTTTGGTCTATGAGGGCCTTCCGCTGGTCTCTAGGTCCCAGGTCCCGCCCATGCCGGTCTGTTACGGCCCCACACTGACCTCGAAGGGCCCATGCTGGCCTGTAAGGACCCGCCTTAGCCTCTGAGGGCCTTGCACTGGATTCTGAAGACCCGATGCTGGCCTCTGAGGCCCATCTTGGTTTTTGAGGGCCTTCTGCTGGCCTCTGGGGTCCAACACCGGCCCATGCCGGCATTTTAGGGTCCCACACTGACCTCTGAGGGCCCATGCTGGCCTGTAAGGGTCCACATTAGCCTCTGATGGCCCAAGTCGGCATCTAAATGTCTCATCCTGCCCTTTGCAGGCCCTGTACTGGTCTCTGAGGGCCTCAACCCTCACCGGCCGATGGGGGGGGGGGGCGGGTGCCGCCCCTCCATAGTTTTTTTTTCGCGATAGCTCCGAACACGCCGGTGATAGAGAGCTGAAGCTTTGCATACCTGACCTTTGAATCAAGCCGGATCTTTTGACACCAACCGCATTTTCGGGTCAGATCAGGTCACTGACCCATGAGGTCATAAGTGAACCTCTGCACGGTCTTCAGATGTCGCAACTTCGCAACGCCCTCACTGCCAGAGGAGATTTCACAGGGAAATGAACCTTGGAGGACCTAGTACCCATTAGGAGTCTCACAACTTGTACAGTCCACAGCAGAAGTAATGTGGGGTTTCAGTCATGGGTATGTTCTGCTTCTGAAGCTTAGGAACGATTAGCCAGACTACAATGAAACTTTGAATGTAGCTTATATGTATCGTCACCCTTGCAGCTGCAATTTTAGCTATTGACATCTTCTTTTCGATCACTCCGCATTAAACAATCGTCAGTCAAAGCCAATCGTTGAGATTGGTAAAACCCTACATTACTTTAGCGGTGGGCTGTACATCTCGGATTTTTCCTAAGGTCATTTTCGTGACCTCACCATTAGGTATAAGTCAATGGGGATAAACTGAAAACTTTTTCTGGCGCCGTAAACGATCTTCAACTAGCTCAAGCACACTGAATCTTTCATGCACTCCTTGCAAGGTTCGATGCGTCACTTTTGCAATGTTGACCTTGCGCGACGTCATTTATGAAGTTATAAGGGTCATATAAGTTTGTCGTCAATAACTACCGATCAAATTGAGCTAGCGAGTCGAGAAAGCCATCAATGGACTCAGGAAGATCTGCCGAATCGAATGATATGCGACATGACCTCCTTCGACCAATTTCGTGACCTGGGGGCGCTGACCTGACCGTGACCCGTGGTCAACACCCTCAGTTTACCTCACCCAAACAAAAAGTACATCATTCGACGCGCCTGAGAGAGGCGAACACGATGCTGGCAAAATCGCGGCTCTGCGGCCGTTTTTTGCGAAGTTATTCACTAAAAACGGAACCGTGCCTTGAGGCACTTGACCTGACCTCAGAGGTCACCGGTTGACCTAGAACCTTAAAATCGGGTATCGATCTCTGCGTCTTGTAACAGCGCACACGCTCGTTTTTCCGCGACGCGCTAGCTCAACCTGGGTTGCAACGGCGAGGGGGGTCGTACCCGCCCCCCGCCCCCTCGGCCGGCGCGTATGTAGAAAACCTATAGGTCCGGTCCGGCGAGGGTTAAACTGGCCTCTGATGGCCCAGACCGACCTCTAAAAGTCCCACACCGGCCTCTGATAGTCAATCAGCCCAGTTGCAGTGGTCGCTTATATAAAACCTCTTAAAAACGTTATAGGTCTGGCTGAGCCTAGCTGGGCCGTTCATGTTGATTTTTATAGGTATATTGAAAAGACTCGCTTTGCACGTTTCACGCTTGCTCGTAATGAAAAAAGTTGCTGGATGCCTCTGGAATTTGCATGGGTGCCAACGGCTGCGGAGGACAGGGGAACGCGTCCATCAGTTTGAGTTTATGGACGGGAGTCTCCCTGAAATTTTAACCAATTTTGTTTTTGTTTTTGTCTCGATTTTTTTTTATCTCTGATCATGTTTGCGAAAACAAAGTGGCCGAAATCCGAGGAGAAATCGGATTTTGGGGGTAGGTTAGGTTTTGGACCTCTGGGACCTTGGCCCCCCCACTTTCGAAAACGTTCCTACGCCTATGCATTCAGAGAGCCATTGCCTTATGGCATATCCCACATTACAACAAGTCGTAGACGACAACCGAAATGCCACTCATGTTAGGGACATTATAATTCCCTTATTGAGTGTATTTCCAACACGTCAGGATTCCAGCGACATTCCGTGTCCGTTTCTGACAGATGTGGCGTCTGGAGCGCCGGCCGGACGTCGGTCTGGACCGGGACTCCCTCGGCGGAGTGCTGGGAGACGACGGCATGACCCTGCTGCCCCGACAGCTGGAAAGGGTGCTCAGCAGCACTGACAGAGGGAGCGGCTCGCACCGCTACCAGCTACCGACGTCTTACAGACAGGTGAGGTGGCCAATACCGGCACCCGGTGTGCTATAGAGGCTGGGTGTATTCCGTGTATATCGGCGAAGGATTCTGGGCAAGCAGCTGGTATCTTTCAGGGAGAAAAATAAAAAAGTTAGTGGTTTCTGCTCTCATATTCGCAAGGAAGACGCTCACAGGGTATACGAAGTGTTTGTTGTAGCTCAGTTGTTTGTTGTATGTAGCTCAGTAAGCAGCCGGATACTACATAATAAAAATCAGCGCTGATAATCACTGTGACAAATATGGCAGTTGGCATGGGACTTCACAGCCCGCTAAATCAAATAATAGCAATGGAACCATAACGCAAATACGCAGCAAAGGTAGGCGATAGCATGCTCCTGTACATTCTTAAAAATTATATATTCTTTCCCAATACTACCCCAACCCTCTTCTGTCCCCAGATGAAAGACTCGGACCTGACGCTGCCCGCCTCCCCGCCGACTCCTGCCGAAGACAGCTCCGGCTCCGGCAGTCTCTCTCGTCCCCAATCAGGAGGCAGTCCCGCCATCAGTCGCAAGTTCTCTCAGCCCGCCATGGGTCACACCCGCGGCAGTCCGACCGTCACCCGAAAGCTGTCTCAGGGAAGCCCCCAGTCGCGCGGAAGTCCGTCGTTCCTTCGCAGAGGAGCTGCGGAGACGGGTTCCACAGAGACGGTGACGGAGATCATAGAGATTATCAGCCCGAGGGGTGAGTGCATTCAGAGAACGGAGAGGGAGACGGAACGACCTGCGTCTGTGGCAGCGGAGGGAGGACAAGCGGAACAGTCGATAAAAGAACAGCAGCAGCAGGAGCCGCTGCTACAGCAGAGTGGACACAAGACTGAACAGCTCGATCAGGATGAAGAGAAAGTCCAACCATCGCAGACTGATGTTGAGAAACTCGAACAAGATCGACAAGAGGTGGAAGAGGTCCACGAGCCCAAGCAGGAGCTCCAGAAAGCTCAGCCACCAGAGCAGCAAGATCAGCAGCCGCAGCCGGGCAAAGAAAATGTCCAGCAAACGCAAAAGAAACAGGATGCGGAAAAGGTTCCGCAGCCTCAGCATAAAAGTGAGAAGCAGCAGAAGAACCTGGAACAACTTGAGGAACACCGCAAAGAGCGTCAGGGGTCGAAGGCCCAACCACAAAAACCTACAGAGAACAAGAAGGAAAAGTCTTCAGAGATAAAATCGCCAGATCAAAGTCAGAAACCCTTGTCCAAACAGGAGACCAAGCCGTCAGGCCACTCAGGACAGCCACAGTCTGAGATGCCGACTGAAGGCAAAGTTGAATCCAGTATCACAGAGAAGACCGTGAAGTCAGAAGTGCGGGAACAAGCGAAAGTGGAGACCAGCACTGGGAAGGATGCAGTGAAACCGAATTCGAAGCCACCACCCACGGCGGGAACGCCTGCCCAAAAGTGAAGCGAGAGCTAGAGAACACGACGGTAGCAGTGACGTACACTGTATACCGTACATTCGCGATGATTGCGTCCGGTTTGTATGTGTGTGTGTGTTGCCATTTGCAATGATATCAAGATGCGCCATCCTTACTAGGGGGATCCTAACCAGAAACGTGGGTAGGTTATGCGAATGATTTATGCGCCTTTAGGAAGTCTCCTGTGAAGCATTCCTGTTTGAGCACAAGTCAAATGCGATTCAACTGGAAGTAAGCCACCGTAACAGCTGGCACTTCTATTTGAGAGAAAAGAGAAATATTGTATCTCAGATGTTACATCTCAGTTGTATCTCAGTCTTTGTGTGAGCGTATGCGGAGCCCACAACGTTTGTATGTGATTTGGTATTTAGGATTTAGATGCACATGTCGAAGCTTATCCTCAGTTCCGCACATAACTAGGGTAGACAATAGTTGCCTGTGTGATTTATCGTTTAATGTCCATCTGCCATTACTCTCAGTATCTGCAGAGATATGTGAATGAGTGTTGGCAGCCAGAAGTCAGCGTATTATTTAACTTAATAAAACTAGCGAAATATGGCCTAATTTCTTTTGACCTGGGCACGGCTGCGTAGTAAGATTAGTTTTTGGCGACTCCCTCTACGACTCTGGGTTACAAAAACCGACACCAACTATGAATCCAGGTCCGACTCAGGACATCACAATGCCCATGTCACGATAGTCAAGTTCACGTAAGAGGTGAGTTACAATTTGCCTGAAACAATCCCCTATGCGTCCCAAAAACTAAGCATAAAAGTGACTCACAATAAACAATTGAACAGTTTCAAGGGTAATTAAACAACAGGCATTTGAATGAGTGGGATGCAGGTATGTATGTGTCAGTAGACAATTGTTTTGATCTGCGCCCTGCTAGGAGGGGTGAACACCCCCCCCCCCCTGCAGTTTTTCGAAAATATCTCAAAAATGGCGGCGCGGAGCGCCACCGTTTTTTGCACACGTTATCATATATCAATTCTACTCATGTTGTGAAAGAGTTAGACCAAGCTCAAGCAAGGTCAGGTCACCAGGTCACTTCAAGTGACCGCACCTCATAAAAATTTGCAATGTCCGTCATAGCTACATCGAATGACCAATCACTTTGAAACTTTAGCGATGGATAAGAGCAATAGTATGTACAAAATGTATAACTCAGAATTTGCATATCGGTGACCTATTTGCATATCGGCATATCAGGTTAATTTTGCGGCCTTCAATGACCCCTAGTAACCTGAATTTTGACCTGACTAAAAAAAAAGTGGCCAAAAAGTGGCTATTTCGTCATAATTTCTAACCCGCTTTCCAGCGCCGCCTTCCCGTGTCGCTACGTGGCCCAGGAGTCGAGTTAGAAGGGCGTGTTAGAAGGGTCGAGTGTTCAAACACCCCCCCCCCCCACACACACACACACACATCAGGGCGTGGGAATCAAGGACCCCCAGCCGCGGGGCGCGGGTTAATGGATGTTCGGCATGCTCGTACAAAACTTACCTGTCGTGCCTTGGTTAAGGTTCCATCCACATCGAAAAGAAGAAGAAGTGGCTTTCTTGGGGCCATCTTTAGTGAGCTGTCTGTAATATGGAGAATTGGAGTCAGCTGGTTACGAGAGAGCGAGCGAAAGTCTTCAATTTTTATGGAACGGAAAAACATCAGTTTTTAACGGGAAAATCTCAGTATGAGCGGCCTGGCCCGGCCCAACCTAGCCCGGTATGTAACACTTTTGATAAACTTATATCTCGAGAGCTATTCAAGTTTTGGACGCAAGTCATTCTTAACACTCCAAGCACTGAAAAAGGGCCCGCGCATACTAGATGGCTATTGCATGGTACACACTTGACACAATTTTCGAAAGACCGCCAATTGGTATTCTCTCGAATGTTACGATCTATGTAGAGTGTTCCACATTCGTACGGCACGCACGGGCACAGTATTCTGGTCGACTCAAATATATACAGCGACATGTCTCTAACTGACCAAAGGAAGTGGCACGCATTTGTCACTCTGGTACATCAGCCCGGTACAACACGAGAGATTTGAGGCGCTCAGGTCCGTTAATTTTCCGTCAATTAACCCTCGCCGGCCGAGGGAGGGGGGCAGGTGCCGCTCCCTCCCCCCCTGTGATCTCACTTATTTAGCTTATAATGATGTGTTCTTTCCGTACATGTTTTTATTTTGCCTATTTATCCAGTTTTTTGAGGGTGCAAAAAGCAGGGGCGCGGGATCGGGAACTACTTTCCGACTGGGGGGGGGGGGGGGCACACCATAATAGAGATCAACCTAGGGTACCCCCAAATCTAGTTTTCTCACCGGTTTTGGGCCACTTATTTTTCACCCCTCGGCTTTTTCAACAAAAAAGAAAACATTTGCAAAAAAGAGTGTGGAATTCTATCTCAAAGCTGTCGTGGGGGCACCGCCCCCACGGCCCCAGAGTTGGGGGGGGCAAGCTGCCCCCACTGCCCCCCCCCAGCTCCCGCGCCTATGGCAAAAAGAGGCAGTGTCCCAGAATTATATTTTGGTTTGGGTGTCAGAGCGGTAAATTATTCAGGTACCACGGAGCTGAGAATGGAAAATTGCCAGTCATGTAAAGCTAAAAACAGGTGGGAGTGGTAGGAATGAAGGGCAAACGGATTGATAGCATGCATCACCAAGCACATGTGGTAGAATGTAGCTCGTATTACATGTATCATTATGATGTTTATGACCATGCACGCAGATACTCCTTGTTTCTTAGGTTGGGAGTGGAAAACCGCTCTCGAAGATTTGAAATGAGTGGAAAATGATCATAATTTGGATGTTGTTTCCCACCCAAATCGACAAATTTTAGGATACTGAAAAGAGGACATAACTGAACATGGTTGACTTGCTGATATAAAGTTCAGAATCTAGGATGACATCAAGAGCTTTGACACTGTGCACCAGTTAAAAAAAAACTCCATTGAAGGTAATGGTGATTTTTTTCTAGCTAAAGAAGTAGGAAGAAAGGAAAGATCTAAAGAAATGGCAAATCTAGTAATATTTCGCAAATGGGCGGTAGCACCTGGGATACCTGCTGGCTCCTATAACATTACTTTGTAGCTCTGGGCTCATATTATATCAGTTGGGGAAACTTTTAACAATTTTCCTTCAAAAACACCAATCCATTTCTTGAATGGCCAGCTGATTGGTGACACTCAGAAACTGCAGAAAAGCCGTTTTCCTATCGCCATTTTCGAGTCAATTCGCCGAATTTAATAAAATCACGCTAATTCGTGGAAAATGGAAGTCTTTTCTCTCCGATTAAGTGGACGTGATACGCAAGTACCAGCTAGTTATACCGTTTTTCAACCTTAGTTTTTCACCCTTGGCTGCAATTATGCCCAGTCATCAAAAGTCATCAAAAGTCCATCAAAAGTCATCAAAAGTCCATTTATAGACCAATCATTTTTTGGATTTTCGCCTCGTAGTTTCCCCAACTGATATTGAGGAATCGACAGAGAAAACAGCCACACACCATTCAACAAAATGACCTAAGATGGCTGGGCCACAATGCACACTACCTTTAACAGATAATAGCAAATAACAATCTTACTCAAGCACAAGCAGAGAAAGCAGAAAAAGAGGCAGAAGACTAAGCAGAAATCCAATACCTATTATTGAAATTGGCAATCAATTATTCAATTAAATTCCATGCATTCTGGAGCTCCACCTAGCCCCAAGATTACTTGACTCCTCCTACCTCCTATTTCTTACCTACCGCAGAATACGATAAGTTCCTTAGATGAAAGATCTGAGACTTTCTACTATCAATAAAAAGCAAGTAACCCCCGACCGCGCTCTTCCCTGCAAAAGTAATGCAACGTGGAATAGGGAATAGAGAACATTTCCCGGTGCCCCCGGCGACTTTGTTTTGTTTTAAAACCATGCATAAAATTGGATCAAATTTAAATGTAAACCACTGAACTCTTTAACGTAAAAACTCATGCTACAGAATTTGTGACTCTTGTCGACATCTTAGAAGTGGTTGTTACGTTCGAGGCGCAGAATGACTAAAATGTCAATTCAAAAAAAAAAGCAGCAACGAATATCGACGAATATCAGCCTCACAGCAGCGTATTTCGGGGTGCAATTTAGCTCGAAATTGGTATAGGTTCAGGGCCTTCTCGATGCGCTGATTCCGAAAATGTGCCTTTTTCGGGTGGTATTTTGCACCGTTAACGAGTTAATGGCAAATTAACATTTTAACCCGCGCCCTGCGCTGGAGGGGTGGGGGTGTTTGAACACCCCTCCCCTACGGTTTTTCGCAAATATCACAAAACCGCCGCCGTTTTTGGTACAGGCCTTATCATACATCCAAGGCTCTAAATACAATACTTCTTTTCTACATATGTTGTGAAAATTTCAGACCCAGGTCACTTAAGGTCAGGTCACCACATCAGGTCAAGTGACCTCACTACATAAAAAGTTGCAATGTCTGCCAAAGCTACACCGAGTGACGTGACCGATTGCTTTGAAACTTTCAGAGATTGATAAGAGCAATATTATGTACAAAATGTATATCTTAGAATTTTGATATCGATGACCTAAGGCTAGGTCATTTTTGTGACCTCCCCATTATGCCCAAGTCAATGGGAGAAAATGGAAAGTCGCGTTTTTAGACGGAAGTCATTATAAACACAACACTGCATTACTGGTAGATTTGACACACTGACCATGAAAATGACACCCTTTTTATGCCCCTGAGGTCATCTCAGGTCACCAATGGTATCTGACTGTTTTTCGCGAATAACTTTTGATAGACATGCTAGAGCGATGAAAACACCTTAGTCCTTAGTTGTGTTTGGCTCAGCGATATGGACCGATGAATATGCAACTTGACCCTTACCGGTCAGGTCATGACCTTGACCTGAGGTCAAATTTTCAAGTTGACTTTTCAAGGTCAAGTGATCATTCATTCGACGCGTCTAGACGAGAGGAACACGATGCTGTTAAAAGAAATTTCTTGCAAGGTTTGAGTCAGAACTTATTGCAGAAAAACCGTTTCCGAAAAAAATCAGCTATTTTTGCAGTTTTTCCCCCTGCAGGCAAAACCATTGACGGTAGGTCAAATTCGAGACAATTTCTCAGAAAGACCGTTAATAGGGCTATCAAATGAGCTTTTCAATGGCGCTGTAGCCTTATTAGTTTCCGAGCTGTGCGTCGATTCGCTGAAAATTGTCGACGTCTGACCTACAAATTGGCGAATTTTGGCCTTCAATGACCACTGGTGACCTGACGTTTGATCTGATGAAAAAAGTGACCGAAGTGATTTCTTCCTTCAATCATGACGCTCTTTCGAACGCCGCCTTCCGCGTATCGCTACGTGGCCCCGGAGCCGAGTTAGAACTTAGAAGTGTGTGTGTGGGGGGGGGTGTTCAAACAGCCCCTCCCTCCCCCCTAGCAGGGCGTGGAAATCCAGGACCCCCAGCCGGGCGCGGGTTAACGGGAAACAGCGGGGTCTTTCGATTTAACTGAAAATTGGTATACAGGGCCTCCTTGATGGGCTGATTCCGAAAATGTAGATACCTCTCTGGGGTGGTATTTTGCACTGTGAACGAGTTAACGGCCAAACAACATTTTAACGGGAAACAGATGGGTCTTTCGATTTGGCTGAAAATATGTGTACAGGACCTCCTCGATGCGCTGATTCCGAAATTGCACCGCTTTGGGGTGATATTTTGCTATTTTTGCGTCCTCCGACGACACAAGGGTGGGTGGGGGGGGGGGGTGGTTGGTTCGAACGCCGTCGCATTTGGCTCCCATGATCGAGCTAGAGCTTCGCAAAAAAAACGAGCATGCTGCTCGTCACGAGAGGAAGCCGATGATACCCAATTTTAAGGTCCTAGGTCATCGTTTGACCTTCCAGGTCAGGTGACACGGGTCAATGACGCAAAAATCGGGAAAATTGGGACCTGTTAGAAAGTCGTGAAGTATGGCTGCTATAAGGTTTTTCGGGGTGCTGATCACATTCACGCATGCTATCATGCATATCACGCACGCATATCATGTTAGTTTTGGTCACAGACGATGTCTTCATGCATTTAGGCCAGGTCGGGTCAGGTCAGGTCAGGTCAGGTCAATCAGTAGAGGTCCTGCCGGGCATTCGTAGTAGGTGTCAATCGCCTCTGACAGCTTCGTAGCATGTTGCGAAGGCACCAAAACTGCTTTGTAAATGTTCAAATGGTTGCCAAATTCGAATGCAGCTCCAAAAAGTAGCCTAGTAACGTATGTACAACTCGAAAGTGAACCGAAGTCATCAAAGGTAAGGTCAATGACCTGACCTGGCCTTCGGGTGACATTGACACCCACCCTAATGCATGGGAACAACCGTCCACATGTTTGTACGCTTGAAACCGCGCCAAAAGACTGCAAACGCGCGGCTAATTGAGCCGATATACGCTGAATCGCGATTCCGGCCAAACATGGCATCAAGAAATAGGTTACAGGTCAAAGGTCATTTGAGTCAGAGTCATGAAGTTTTCAGAGTATATGTAAAATTGTGTGACTCGAGGGCACTAAAAGTTTTGTCGCGATCCACCGCTTTTTACGCGGGTTACTATTTACTACTTCCTTGGGAAAAACCGAGGGGGCCCGTTCGACCCCTCCCCCTATACGGGCGAGGGTTAAAGGGACCCTCCCACCTTCAAAAAAGTTTAGGTATGAATTGGCATGAAAGTGATGTCGCTCGGTTCAGAAAGAGCGAAAACGAATATCTACCTAATTTCACCGAAAAATATGCACCGGTTTTCAAGATATTAGACTTTTACTTTTACTTTACTTTTACTTTTACTTTTGTTTACTTTTTGGGATCACCGCTGTTCCTAGCGACTTTATTTGGGAGCAATAGTTTGGCAGCTGAAAGTGCGGCACTTGTTGCGCGCAAAGCAGCATATACCACCGCGTGCTACAAAACGTTTTAGTCAAACATTTAAAAATCGTTAGATATCTGCGCTGACGTCACACATTCAGAGGGGTATTCCTATGCATTAGCCCCTCTGAATCGAAATGCTGCAATTTTGAAATTCAATATTTCCGATTTAAGGCATTTCTCGATGTTGTGAGTGCCGAAACCGGTAATTGTGAGCCAGGGACCCCATTTTGGCTATCTCAACTCAAATCTAATGTTAACCCTCGCCCCCCCAGGCAGTCTTTCTGCTCTGCACTCAACATTTTTAGAGCTAGAAGGCTGATTTTTCGTATAGCTGCTCGTCTATCCTTTCTTAATGTCCACTGAAAATTTCAAGTTTCTGTGACTTTTGGTTTCGGAGATATGACCTAGTTTTTCAGGTCATGTCATGACCCAAATGGCCAATTCTCAACATCTTGCGTTTGCCATGGGCCTTGTGAGCTTCTGACACCCTGATTTCGGCCTTTTTTGCCAGTCTTACCTCCCACCTATCATGGAACATGTTGTTCGACGATATACAGGGGTCAAGGTCAGGGTCAAGGTCAACCTAGGTCATCTAAGATAATTGCGTTTTAGGCAAGCTGAATTTACTTTTTGTGAAGTTTTTTGACTGCATTTTTGGTAAAAGCTTCTCAGATCATGATTTCATGTGATATGGACCCAAAAACAATCGGTTCATTCATCAGTATACACACAGACACACACAGACATACAAACACATATAATTGACCTTGACCTAACTTGACCTGAAATGACCTCAGCAGCAAAATTCTGGTCGGATAGTGTGACAAAGAGGTTCTAGCTGGCTTGGCACCAGAAAACAGCATCGTCATCGGTATTTGATAAGCAGCGCACTTGATATCCAACGGTGACCCAAAACAGCAACATTTTTTAGTTTGACCTGACCTGGAAGGTCAATGACTGACCTGAGAAGGTAAAACTGGGTATCATTGGATTCGTCTCTTCCCAAAGAATCTTTTTGGTCTTTACTGCTAAGCTCTATCTCCAACAGGAACGAAATGACGCGGGGGGGTGGCAACCACCCCCCCCCCCCCCCATGTGCGTTCTAGGATGGGAAAATGGCATGTGCGGGCGAGGGTTAACCCGCGCCCTGCTGGGGGGGGTGTTTGAACACCCCCCCCCCCTGTGGTTTTTCGCGAATATCTCAAAAACGGCGGCGCGGAGCGCCGCCGTTTTTGGTACACCTTATCATACATCAATTCTACACATGTTGTGAAAATTTCAGACCAAGGTCATTCAAGGTCAGGTCACCAGGTCACTCGAAGTGACCTCACCTCATAAAAAGTTTCAATGTCTGTCATAGCTACACCGAGTGACCGATCGCTTTGAAACTTTCAGCGATTGCTAAGAGCATTAGCATGTACAAAATGTATATCTCAGAATTTTGATATCGATGACCTAAGGTCAGGTCAATTTTGCGACCTCACCATTATAAGTCAATGGGAGAAAATTGAAATGCGCCTGTTTTGGACGAAAGACATTATAAACACTCCCAAACACTGAATTACAAGTGGTTTAGACACACTGAACATGAAAATGGTGTCTGTGACCCCTGTTTATGCCCTGAGGTCATCTTAGGTCACGAATGGTATCTAACAGTTTTTCGCAAATAACTTTTGATAGAGGCATGCTAGAGCGATGAAAACGCCTTAGATGTGTTCAGCTCGACGATACGGATCGACTGATATGCAACATGACCCTTTCCGGTCAGGTCATGACCTTGACCTGAGGTCAAATTTTCAAGTTGACCTTTCAAGGTCAAATTATAGTTCGTTCGATGCGTCTTGACGAGAGAAACACGATGCCGGTAAAAGTAAGCTCGTACAATGCTTGGGTCAAAAGTTATTGCAGAAAAACTGTTTCAGAAAAAATCGGCTATTTTTGCAGTTTTTGCCCCCTGCAGGCAAAACCGTTGACGTTAGGTCAAATCTGAGAAAATTACTCAGAAAGGGCGTTAATAGGGCTATCGAATGCGCTTTTCCGCGGCGCTGTAGCTCTATTGGTTCCCGAGTTATGCGTTGGCTTCTTGGAAATTTTCGACATTCGACCTGGAAATCGGCGAAAATTTGCCTTCAATGACCTCTGGTGACCTGACCTTTGACCTGACCAAAAAATTGACCGAAGTGATTTCCTCATTATTTTTGACGCTCTTTCGAACGCCGCCTTCCGCGTATCGCTACGTGGCCCAGGAGCCGAGTTAGAAGGGGGGGTGTTCAAACACCCCCCCCAGCAGCGCGTGGAAATCCAGGACCCCCAGCCGGGCGCGGGTTAAGGTGGGAGGGTCCCTTTAACCCGCGAGTTGCTGGGGGGGGGGCGTTAAACGCCCCCACTTTTTTCGCCGGGCCATAGCATAAAAACGGCGCGCCGCAGGCGCGCCAAATTTTGGGTACCTGTAGGGAATTGATTGAAGTTTATTGTGACAAAGTTTCAAAAAAATCGGTCGGAAAATTTTTGAGATATCGAGGTTTTAGTGACGTCATGATTTCTGAGTTTTCGACCAAAAACGGCATATGTTCAAAAAATCATATAAAATCACAGAATAGACATATAGACATGCCGCAAACGCCATTAGACTGCCAATACCATGAAGAAGCAAATGGCTATCTTCGATTATTGATTATCGTTCCGCATTTTCCAAAATCTTGAACTGAATCTTGGCAATTTCTCGTGACTACTTCACGACCATGATACGTGAATTTCTTAAATTGAACTTTTTTAGCCAAACACGTACACATATGATAAAATGAATGTCACCATCGTGTTCTACGCCCCAAATTACCCATAAAACATGTGTCACAGGCTGCGAATATCAGTTTTTATTTTCGGGGATATGTGCCTGCCCGGTTGACCTGACCTTGACCCTGACCTATGCTTGACTGACCCCTGCATGGAGCTGACACTCTTTTAGGCCTTATATGATGGATTGTGCACCGTTTTGACAGAGTTTATGACGAGAGGCGCCCATTGCGAAGTCCTGAAGTCCATGCTACTGAAAGCCCGATTTCAGGTGTTTGACCTGACCTTGACCTGACCTGTGACCTCAAAATTCAACTTTAAAGTACTCATCTGAAGCGTCTCGTCGCGTTCTTTCGTTTGCCGCCTCGTGCGTTTCGCTGCGCCTATTGGTTCTCGAGTTATCGGCTGGGGGCGTTTAACGCCCCCCCCCAGCAAACGGTGGGTGGCGAAATACCCCAGCAACTGCCGGGTTATGCAGTCCCTGGAGCACTATTATATGGTGACTTGCCAATTGCCATCGGAAGCGGTTGCCACAGAGACGAAGTACCAAAGTACGACGTGTTGAATAAAATCAGAGAATCAGAATATATTTAAAGCTCATCCAGACAATCTCTGGTTTTTCACGTGCTCGCGCCAACAATATGGGCAGAAGACAGGAAACCGGTAAAAGACACGCCACATGGTTAAAGGGACCCTCCCACCTTCAAAAAGTTAATGAATTGGCATGAAAGTGATGTCCCTTGGTTCAGAAAGAGCGAAAACGAATATCTACCAAATTTCACCGAAAAATATTCGCTGGTTTTCAAGATATTAGGCTTTTACTTTTGTTTACTTTTCGGGATCTCCCCTGTTACTAGCGACTTTATTTGGAAGCAATAATTTGGCAGCCTTTAAGTGCGGCAAACGTTGCGCGCAAAGCAGCGTATACCACCAAGTGTTAACGATGGTTTTAGTCTAAGATTTAAAAATCGTTAGATCTCCGCTGACGTCACAAATTCTAAGGGGGCATTCCAATGCATTAGCCCCTTAGAATCCGAAAACTGCAAGTTTGAAATTCCATATCTTCGAATTAAAGCATTTTTCGATGTTGTGAGTGCCCAAACCGTTATTTGCAGGCCATGGCCACCAATTTGGCTATCTCAACTCAAAACTAATGTTAAGGTGGGAGTGTCCCTTTGACTGAGGAGGGGGGGGGCTCTACAGAGCCCTCCCCTCCCGTTTTTCGGCAATATCTTCTCAACTGTTTGATGGATCAACACGAAACTTGCGGTGCCCTCAGTGGCATCAATTTGACCCCTTGTGTTTAAATTTTAACTTTCTAGCTAGTAGCTACCATAGTTTGGCCGTAAATGACGTCAGAGTGACGTCATGTCGGCCGATTTTGATGCAAAATATTGAGTTACGGCAAACGCTCTAAAGAGCTAAGTTTAAAGCTAGTTCCATTTGCTTTGCATCAGTGGACTACAATTACAAGTAGCTATCAAACTGTTATCTCAAATTTTCGAACTTTTGAAAATTTTGAAAAATACGTTTTTACAATTACAAAAGATGTATTTTTTATTTCTTTCAAAAAGTTTTTGATTTTTGGCAAGAGCCGGAGTGTATGTGATAAAACACACACTGATGAACTACTCTAGCAAGCTTTAGCCCAATATCTTTAAAAATAGCAAGTTATTTAGGTACATTATTGTCAACATTTTACAGATATATATTTCTAAAAACCATTTTTCAGTACGTTTTTGACATCGCACAGCAATATAAAAGGGCACCATCGTGTTCCGGAGCTCAAACTGCATCTGATAGGCACCTTTTTTGTTGCAAAATTTCATCTTCAAAATTTGACCTTTTCTGACCAGAAAGTGACCTGACCTCCGGTAAATTCAGCTGGAAATGACCTCAAATGACACAAATGACATTTTTTCGAAATCTACGAGTAAAATGGACCATAAAACGTGCGTCACGTGACCGATATATGATATACAATTTTCGTGACCTAGGATGACCTGGCCTTGACCTTAAAAAACAATTTGAAGTGACACTTCGGTACCCCCAGGGTATCTAAGGCATATATCACAGAGTGCGTAAACCAAAAATGAGCCTGATCGAACTTGTCAGCCGGCGGTCAGAGCCTAAATTGTGAACAAGCAAGAATGCCAACAGTTTTTACTTTGACCTGACCTGTGACGTCATCGGTGACCTTGAGGTCAATGAAAATAGGTTCTCGTGACATTTTTCCAGGGCTATCAGACGCCGTTGGAATTTTGACTTTTTTGAATTTTGGTTCACTAGGGAAATAAAGGCGTCGTTCGGAGGAAATTCTTCACGTTCAAATGAAGGGGTCATTTGAATTGCTGATTTTGGCTCGATATAGTTAGCCCTATTTTTTAGCTTCAGCCTCATTTATCGTAATGAGGCGAACTCATTGTTACATTTGTACAACTTTTGATGACACATAATCCTTGTTTTTTCTTCAGCTCGCTCGAAAGCTGATGAAATTGGCATGCATGCTATGGGTGAAGGGAGATTCTACCGCCGTGGTGACGTCACGGTTAAGGGATTCTGGAGCTCGTGAAGGGGGGGGGGCTGTGCGGGTCTCCCTAATGTCGTGCGGCATGGCATTAAACGCGCTGGCGGCTCGATAGGCAAACCTTCGCTTGCCAGACTCGGCTTTGAAACGTGGCAAAACAAGAAGGCCATCCTGTCTGGTCAACCTCGATCTCACACTCGGCGCGGTACCAAACAGGCCAGCGGAGCCGCTCAGCTGTCCATGGGTCAGGAGCAGGACGGCTTTGATTAAACACAATTTGCGGTGCATAATACGAGGTCCTGGGCAGGTAAACAGTTCAACTCAGCCATGGTACATCACTTACGTGCTCACGTCTACGCCGCCCTGAGACCACTCTTGCACAAAGGTTGAGTAGTTTCTTCAGACGCGACAATGAGTGAGCGGTAGAGTTTCCGTATACTGAGATGCAATAGCGAATCAGGGAAATCACTAGTCCATCCACGAGCGCTGGTAGTACACTCATGGGGGATACGATGTCTCGCATGACTGAGGCCGACCAATAAGCCACTGTACACTTCGCTACCAACTGGTTGACATGCGGTTCGTAAGTCAAGTGTCTGTCCATTACTACGCCTATCTTTTTTTTTTTACTCACGGAATCTCTTCTACAATCACACCGTTTACATTGATACACATTTTAGTAGACCGAGTAGCATTTGACGAGTGCCGAGTACAATCAGGTGAGTCTCGCTAGAATTTACTTTCATCTGATTTTGAGCAAACCACAGAAACAAAGTGCACAGAGCCGATTTCATCCGCTGAATGAGTTGTGCAATGTCACATTTACATCCAGTAACCAGCACATGTGTGTCATCGGCGAATTACGAGATGTTGACATCGCTTCCCGGACCAAAGGTCGTTAACATAAAGTTCGTAAAGGAAAATGTTCGTAAGCAACTGTTCGTATGCTAAGCTTCGTATCAGATAAGGTTCGTAGCGTCTGAAGTTCGTAAAAGAAAAGGTTCGTATAAGTAAATGTTCGTAAGTATAAGGCTCGTAAAAAAAAGTTCATCGCTGTTGATATATAAGCTGAGATCGTTGGAGAAAACGTTTACAAGAGGAGCCTGAGCGAGGTGCCCTGATAGACGCCAATTGGATTTCTGACTGCGTTGGATAAGCGTTTACGGCCAGCGGAAGAGCACAGTCGACCCGCGCCCGTTGTGCGCGGGTCGAACGCACATAGCCGCGTATGGTCGATCTCTCACTGACTTCGGCTGGCTACGGCCTGGCCCTGCCACCAACCGCAACCATAGGTCTGTCAGGAGGCCTATAAACGTCAAGCGCCCGTCGCGCCTCGAACCCCGGACTGTTGTAACCTGGAACGCGTGCTCTCACAACGCGGAGTACAACGCTCTACTGACTGAGCTTCGGAACCGGCGCGGCTACGGTTATGCTTCACTCACTCAAGTGCCACGATAAGATATACGACAATCTTACTGCTCCCAGACTCTCACCAAAAGCTTTAGTCGGTCCGAGCGCAGGCACCTCGCTGCTCCGATAACGCGCCCTCCCGCGTTCTGTGACTGTAGGCTGCAACTGCTGTAACCGCGAGAGCTTGGCTCTTTGTGCCGCCGTGGTTAAGGCGCAACCCGCCACCCCGGTCTCACCATGTTGGAAGTCCTGAAGCCAGTGAGCACTCACCTGAAGCTCTCCACGAAACCTCGTGGAGAGGGTTCGGTGTTCAAGCTTCACTATCGCGCCACCTTCGTTTTCATCATGGGCTGCTGCATCCTGGTGACGGCGACCCAGTACATCGGAGACCCAATTGAGTGCATGCCGGACAAAGACTCGATCCCGCAGAACGTCATCGACACCTACTGCTACATCACGTCGACCTACACGATCCCGCGCTATTACGACCAGAAGGTTGGCGTCGGAGGTGTCCCTCACTGGGGCCTCGGTCCGGAGCTTCCTGAAGATGAAATCATCTACCACAACTACTACATCTGGGTGCCGTACATGTTGTTCATCCAGGCGATCTCCTTCTACATCCCTCACTGGGTGTGGAAAGCGGTGCAGACAGACAAAGTGTACACAGTCCTGATGGGTCTCGACAGTCAGTCTCTGGATGAATCCGAGAAGAAGGACAAGGAACGGCTGTTGGTGAATTATCTAGAGCTTCACTTGCACACGCACAACATTTGGGCAGCCAAGTACATTTTCTGTGAAATCCTGAGCTTCGTCAACGTTCTAGTGCAGATCAGCATCACGAATGCGTTTCTCGGCGGCGAGTTTAGCGAGTATGGCCCTAAGGTGGTGCGGTTCCTCTGGGCGGACCCTGAGGACAGGACGGATCCCATGTATGCGGTGAGTTTTTTCTTTCTTCATTTGTAGTTACCTCCAGCAACGGACGCCTGCAAATCCGGGAATCGAACCCAGCACCTCCCGCACCGCGGGTCGACGCCCTAACCGACTGCGCCACCGGAGCCCTATTGCAGGACACGCTGCCATCCGATGCCAGCGCATTTCGCGAAATGACGTCACACTTGTGGTAGTGTTGGAGCAATGGGCTTGTTGATGTTTCCATGGAAACCGAAATTGCCACGTGTGCTGGCAGCGGCTGGCAGCGTGCCGTTGAAACACCGCCCCAGGCCAGCAACCCGATAAGCGTTTCCCGCCCTTGCCTATAAAAACTGAAGTTATCTGACTGACCAAGGCTTACTTGATGCATTCAATAGTGACTTGTAAAAGTCAACTCAGAGGAGAACGTCTGGTCTGAATCATTTCATCGTCACCTGATGCACACGAAACTTCGAAGCTACTTGATGGTTCGAGAAGTTTCGATCGAGATGACTTTGGCCTTGATCAATGTACTCGGTCAACAAATGAGCACTGCACTGTTGCTATCTTATCTTACCTTTTTCACGTGTGATCTTCGAAAGCTTCAAAGCCGGACAGTTGTATCTTTGTGCGCTTAATTGCTCTTATCACGTTCTTGCCGGGCTGCTCACAACTTGTGCTGCTCACAAAGAAGAGAAGTGGATTGTACAGGCGTCTGAGTGACAAAGAGCAGTCTGCAGCCTGACCTAAGGCTCCTCGATTGAAATAAGGCTACGGAATTGATGCAAGAAACTATACGTGGTTAAAAAAAATGGTTTTGACCATTGACACATATCTTGTGGCTAAACGTTATAGTGTTAGCAAATACTCTAAACGTTTTCAAGCGATCAAAAGTCACTTGTTTCGTAATCTACCCAATCATTGTGCGATCCAGGTACTCCTAAAACCCAAACACCATCACTATCATCAACTTTCTCTCCCCCAGGTGTTTCCCCGTGTCACAAAGTGCAAGTTCTGGAAGTACGGTCCCTCTGGCACCGTGCAGAAGCATGATGCACTCTGCGTGCTGGCGCTCAACATCATCAACGAGAAGATCTACGTCATGCTCTGGTTCTGGCTGGTCATCCTCTCCATTCTCAGCGGGTTAGTTCAGTCATCAGTGATGTCAATTACGGAAAATCGTGATACCGATACGAAACCAAATGCCAACAATATCCATGGAAAAATACCGAAACCAAACCGACTTGGGAAAATGAGGAAAATACCAACTTTTTACCAAATTCTCAGCCCCTTTTACATTAGTGAGGATTCATACTACCAACAAAATACCAAATGCACATTGCACGCGCCTTGAAATACCAAATACCAATTTGGTATTGGTTTGGTATCGGTATACCAAAAAGTTGGTATCCGATTGACATCTCTAGTTCAGTCATCAGTGTGTTATTTAACGTTGTTACGAGTGTTGTTCATAGTAGAATGTAGATGTGAATTGCCCCTGTGCTTATGCGTATTGCCAAATATGATCAGAAAAGGGTTAAAAGCCTACCTATTTTTGACTGGGCTGATGTGAGGGATTCAAGTATTTTGCATTTTATTATTACTATTTTTAAAGACAATACTGCTCAGGTTATTTACGTCAGGTCAGGGGATGCAGGGGATGTGAATACTTTGCGTTTTTTTTTAGGCAATGCTTCTCAAGCAAGTAACGTCTTATTTTTGTATACGCCAAATGAGCTGTTAGAATTTCGAACGTTTTTGTTCGACTATGGTCTCACACAATCGCATCGCAGTACAAGACTAAATTACTAAGTACTAAATTCAGCCAACTATATTAATTTCGTTCTGCTTAGTCAGGCTTAGCACTGCAGTAGGTACCTACTGCCACTCCACAGAGATCAGTCATATATAGCGTTCGCCTTAGTGCCTATGTCAGCATTGCAACTATCTTATGTGGTGAAAAGACCCTAGATTGTTTATCGGATGATCTTTCTCGAAATGTTCAGACGATTTATTATGGACCAGTGCACGGGTGAAAGACATGAATAATGTGTGCCCTAATCGCATATTGACCGAAGTAACATTACTTTTTAGAGTGAATAAGTTAAGATTTATAGGTCGCTTTACGAGTTTATCACATAACTTAGGTATACCTAGGCCCGGGCTCCGATGAGGGGTCAAATACAATATACATGTAAGATTTAAGAGAACAATCATGTTCTTTTAAACAAATGTGGAGGTACATGTCGGTTATAGTCTCTGGCTTGCACGTGTATGATTTTTTTTCGCCACCGGTGTATGCTGAACGCGCCGCGGTGCTACAGTCACAGAGTACAAACGTGTCGGGCCGCAGTGACGTTATCTTGGACAAATATAGGGCGACCGTTGAGAAATGCACACATGTGGAGCGATTCGGGCCGGGCTGAGAGGCCCGCGCTCCACTTCAAACACCTGACAACATGCTGCTAACGCCGCTATAGAGGTGCGGTAGACCAGAATGTGGGACACATTGTGTGAGGGGAAGCATGAAGTGGCACATCAAAGATTGTGCTAAAAGAAGGCATGCAGAGCAGGACTGAAAAAAGTTGTTTTATCGATAAGTATTTTACCCTTTCCTTTTGGAAAATGTTTATCAGCATCACTATTTTACATGCTTTACTTAAATTGAGACAGTACCTTACCTATATTTATTGAAAAACTGAATGAAGGCAGTCTATAACAAAAAACGTCTACTTCAAAGCTTTCTCGAAGAGATTTAGTCGGCACCTGACTCGCTGCATATCAAAACGCTGCCCCGCCATGTTAGACAATGTTAACACTATACATAAAGCGGAATGCCTCTTGCGAATGTCAGATATGGAACAATCAATCATTGTCCCGTCAAGAGAGTTTCAAATCAATCTCCATACTTTGCGATGTCTACCAGATAAAGGAAAAAAGTATGGCGGCTGCTAACCGGGCGTGGTTCAAGAAGGTTCGCCATTATAGGAATGGAAATAATAAACCTATTATAGCATAAGCGAATGAGAACTTATTCCACAAGAAATCGTTCGGGCCGAGGCTTTCGCGTTGTGTTTGCAAAACTTGGTCAGCGTGACGTGTCCGTGTACCGGGGAAATCGGTAGCAAAATTAACCCAAACGATTTCTTGTGGAGTAAAGACCTCATTTACTCATAGCATTCACAAACTCCACATCATGTCCTTATACATAGAAGATATGAATCAGCTAAAGAATACTGACGTTGTTTCGTTTGTATTAGTGACGTCAGTAGATGTAACATAATGACACCGAAAGTCTGAAGTCATGCCCACGTGTTGCAAATGACTGCCTACGCGCTACTGCACTTTGGCCGGCGACGAATGAAGTGTTGTTAGAATGTGACCGAGTGTATGTATGTCTATGACTGGGCTCTGGTGATGTCCGCTCCTGGTGTGTACCGATAGATTACAGTGTATGCAGTTTGCATCACTAGCCCAGGAAAATGCGGCCCTTAGACGGAAATCAGTCACATCCGGTATTGTTTCTAGCAGATCTTGCAATGTGCAATGTACAATGCATGCATTGAGCACTGAGCGGCGTGCAGTGTGCACACAAGTTTCCGTTACATGTTCGATACGCTATCACACGATAAACGTTCATACATACACCTGCTTTACCAGGATAGACTAAGTAAATACCAGTATAACGCCTTTTGGGGCGACTAACGGAGCGAACGAGAGGGTGAGCCTTGCACGTGCGAAATTTCGAGGGGGTACCTCCAGCTGACTTGTGCACGGCACTCTACTAACCGGTCTCTAGCGATGTGCCAAATTTGAGCACAATCGGCCCAGTCGTTCTCGAGATCTGGAAGCGGCACCCTGCACGTGCGCACGTGCAAAATGGGTCCCAACTGACTTTTGCACGGCACCCTACTAACCGGTCCCTAACCATGTACCAAATTTGAGCGCCATCCGTCCGGCCGTTCTCGAGATCTGGAATCGACCCCTGCACGTGCGCACGTGCAGCAGCACCCCAATTTTGGCACATGGATATGCATTGCCTAGTGGGTGTCTTGTCTACCTGCATGCCAACTTTCAGCGCAATCGGCCAAGTAGTTACCGAGATATTGCAACAACTACAAAAGTGACACCTCTTCGTTTTGCACGTGGCACGTGCATAAGGGGTCACCCACATGCATCGGGAATAGTCCAATACTTGGTAGAATGAATGAAGCTACCCTACAAAAATTACCGCATGTAAATCGATCAGGTGGTTGCTGAGATATAAGCGTGGCAAAATCGGGACCACGTCCGGCCGGCCCACAGTGGGCGATCCGGCCGGTGTAGCCTCGCGAAACCTACCGGCATTCATAACATCCACGTTTTTGAAGCTAGGACCACAAAATTTAGGAGCAACCTTCTTGAATATCCAATGAGCATATGTTTTAAATAAGGACTATCTCTTTTAGGATTTGTGCTCTGTGGCGAGCTTGCAATTTGCCTAATTGTCGCTGGAATAACGCATGAATACTTTTGAGGGTAGGTCGAAATTTATGACGATATGAGCTGGGTAGGACATTGAAATGGTGTGTACCTCCGTAGAAAATTGTTTCCAAACCAACTTTGTATTCAAACGATTATGCCCTACCAATTTATACATATCATGAAACAGCGTAAACCTCGCCCGGCAAGGCTCCATTTCATAACGTGACTCAAGCAGCGGGTTTGGTTTTTGGTAAATAACTTCGAAAAAATGGCCGCAGAACCACGATTTTGACATCGTCGTGTTCGCCTTGCTCAGGCGCGTCGAATGGTATACTTTTTGTTCAGTTGAGGCCACTGTAAGGTGTTGACCTCGAGTCAAGGTCAGGTCAGAGGTCTTCAAATCACGAAGTTGGTCGAAGGAGGTCATATCACATATCATTCGATTCGGCAGGTCTTCCGGAGTCCATTGGGGACCTTGTCGACTCTCTAGCTCAATTTGATCGGGAGTTATTGACGAAAAACTCGTATGACTCTAGTGACGTCATAAATGACGTCATGCAAGGTCAATGCAAAAATGCAGCATCAGGTCTTGCAAGGAGTGCATGAAGTAACGATTCCATGTACTTGAGACAATTGAATATCATTTCTGGCGCCAAAATAACAGTTTTCATATTTCCCCATTGACTTATAGGTGAGGTCACGTGACCAACCTGACTTTATGTGACATTTAGGAAAAATCTGATATATAAAAGTTGTAAGACCTCTAAAGGACAATAAGTCCTGCAAGTCTCACCTCCCTGTGAAAGTTACTCTGGCACTGAGAGCGTTGCAAGGCTGCGACATCTGAGGATCGTGCAGAGGTTCATTTATGACGTCATAGGTCAGTGACCTGACCTGACTTGAAAGTGCGGTTGGTGTCACAAGATCCAGCGTGCATCAAAGGTCAGGTATGCCAAGTTGCAGCTCTCTATTGCCTGGGTGTTTTGAGCTATCGCGAAAACACCCTTTGGGGCATTTACCACTTGTGCTCAGGTGCACCAAGCCACGGCCAACCCTTAGAAGAAAAAAGTGTCTGGATGCCAGGGCTGCAAGTGGCTGCAAATTTTCACTGGCTCCCCTAATAGACAGTGTCATAGTGCATGCGATACAGCATTATTTTCAGTTCATCCTCGTAAAACTTTTTTTTGCTGGGCTTGGTTAATTCAGTGAACGTAATGTTCAGTGGTAGAAAAAAATATAAAAAGTTAACCTAATTATAAGACATTTTGAACTGATTTTGTCTCATTGCTTTCTATGGCGGAATCGTCTAAACATCTAAATTTCACTTTCCATGCAAAATGGATGCTCAGCACCTAGCAATTTCATCGTTACGCAAAATATTCAAAGAGCGTAAAAATCGGCTGTGGTTATCCCCCTTATGAAGTGTTACGGAACGCTGTCTTTAACGATACTTTTGTCTACGAAAAAAATGTCTCCTGAGCCATGCAAATACACTAATCGTAATATTTGATGAATTTTCTGTCGACTTATGTGCGTCCGATCACCGACGCAAGTTTGTCCTGGGCACCGTCTACCGCCCTCCGAGACGCAGCGTGGCCGACCTGGAGGCCGACTTCTCCGACCTGGAGGCCCAGTACCAGCGAATCACCATCGACCATCCATCGACCAATATTTTAGTCTGCGGTGATTTTAACTGTGACTTTTTCAAGCCTCCCACTGACCCAGCTAAACGTACACTGTCTGATTTTTTATCGATGTACTCGCTCACTCAATTTGTTAAAGCTCCGACGTTTACCTCTGGTTCACTACTTGACATTTTTATATCGAACAGTCGCATTCTAGTCAAACGTTGTAGCACAGTATTCTGTCATTTTAGTCCTCATAAACTTGTACGTACTGTTTTAAAAATCCCACGTCACCGTCAGCCACCGCGGACTGTTCGATCTCGTTGTTTGCGCCGTGTTTCCCTCGTTCAACTTCACTCGGACCTTCTACGCACTGATTGGACACCTGTGTTTTTAGCGTCCACCGTCACTGTCAAATGGAATGTTTTTACCGGCATTTTCTTACCGATTATTGACTACCATGCGCCCATGCGGACCGTGCGCATTAGGAACGTTCGTGCCCCCGCCGTTAGTGACGACACCCGTTCTCTGATGTCTCGCCGCCGCGCCGCGCTAGCCTCTCTCGGCCACAGCTCCACCGAGTACAAGGAGCTCAACCGCGCTGTACGTGCCGCTATTAGGAGTGACAGCTGTCACGATATCCAGCGCCGTCTACGCGAGGAGGGGAGTGGCTCTCTGTGGCAAGTTATTAGGCCAGCGGTCGAGAGTGGGAGAGCCGGGCACAGGCTGCCTGACGCCACGCCCGATCAGCTGAACTGTTTCTTTGTCGGCGTAGGTCCGCGTGTCGCCGGCGAGGTTAGAGATGCAGGGGAGACACCTGACCTGCCGTGCCGACTGCCACGTGTTGGAGCCTGTGCTTTTACCTTGACGACCTTGTCGCTGTCGGAGTTGAGGGCTGTCGTACTCGGCATGAGCGGCTCCGCCGCCCGCGGAGAGGATGGTAGGTATTTGCGCGCGCATGGTCCGCATGTCCTTTGACGCGATTGGCCCGGTGCTCCTGCATTTGGTCAATTCCAGCATCTCTCTATCGGATGTCCCTCAATCCTGGAAACATTCCCTCGTACACCCCATCCACAAAACCGGTGATCCTTCAGATCCATCAAATTTCGGCCAATCTATATCGTTCCTATTGTATCCAAAATTGTAGAGAAAGCCGTACATCAACAGCTCTACAGTTACCTATCCAACAACCATCTCCTCTCCCCCACTCAGCACGGTTTTCGGCCTCGTCACTCGACTGAAACCGCGCTGATATCCATATCCGATCACATCCTATCCGCTACCGACCGTGGAGAGCTATCCCTTCTCTGCCTGCTGGATTTGAGCAAATGTTTTGATGTGATAGACCACGATAAATTATTGACTAAATTGCAGCTTCATGGTATTGGTACAGCTTGGTTTTCGGCATATCTTCACGGCCACACCCAAAGTGTCAGCCTCACTGACGCTCTGGGTGGAAGAACTACTTCATCTCCGCTCCCCAACAGCATCGGTGTTTTCCAAGGCTCCGCCCTCGGCCCTCTTCTCTATTGCATTTTTGCCAACGACCTTAGCTTGTTCGCCGAGGATGCAGTCGTAGTTCAATATGCAGACGACACCCAAATTTTGGTCAGTGGAAAAAAGTCAGAAATTCATAACGTAGTATACCGGATGGAACAGACGCTAGCTTCTCTTGACCTCTGGTTCCGTGCCAACGGCTTAAAAGTCAATGCCGGGAAAACTCAACTGATGCTGCTAGGTAGCGCTCAAAATTTGCGCAATGCCCCAAATGTTACGGTAAAATTTCGCGATCACGTTATCACTCCCGTTTCGGAAGCACAAAATCTTGGCCTGACGTTCGATCGCAACCTCACCTGGAACACTCACGTCTCTGCCGTCACCCGGCGCTGTTCCGGCATTCTCAGTGGCCTATCACATCTCAGGGGGCGCCTGCCTCCGTCCGTCATCTCCGTGCTGGTCAACGCCTTGGTTCTCTCGCAGCTTCGATACTGTATCACTGTCTATGGCAACGGTTCGAAGAAGAACCTTGCACTCATTCAGAACTCTAAATTATGGGGCAAAAATCATTTTCGGACGCAAAAAGTATGATCACGTGTCGGACCTGCTTGAGAAGCTGCGTTGGCTCAGCGCGGAGAACCTTGTGGTGCATGGCACACTGTGCATGGTGCACAAACTGCTGCGCTTCGGTGAGCCCGAGGTGTTAGCCGCCGGTTTGTCAACCGTGGCTGCCGCTAGGAGCTCACTAGGAGCGCAAGCTAGGGTGACCCGACAGGACCACTCACTATATGTGCTCCGATCTAGAACCGAAGCAGGCAAGAGGCGCTTCATCAGCCGTGGTCCGGTTCTTTACAACCGCCTGTCACCCGATTTGCTCGGGCTCCCGGTGCCTGTTTTTAAGCACCGCCTCAGGCGGCTGCTGACGGATCCAACCTGACTGAGTTGAGCTAACCATCTGGTGTGTATGTGTGCTGGTATTGTCTGTATCTATGTTTCTTGTATTATCTTGACTATGATGTATGCGAGTGTGATTGTGATGCTTGTCTCTCTTTATCTTGACTTTGAAAACACCGTTTTAATTTTTGACGAGAGGATGTAATAGCCGCTTTTAGTGGATTTCCTTAATACACGTCTGAGTCTGAGTCTGAGTCTGAGTTGTTTTCCAATTTTCGGAAAAAAGTGTCTTTGAGGTTTCGCGAGGCTAGACCGGCCCGATCGCCTACCGTGCGGCCGGCCGCTCATACTCAGAAATTTCCGTTATAGTTCTACGTAAGGCTCCGCTCGCTTCGCTCGCTCCGTAATAAGTTTTTTGCGTTTTTTTTTGTAACTTCTTTGGTAGGCTTTGGCAAGCTTCTGTGGTATGTTTAGTTTTACTGTTCTTCCACAAGGCTCGTATATACGCATTACGTGCATGATAGCATGGATACAGAAATAGTATACTGAGCACAGCACACACTACACATTATGTACACAGCAGTACGAAAACCAGTATTCATTCCTCCATATGTGTTCGGTGTCAGAAGAACAGGCTGTGCCTCCTATCACACTTATCGCTAGATCACATTTGATTTCGACGTTTATGGTTGAAATCACTATTTACAGATATGTTCGCTGATGCCTTTTTACAGTCTTGGAGCTGTAAATCGCAGTAGTGTCCTGATCTTGTTTAACACAGTATAGGGGCCAGTATCGTGTTTATCACGCAAAAACGACAAGATAGTAGGTCGGTTCTCGAAGCTGGTATTCTCTATTACGAACACCTGCGCAGGGGATACGGAGTTTTACCATATTATGATTTACAGTGCACAATTACGTTTGTAGGCATAACTGTCCAGACTGTGGGTAACAATGGGAAACGGATCTGAGAAGTAAGGAACAGAAATTTTGTAGAATTTGTGGGAGCAGTTGTACTGAAATCTACTTTTCTCTGAAATACAAGCACAATCTCTGTACACTACAAACATTTGCAATTCAATTAAGAATCCTTCCGATCTGCTATATTTTGACTGACACCATTCCATCAGGACCACCCCAAGTACCACCTCTCACATTACTTATACCATAGATTATAGACTACCATAAGCAAAAACTACAATAAATGATAGTCTATCATACCAGCAACATGACCCGATGTTAACCTTTCGTGTTCTTTATTCCCACAGACTAGCGCTGTTGTACCGCCTTCTCACCATCTTTTCGTCGTCAACTCGTGCGCGTCTGCTGCGTCAGCACGGCGGAGTTCTCGGACCGAACACGGAGACCACGCGCGACACCGTCGACCGGCTGATCCCCCGGTTCCAGTACGGAGACTGGTAAGTACAATATGGCGACGGGAAATCCAATATGGCGGCAAGGGTAATGATGTCAATTAAAGATAACTCGGAAACCGATACCAGGCCAAATACCAACCAAAACCATTGGAATATTCAAACAAGCAAACACACTTTGCAAATTTGTTAGAAATACCTACTTTTTACCAAAGTCATAGCTTTTAGTGCTTACATAAGAATTAATAAGGACTCATCAAACCAACAAAATATAAAAAACATAAGGGCTTAAATATTAGATACCGAGTTGATAGGTATATGTTCGGTATCGATAAAGAAAAAGATGTAGGCATTGATTGTGATCTCTATGGTAGTGGGATCAATATGGCGCCCAACGAGTCCAATATTTCAGTTGGTGAGTTCAATTTGGTGGAACGTGAGTTGAACCTTGAACATATTACATAGTGATTCATCTATTATTGACTGTGATACCAAAAAAAGTAAAACGAGTCGGTTTTATTAGCAGTTCAACGCCTTCTGTTAGTTGGAACCTATGTCTTCTCTTCCACCCGAACTATTTTGATTCCGGGTATTGCGACCAAATGCTAACGGAAACTTTTCAAATTGCTTTCATCCGAACCAATTTGAAGACTGAGTTAGAAAACTATAAGTACACAGTAAGCCGATCTTTAAAAATCAAAAAGTTTTAGAAACTTGAAAAAAAATTGGAACTTGATAGGTTACGTGAAATGAAACTGTCCCAATACTTGGATGTCAATTTGAACGTGGTTTGTGTTGCCGAATATAAAATCGGTACCAATTTGTGCTGCCCCTAAAATGGTATCCGATTGGCATGTCGATCTAGATACCATCGTCTGACTGTTTCCGCGCTCCGCCAGGTACCTGATGCACAGTCTCGGCAAGAGCATGGGCAACCTGACGTTCACCGATGTCCTGAAGGCGCTGGAAAAGCAGCTGAGCCGCTCCTCTCCTGATGATGACGAGAAGACCCTGCTGCACGGAAAAGCCTTCTCCAGTGTGTAGGGTGCCAGAGCTCAAAGTGCATGGTATAGATATAAGAAAAAGTTTTATGCATAGCCTGATGCTCATAGCATATTGTAAAGTTTAAATGAAATTGAGAATGATATTTCGAACACTGGGTCTTCACCAGATTCGAAGCTGGTGAGGACCCAGTGTTCGAAATATCATTCTCAATTTCAATTAAACTTTACAATATGCTATGAACATCAGGCTATACCTACTTAAAAGTTTTTCTCATATCTTTACTTTTTAAACAAGTGCTCAGCAATGCACCTCCAGCCTTAAAAGTGCATGGTTAAATACTTTTTTAGTGAAAGGACCTTTTTCAATTGTCAGTATTATTAGGAATGTGATATACCTGCACTTTAATACATAATTTTTAAATTGCATTTTGAGATTTACTATATTTTCACAATGTATCGAAATTCCACTGATAAATCGAGACGTGAGTAATCATTCAATAAATCGCAATCGAATCAATCGATTTCCATTTTCTAATCTAGCATCATGAGGATTAACACCAAAAGGTGCCTAATTGCTGCCTATAATGAAGATTATATATTCCCGACCGGGGCTGGGAAAATGCGTTTTATTCACCGAGTTTTTTGTGCGGAGGACCGAGTGCCGGTAGGCACGAGGTCCGTAGCAAAAAACCGAGGTGAATAAAACTGCATTTTCACAGCCCAAGGTTGGGAAGAGATTTACCACATGCCGTACCGGCGCAACAGTTAATATCACATTCATTTGATATTTTACACTTTAATCGTAATATTGTGCTAATATTATATTAGTACTATGTTCATATTTATAGTCACCATGATTATTTTTTGTGTTTTCCATTATTGGGCTGCGTTGAGTATGAAAGATGAAATTCCTACTTCCCCTTATTTAGGGTTTGGAAAAGCTAAGGATGAAGATGATGAAGCGCCAGAAGTTAGAATAAAGATATGGAGTCCAGCAGGAGTGAGGAAACCGTGAGGAAAACTGAAAATTGGGTGAAACGCTGAATCAAACGCGTCTTGAATCCCAGCTGGAACAATATCAAATGTTTCATTGTGGCACGTTAAGATGCTTCACGCATTTAAATTGATCGTTTTTTGCGTGCATTATGTAGAAATAATTATTATTCCGATTTCCGACCATCTTTGATGTTCTGCAGCAATAAATACATTGGCATTGGAACGATAACCTTGTTTAGTTGAATTACGTTGACAGCAAAAGTATGTAAACACGCAGTCACTTACTTTTGCTGATGCTGTTAGTGAACACACAATCCGTAAATATCTTCTTTGAAATTGGTTCTTCCGCTCAGAATATTCAGTAAAACTTTGTCTGGGAAAATCAAAAAGCCCTAGGGCCGAATCGTTTCCCAAATACCTTCAACATTAGCCGAGGCGGGCCGAAGCCATTTCCCAAATGCACGTGCTAATGTTAAAGGGATATCTCGGCATGTGGTAAAATTTAGAAATCCTTACAGCTCTACCACAACATGATTCACATGAGCTGTCTCACCTATCTATGAAAATATCGGTCATATCTACGCATGGGAATTTACAATGCCATAGCATTACGGCTGCTGCAGTTCGAAAGATGTCTCACGTGCACAAAATAAAACACCATTGATTTTTCTAATGAGCGATGACGGCACGCTTTACACGAATGTAAAATTTCTGGCTTTTGCATCCTTCTTGATAACCTCGCTTCAGCTGTGCCAATATTCAGTAGTGAAAGAGACGACAGTAGATTCAGGAAACATTCAGAGGGTATATCTCAACCGCAGCTGCACAGCTCGTATACAGGTCGTTACCGGACTTGGGACCTTGTCAGTTGTTTTGGCACTGGCTGCGTCAGCACAATCTCGTCTCACGAGAGGTGGGCGTCCTTCAGATATCTGGCTGGCAACGACGCATCTGTGGGTTCGGCAAGTTGATAAGGGCATGGTCCACTCGCTATAGTCTGTTTTTCGTATCTTCTACCTTCACTCAAAGATGTTTTGCCCCTCCAGCACGTTTTTAGGGTCAAGTTTTCAAATCTTGACCGCATGGCCATCCACTCATTGCAGGAGTTTGTTGCTCGTGTTGGAGTTCGCCTTCGCTGCGCAGATAAAATCGGAAAAGAAACCTTTAAGCTAAAGTATCGCTTGTATTATCGTCACCACGGTTTATTGGTACTGAGTACCGACCTATACACAAGGACGTTTTGCTGTTCATAGGTAGGTACATACTTGCGTTGTGCGAAGCGCTCTTGATAAGAACATTTAAAGAATAGTTTAAAGCTTGCACTTCCTTTTCATTGGGTAAAAGAAACTAAATGTGTTATATGTTCTGCCATATTTTTTTTCAAATGCTTTATTTATGTTTTGCTTTATTTACGCTGCGATAACTTTTACACCGACGAATAACAAAATTGTCTTAGCCCACGCCCGCTTGGGGGTCCCCAGGCAGATTTGCTTCATCTTATAGTTTTACTATATGCCTCACGCGTCACGCGATCATCCCGAAAAGTAAGAAAGATGCGAAGACGCGGGCAAGAATCGATAGCTCTCAACAATTACTTTCAGCAGTATACGTATATAGTATATACCGCATTTTGCTGAGGTCAATAGTGAAGGCCACTGAAGGTCATAAATTTAAAAAATTCCTGAACTCAACATGTTTGGACAAATCTGACCAAACCTTGTCAACCGATTGAACTACAGCGCCGTCGAAACATTTTTAGTTCTAGCAGCTATTGGGTATTGTCGAAAGCTGCTGGTGATCTTTATCATCTGACATGACTTTTTGACCGCTGGCAATCACCAATGCCTTAGGGCTTATATTATGATATGATACACAAATGCAGGTAATAACAACAATAACACCCACGTATGCATTTTTCGTATTATATTGCGCTGAAAGCATGCCGGAGTTGAACTGTGCGACCACCCCACCACCGTCGGTGTTTCTCCGCACCTTCAACACTTTTCTTTCTTGTATCCAAGGAAGTAAGTTCGTTATTCTGGCGATATTCGTTGGTCGTGCTCCTTCTTCACTGCCTTATTTCAGTCACCTAACCCACATTTATTTTGCTTTGAAACGTTGAAAGAAAACGTTACGATCATTTTGTCTTGTCTGAGACCAAGGCCATTGCCCTTCTGTTGTTTGAAAACATAATGAAATTAGAAAGGGATAATTATGCCAGAATGAAAACATGATTACACTTTTTATGCAAATGCATTTCACTTGACAAAGAACATTGCATTTTGATTAACGAGATAGGCCAAGGGGACAGACGTTCGATCTTGCGTTCGAGATAAAAATTGACTTTGCAGCGGTGTTGATTTAATTAGATGTTCGCTGGAGCACGTGATTAGAGAGTTTATCGTCTTTGAGTGAAGGTAGAAGATACGAAAAACAGACTATAGTTATTGATCAGCCAGCCATCCACTCGTGCCCATAGAGATCTTATATACATAAGATCTCTATATAAGATCTCTGTATATAAGATCTCTATGCTCGTGCCAACAAACGCCGAGACGAATGGACATTTTGTATTAATTCTGTACACCAGAAAACTCTGAGTAATCGCAGATCGAATAACGTCGTACATGTACGAACAACATCGCAGTTGTTCGTCTCGAGAAGCAAAATGTGCAGCATAGTGACAATGGACGAAATAAATCATAATCTTCCCCTCTGAGGACGGAAGGTCGCAAGGCGCAAAACATCGTTATTTCGAAATATGTGAGCATGTTGTCATGAGGTGAGTGCCGGCTGCCGCCTTACAGCGAGGCATCACTTATAAATGCTGCATACGATTTTAGATACTTTTTTGGCTTTGGTATGAACAGATACCCCTGCGTTATCTTTAATTTTCAGTTTAATCAGTGCAACACAAATGACAGATGATTACAAATGACTACATCAGATAACTGATAATAACATCCATTCAGAAGAACGGGAAAAATAAACTCTACAATGTTCACTGCCTTGTGCATGGCCAATATTTTCGTATGCCTTGCAGGGAAGAATGGAGTTCATATACATGTTGTAAGCGTATGTAATGTAATCAATAATCATAGCTCTATAAAGACATGTGTTACATTTTCTTTTATTCGATGATGAATGACATTATCCATCATACTACAGGTGGATGCGTGATTGACCTAGTTAGGTACTTGTAACTTTGCACATATCTTCAAATGAATAATCACCAAATGAAGACACAATGTTAAGCATGCACCAACATTCGCATTGTACAGTAAGTAGCGCGCAAAGTGACGGTGGATCCATCAAGCCTGACCGAGGAAGGGCCTGCTGCAATTTGAAAGTCACCGAACCAATTGATCTGGGGAATGGACGAGGATGTCAATTGCTTCGGTGACTCAAATTTAGCCGGCTCTTCATCGGTCAGCTTCATGGATCTACCCTTACTTTGTGCGGTAATTTTAAGACAGACTGTACTGTCAATTGATGACTATAATAATTTCTCTGAGTGTCACTCCGAAATGCCACAAAACAAGCGTATCAGCTTCATGATAGATAATGTTTGAAATTTTACTTTTGAGTGGTGATATTGTGTCGCATGGATGTCCATTGTGAGTGAAATACTCTGTGCACTATAGCTTCTAGATCGACTATTCTTCAATACCACGTCTTGATTTGCAGATGAATTGTCCGTGGTATGCGCCTGATGCTGGGGTTTGTGATCGGTAGCTTGTGGTTTCTGAAAGAAGAATTACACGCATCAGCCTTACGGGGGGTCAACATGTAGCTGAAATTCGTGTTGAAAATGATTCATCTTACTACTTGCGCCCATGAGTAAACCAAAAATGAAATCCACTTGATCAGCAAATCATGAAGCAGTCTGGGGAGAGAATATTTAACCCTCGCCCCATGGCAGGGCATTTTTCTTAACACGGCCTGGCGGGGGGGGGGGGGGTTCGATGCGATCCCCCCTCGCGATTGGCTCCTATGGCACTTAGAAGCACCAAATTTGGTAGGTAGGTGGGCCCCCTGGAGTTCTCGCCCCTGTGCAAATTTGGTTGCTCTAGGTCAATATTTAGGGGGGTTTTGGGGGGTATAAATGTAAAAATTTCGCTAAAAACAGGTCAAAAGTTTTCGCTTATAACTTTGATCTAATTAAGGTAGAGCAAAAAAAAAGCACCAGTGAACTCAGCACATCAAGGCGCCGCGAATGATATACTTTTTAGTTTGCTTAAGTGTACTTAAAGTTGTTCTTAATTTTTAAGTAAACTTTAATTATTTAATTAAGTTCAAGTTAACCAAAATGCATCATATCGCATATCCTTCGATTCTGCTGATCACCAGGAACACAATGACACCATTGTTTAAGCTCTAGCGTCATTATGTGCCAAGTTATTGGCAAAAACGTCATTTGACCTCAGTTGACCTCATTTGACCTGACCCATGGATAAGTACACCAAACAAAGAAGCACCAAGTGACCTGCTGTTAAGTACTGTGGTTTCAAGGCACAAAAGTGATAGAACGAAGCGGATATCTCCAGTATTTTCCGAATTTAGTATTTTCCCATAGGCTTAACATTACGACGTAATGATCTCTAACTGACCTCAGGTCAGTGACCTCAAAAAACCCGAACTATATGTTATACAACCGGGTGAACTTAGCACATCCTGAAAGTTTGAAGGAAATCAGTGCAAAACTGTGAGTTGGACAGGTGCAAAAAGAAAATTGAAATTTGACCGTGACCTTGTACTTGCTTTTCTGACCTGGTGACCTGACCCAAGGTCAACCGGACCTGAAATTTTCAGGTCATATGTAAAAAGGTTGCCCCATAGGCTAGCTATCTTCGAAAAACCTTAGGGGGGGTCGCATCGATCCCCCCCCCCTGCCAGGGCGAGGGTTAAGTCTCAATTGAACCAAAAACCAAACCTTAAAGTGTTTCCCATTCTCCCAGCTTCGGTGAACGTATTTGCAAATTTATCGCCCACAGCGAACCTTATATTCGACATGCGGTACCAACAGCGCCGTCTAGCGTTCGACGTACCTTCTCCCTATGCCCGCAATCAGCCTCTATCAGCAACCATAGCGCCACCCAATTATACAGCACCAAGCGCCACCCAGGGTATATTGAATTAGGGGGTAGGACCAAGTTTAGTAGGCATGATCTCAGCAATTATCTTGTTTTATATGGCGGTTTTCATTATCACAATATTATTTTTAAAATCATGAAGTTTGTATATCTCGGTTTTACGAAAAATAGTAGGGCAACAAAGATAAATTTCGCGAAAAAAAATAATTTTAGTTGGAAACATCCATTCTGGTATGTAAAATTCAGTATGAAGCCCAGTATGGTGACCGTCTAGTGTGCTTCCAAAGCTGAGTACCTGATATCAACAGGAGTTGTTTACTATTTTGCCTTACGTTGCTAGGTGGTTGCTAGGGAGCTAAGGATACTCTCTTGCGTGATCATTTGCACTTATTTTTCCTCATTATATCGACATGTTGCTGTTTCTGAGACCTAACTCATGCTAAGAAAAAAAAAACAGTTTTCTTAAAATGTGTATTTAAGTGCCGTAGTATTAACACAGCTCTGCAATTCTGCTTAAATATCTGCAAAATCCTGACTTCCCGGAAAATTGGTGGTGGTGATGGGGATCGAGCCCGTCGATGAAAAGTAAGTCAATATTCAAAGGCTTCAAATCGTTATTTCTTGTTGTTCTGTGAAATAGCAATGTACAGACCGATGATAGTGCCAGTGTTGAGCTTTCCAATGAAGCATTGCAATTAGTAGTAAGATTATTATCATCTAAGATATCTTCCATCAAATATTAGAATTCTACCATTGTCTTGCTGTAGAACAGGGTTACTTTCAGTCTCTTGGGAACACGATTTGCCGGTCTCAAATCGAAAAACACTTCAAAATGCGGTAATAGCCAATAAAATTTACCACCTGATAGCATCTCGGGTTTTTATATATCCTGTCTAGAATTTTCATAAATCAAACGTAAAAATGACCAATTTCGTCAGATTCCGAATTTTTGCCATTGGGTCTAATGTAAAGCATGGCTACTTTCAGTCTCTTGGGAACACGATTTCTGTACCTCAGAATGAAAAACACTTCAAAAGTCGCAGATCGTAGACGATTTAATCTACAAGATAGCATCTCGCTTTTTTCTGTATCTGGTCATGTATCTTCATAAAACCTTCTCAAATATAGTCAATTTAGCATTAAAGTCTAATGGATTTAGAAGAATTTTCATATCCGACTAGATTTGGGCTACCATGTCTGTTGACCGGGGGCCGAGCGCCACCTACCTTCCAGCCTCCCTCCGTCGTTTTGCCCGGCTGTGCAGTCGCTCTGCTAGTAGCATCAGCCCGCTGGACACCATCCCAGCTAGCAACAGCAGGAAGGCACCCAGGGTCTGAAGCAGGGTGGCGGCTGACGCCAGCTGGGGACTGCAGACCTCCCGCTGGCGAAGGATGGAGCGGTAGAGCTTCTCCGTGACGCCTGCTTCGTCCAGACGCTGCAGACTGCAGAGAGAGAGAGAGAGAGAGAGAGAGAGAGAGAGAGAGAGAGAGAGAGAGAGAGAGAGAGAGAGAGAGAGAGAGAGAGAGGGAGGGAGGGAGGGAGAGAGAGAGAGAGAGAGAGAGAAAGAGAGAGAGAGAGAGAGAGAGAGAGAGAGAGAGAGAGAGAGAGAGAGAGAGAGAGAGAGAGAGAGAGAGAGAGAGAGAGAGAGAGAGAGAGAGAGAGAGAGAGAGAGATTCGTCAACAAGTAGGATTTTACCGTTCACGTCATTTTTCCACTTGAGATAGCTTGTTTTGCGTTAAAAAAAAACTTTTTCAGTCGAAGCCACTCCTTACATGTAGGTGCAGTGCGGTAAATGAAGAAATGTCAGAGTACTCAATAAATAAATGTCGTAAGGCAAGGTTTGTCATCTTCCCATCAATTTCCACCACATCCAGCGGCCTCCACCCGTCGCTTTCTTTCTGCTCCAGCCCAATATACCGTTTGCCAAGTGCGATAGTTCTTGTTTGTTCTCACACTCATCTCACCGATCTCACCTCTGGTCGAAGAGCTCCTTGTAGGGTGAGTTGTTTTGTAGGCCGAGCGCGATACCGCCCGGGGCGTATTCTACCTCCAGCTTGTGCACACGACAAGCTATCTCGGGAGCCATCTTGGATAGTTGATAGTCGGCTGCCTCATTGGGAGCAATGAACGCATAGTTGCCTCGCGCCACCTGTCGCAAACGCGCAACAGTTGTAACACATTCTCAAATGCCATTTTAAAAAGCTTTGGCTGGACCGTACCAAAAAAAAAAAATAGTTCGCTAGTGAGTGAGCGTGAACGTCAAAACGAAGCTCGAATGGGATTAGAAAATGAGCACTAGCAATCCGGCATCAATGCAACGGTTATTTGACATGGTTTTATAAGCACATCCAGCTCAAAGCCAACTGTGACCTGTGACCTTCAACCTCACTGAGTACCCTGACATGTTTCTTAGTCAATAATGACATGGACAACAAATAGCATACTGCTACCCCAAGTCAATCATCTATATAGGTACCTATTCCTATATCTATATAATACTGAACGAGGCCGGTGTAAATAGATTTTCAAAACCGAGTTCTTACTGGATTTTTGAAAGAGGCCGAAGGCCGAGTTCAAAAATCAGTAAGACCTGAGTCATGAAAATTTATAACCGGCCAAGTTTGGTATGCATTTTACTGCTATGCCAACGATAAATTCTCTAGACCGAAGCTCTAAAGCCTGAAACAGACTCTTTCCGCAGTCAGGAAATCGCATGCGAGAGCCTATTCAAATGCATGGAAGCACGCTCGCATCAATCGCACGCACCTCCCGCAAGCGATTGATGCGAGAAGAATTAGGGGAGAGGCGGGAGAATTGGGACTTATTTCTCAAGCCATATTTACTGAGATATTATTTGAAAAGTATTGTTGCCAAGCTGCTTCGTGCAGCACCAATAAAAGATAGGCCATTTCTCTGCAGCATACCATCATAAAAAACCGAGCCTATGCAGTGGTGTGGTTATGTGTGGAGAAAAACAAAAACACTCATTTTGGGGAGAATAGGGACACACGCAGGAGAAAAGGGACAGACACGAGGCTGAATTGGGACACATTAAAATGAGATATTGGGACAACATTTTTATCTCGAATTATTGATCTGTCTATGTCTAGGCAATCAATTGATACGTTGGAACTTATATTCACACTATCTGCTTCGTTAAGGCCCGGATTGTCATTCACGATCACGATGTTCCCATAAAATGTACATTTTCCGACTTCTTGGTCTTCGTTTTGATGTATTTGTGGATAGGGGGCGCAGATGCAAACCCGTCCAAAACATGAAGGTAAATACACATCTTTTTGCACCATTTTACCATTTTCACCATTTGGTGTCCCAATTCTCCCACACCACCGCCATATCAAATCGCGCAATTTTTCTGTCATTTGTCAGTTACAGAGCGTGTTCATGCAAACTGGCAATCGCATAAAGACGGTGTTTAGCTAGCATCGCAACATCTTGAAAGAAAAATAGTTTGTCATATGCAATACACAGACAACTCAGAATAACACTCGAAAAAACAAGTTTTTTGGTGCTCAGACAGCACAGCCCAACCGACGGACACAAAAGGGTTGCTGAGGCTTCCCATCGTTGCACGACACATCGAATCAAAAGGTAAAGGCAAAAATCGTGCAAGGACGCTGCCCATTTTTTAAATATTGGCGTGTCCCTATTCTCCTGCGTCCCAATTCTCCCGCCTCTCCCCTACAATGTATTTGAATAGGCTCTCGCATGCGATTTCCTGAACGCGGAAAGAGTCTGTTTCAGCCTCAAGCCAACTTCTGAACGCGATCATCCAAAAATGTTGACTTAAGTGCAAACTGGTGCAACATTTTCGACCGTGGTCAATTTGCATACACCAGTTTACACCACACCTCTCCGGCTAATGTATTTGAATAGGCCAGGCACACACTGAAATGTGTTTAGGTACTTGGCCTTTGGCTGATTAAACTGTCATGACGGTCGGCGACACCTCATCGGCTGCATAACATCTCTTCAGAAGATATAATCGACTTTCAACGCTCCTAATGATATCAACATACAAATACATGCTCTACGTGACCTTTCGATGATGACGCATGACCTTTTGAGGCCAGCATAACTTACGCCATGTGTGTATATCGAACTCTTAAATCTAGGACATGTAAGTAGGAAGCACTCGAATCCCTCTGCATGTCGTGTTACCTTTCTGAATCCCTCCTCGTAGCTCTGCACCAGGTTGTTTCTCTTGTCGGGCAGAACGTGACCATTCCAGACGGCGGTCAGTGTGTGACAGTCGGGCATCGGGTTGTCCCTCAGGGCACACCAGTCCTGTTGAGATATAGGGGGATCAGCGTGTGACAGCCGGGCATTGAGCTGTCCGCCAGGGCCCACCAGTCCTGTAGGTAAATATGGAAGCATTGTTTTGCGAGGTTAGCGGATTTTTTTTTCTGGTAATGGGCGCCGATTAGTTGCTACACTTTCATCGAATTTTTGCCGCAGCCTGAAGTGAGCCGTAACTAGTTTATGTATAGGTAAATTTGATAGCCAGCTAATCAAAGAAATGACAAATCGGCAATTTGTTTGCTACCTTCAATGAAAAATGTTTAAATCGGGAGAAGTCAATGACTTATTTCAAAAAAGTAGCTATTACACAAATAAGCTCTTATACGCATTGTTCTTTCACTCTGAACCCGAGGATATCGCCAAAAATGCATTAGCTTAGCATTCTATACATCATCAGCAGCACACTGACCAGCACGTTCTCGATCAGCTCGCCCTCCTTCCAGCCGGCGCTCCAGTCGGGCATCTTGGTGAGGCCCTGCAGGTCGGCAAACGGCGGCCGCGGGCTGCCCGAGGAGCTCAGGAACGAGATGAGAGTGGCCGAATAGGCAGTGGTTAGTAGGAGACCGAGGAGAAGACAGCTGAGGAACGCCACTCGCGAAGATAGCCCGCTGGGGGAGTCCTGCGGGGGGTGCAAGAGCGTCATCGTAGGCGAAAATTGGGGTTGGAATGGAAAATTTTCAATCTGGAGGATATGACTTTGTATTATTCAATTCTGTATGCTTTGTTCGTTTTGTAGTCACATCCAATTTGTAGTTAATTGATGTCAAAAAGTATTTGTTGTATAGTATAATTTTTGTACGTTACGGCTTTGTACGTTTCGATTGTCAGAAATCAGGACAAAGCTCTGATAAATGGTTTTACGGCTATGATCTACAAATCATTATGATCCAGTACAATACAGCTAACAATGACCACATTTTTCCGGATAACAGCACCACAATTTGTGACATACATCTGCGCCTTGTTGCAGCATCAGTCCTAGCATGATCCAGAGCGTGTCGGCCAAACCAGCTTCTCCTTCTGCAACCTCGAGGAACATCCTGCCGTCATCAGTATCCTTCCAGTCCTCTCGACGACCGTCCTCCTGAGCACGCGCCAGGATCCTCTCGCAGAACCGGTGGGTGAGAGCCAGGAGGACGACCGCGGCCAGCGAGAGGGCGACCATGCCGGCGCTGATGCCACGCGAGTAGCGGGCCAGCCAGCTGTCCAGCACCGTGGGGATGTGCACGTACACACGCCGGCTGCAGACAGACAGACAAACGGGGTTGGAGATAGGTGTGGGCGTAGTGCTGTCAGGTTGTGATATTCAAGATTCAGTATGAGTTACAAAGCCATAATCCATAAGCGTTTGCCACGAAATGTTCAATTAAATAAACACCACTTGATTTCTTCCAGACACTGAATCCCTGATAAAACATTATCATCGACACTTTGACCTGTTTCAAAACCAATGCTCGCAAGCAGAAGTGACCGGATGCATCCGACGGGGCTACCAAACGACTTGCGCCTAGGACTAGTCGATAATCTATCTTATAAAGTTAAAACAAACACGGTCTGTAATTGTATTTAGCCAAAACCTCATTAAAACCGACACAGTCTGCAATAAGCCAACAACCACACTCTTTAACCCACAAAGCCAGTATTCCGCAAATGACCTAATAACAAACACGATCTTCATTTCTCCAACACCTCACCTGATAACGGATACGGTCTGAGTGTAGTCGATCACCTGTTCTCGCTCATTGGTAAATGACACTTCACTGACGGTCATGTCAGCCCGTCCAGCCTGGAGTTCGCCCACCATACCCGTGTAAGTGCCGTCCGGTCGCCGTTTCCCGTACGCGTACCCCTCCAGAAGTGTGATGTTTAAACTGTAGGGAGTGGAAGGTCCGGTAAACCAATGGTCGGGTCTTGGTAAATGAAGTATCTTGGCATAATGCTTGTCATTTTGGCGTTGGTTACAAAATAAGTTAAAAGTTTTGCTACCATTCTGGCTCGTTTGCTTTCTAAAATACATGCATATAAATGTAAAAGGTGAAGCAAGGTACAAAATTTATCATTACGTTTTTGACCATGAGCGTTTTTCAGCGTTACAACAATGTGGTTTTTTTAACTGTTGATAAAATATATGCTACATTTCATCAAGTTGAATTTTTTATTGCTAAGAAAGAAACCGTGGCACCCGTTGAGCCTCACAAGTACAGCAAGCACAGGAATTCCCATGTCGGCACTTTATTTTACCTACCTACGCATTCAAACAACTACTTCAGTCGAACAGGAGTCACTATAGTGGCAATTCACCCAATATGACATCACGGTATCAAAATAATGTCAACCGTCTATTGACATGCAAGGCAATTTTACGAGACATCACGCGTGCAAACGCTATAGGACAAACAATAAAAGCCAAGCACCGACAGGAACCAAATGTCACGAACGTAAAAGATGGGGCCATGCAAGGCCAACATGACTTGATCTCATGCGACTATGGTAACTACCCCTGCCGAATGGCATTCTAGCATGCTCAGCCTTGCATATGCCACAGCAGGACACTACTCGTATAAGGTGGCAGGCGCCGTTCATGCTATAAAGTCTGCTATTATAGTCACTTGAATAGAAGGATTTTTTTCACAGCTCACTGAGCTATGAATTTAAGTACAAAAATAACAAATATGTAGCTACTGTAGCTTTTATGCTCGGAAGAAATATATGCACGATAATATGACAAGTAAATGAGCAAAAAAAAAATCGTTAACACGATTGATTTGCATGGTACAAATTTCCTTCTGGTTGAGTTGAATGTTCGAAAATTATTTTATCACGCACATTGCTCTCAGTCGAACGGAATATATCAATAAAGCAAGCAACCAAATCCCCCAGACTCTTTCATTCATTTCCAATAAGCACCAGCATTTGTAGCACTCATCTATACTCAATTGCGTAACCTTGGCGTCTCCGTAAATGGTCTCCTGCGCGGTGCCAGTGCGTGCACTGGGTCATTGAAGGTATTGGTAATCAATGGCACAGTACTGGTCATTATGCAATATGCATAACCGTGTTGACGGAACTTATACGACGCACATCAATGGCTGCGTAATGCGTAATGCGTATTTGGGAAAAGTTTGGAATGTATTGTACATACCACGGTGACTATAAATAGTACATACAAAGTCATTATACACAGGAGACCGACGTTGGCATTTGGTCCGTTGTTTGCATTGTTTGCAATGCTTCCATTTTGCATCAGACCCATGGGAATTGCGAATGAGTGGCTTGCAGCGTTCGTGCGTTATCATGAATATGGGTAGAAACAGACAGGTTGAAATACTGATTCATTAAATAAGCATTTGATTAGCGTGTATGCATTGTCTATTATCTACAGCGTGAACCAAGATGCACAGAATGTGCTTCCGACTAGCACACCTAACATCATAGTAATATTGTAACAGTGATCCGTTCGATATCATAACCCGCGCCGTGCTGGTGGCCTGAACTTTCCGCCGAGTGCTGGGGGGGGGGGGGGTCTAACTCGGCTCCTGGGCCACGTAGCGACACGCGGTAAGCGGCAATCGAAAGAGCGTCAAAAATAAGGACGAAAACACTTCGGTCATTTTTTGGGTCAGGTCAAAGGTCAGGTCACCAGAGGTCACCAAAGGTAAAATGTTGACTATTTCAACATTTTGGAAACTGCCAACGGCTATCTCGGGAACCGATAGAGCTACAGCGCCGCGGAAAAGCGCATTCGATAGCCCTTTTACAGACCTTTCTGAATAATGTTCTCAGATTTGACCTCAGGTCAACGGTTTAGCCTCCAGAGGGCAAAAACTCCAAAAATAGCCGTTTTTACGAAAAACGTTTTTTCGTCAATAACTTTTGACTCATAAGCGCCATGACATTACTTTTGCCAGCATCGTGTTCCTCTCGTCGAGACGCGTCGAATGAACTATTTGTTGACCTTGAAAGGTCATTTTGAAAATTTGACCTCAGGTCAAGGTCATGACCTGACCGAAAAGGGTCATGTTGCATATCAGTCGATCCGTATCGTCGAGCTGAACACATCTGACGTGTTTTCACCGCTCTAGCACGTCTCTATCAAAAGTTATAGCCAAAAAACTGCTGGCGACCGTTCATGACCTGAGATGATCTCAGGGGCACACAGAGGGGTCACAGGTGCATTTTTCCTATTCAGTGTGTCATGTTTACCTATGAACCGATGTTTGAGAGCGTTTTGAACGATATTCGTCCAAAAGAGGCGCATTTCAATTTTCTCCCATTGACTTATAATGGAGAGGTCGCAAAATTGACCTGACCTTAGGTCACAGATATCAAAAATCCGAGATATACATTTTATACATACTGTTACTCATATCAATCGCTGAAAGTTTCAAAGTGATCGTTCAGTCGGTGTAGCTATAGCGAGCCTTTGAACTTTTTCTGAGGTAAGGTCACTTGACGTGACCTGGTGACCTGACCTTGAACGGCCTAGGTCTGAAATTTTCACAACATGTGCGGAAATGATGTAAGAACACGTGTACCAAAAACGGCGGCGCTGCGCGCCGCCGTTTTTGAGATATTCGCGAAAAACCTGAGGGGGGGGGGGGCGTAAAAACGCCCCCCCCCCAGCACGGCGCGGGATAACGTCGCAATCCGAAACCCATGCTGCTGCATGCATGCGTGCAACGAACACTGAGCGCACTGGTGTATCTAGGCTTTGGAAGTAAGCATGCTCAGCCGATACCGGAAGTTGAGGTCGCTAGCCAGGGCGGAGGCGAGCTCGAAGAACACTCCCCCAACCGGCTGTACAGTTCCGTTAATGTTTTCCACGTCGGTGTATATAGGAAACACCTGCCGACAGCACGAAATGAAGGGTTTTAGAATATGGACGGTTTTAGTGGTATTTTCACAGCAGTATATATCGGAAATACCTGTCGAAAAGACAAAATAAACACAGCACCGCTCGCAAAATACCTCGTTTTATGGTGGTGTCTATGCTCTCCACGGTGTTTTTGTAAGGTCACTCGTCACCAGCACAAAATACACAACACTTTTTATTCTTTAATACGAACGGTACGCTAAGCATTATAGCTGCCGGCAACCATCGACTTGTCTAATGATTTCATGCTGCGAGCATTTCGTGCCTGACTTATGTCGCCAGCCCGGCTACGAGTAGGGACCTGGCCGAGTAGTGTAAATATGTTGATGAGTTCCTGTGCCGGTGGTTATGTTATTTATACCCGTGACCAATGTGACCTCGGTGGCCTGCTCCGTCCCTCAGGGGCCCGGGACGGGTGACTGCGACGGTCACGACTCACGAATGGTCGTATGTCTTGACGTAGCACATTTACGTCAGTAGATATTTCTGCTGACCATTTGTTCATATTATGCGAAACAGTTCAAAAGAAATAAACAAAAATAGATAAAACAAATTTAAACAGGATTGATAGCACCAAAAAGAAAATACAGATATCATAATATGAAAAGAGCAATAGTTTAATGGTGATATACAATTAAAGCGAAATACCATTAGTCCGTGAATGTGTGAGAAGCATTAGCCACATACCATTACTGGCCGGGGGTAACTTGCCAGTTGCCATTCCTCTTAGCCCAATCACGAGTGGAAGAATATTCCCGTAAACCTACACAGCACACCCAGCCTCTCCATCGATGACCTGACCTTGACCCCGACGGCTCGTAGTGTGATGCCGCCGAGGTCTCCCCGTCTCTCCTGGCGGGGTCGCGGGTCGAGAACTTCCAGTCGATCGGAGCTCCAGCGGGCTGTCCGATGGGAGACCAGCTCGCAGGACGGACACGGTTTGTACAACTCTGTCATCTGCCGTAGGGAGAGGAGAAAAAGTGAACTGAGGGGGAGGTGGGTACTACACACTGTGCACATAGTACCTACATTGTGAAATCTAAATGGCATTGCGAGTTCACGCGACCAAAAAGAAACATTTTGGTCACTACGACTTCTTTGCGGTCAGATGCAAATTTAGAATAGTTTAAACTCAGGATGCAAAATTACTTGAAAATCGTATCTATAGAAGTTTCGCCAAAGGAACTACAGTAGTGCTTTTGATTTCACATAGCATCACTGCATAAAACATCATTTTCGTTCAGCTTTCACTGGCGAAATAAAGGACATGTTACATAAAATCATATCGAAAATATTTTAGTAACCACTCTAAACATTAATAAACATAACTCAAACTCCCTTACCGACACTGAGTCGTTGTGCACCTCCGCCTTCCAGATATCGGTCCCGATACTAATATCGAGCTCTGCGACCAGCGCGTGTACGGCTGTCCTCTGAGAAGGGACGGTCACCAGCATCAGGGTCACCTGGTCCGGCCTGCCCGGGCCGCTGAGCACCTGCAGGGAAGGGGGAGCAAGGGTGGTACATTGAAATCCAGTATGAAAATAGCATGGCCCAGTAAAACATGATCAAAACTGGTCGGGTTGGATTAAGGTAGGTTAGGCAAGCTTAGGTCAGGTTAGATTACGTGTCGTGTCAGGGGCTATACTCGTAAAAGCCGAGTGGAAAAGTCGTTAGGTGGAGTCAGACGGATGAGAGATCGAGGTGGTGGGGGGGGGGATGAATGCTGGTGTGGTGGAATGGGATCTATGTATGAGACCTACGTTACGTCTATGTGGGGTCAAAAGAGGTGAAACTCCAATGCGACCAGTGCGGTCGGAGGCTGGTTGGAGAAGATAAAAGTGAGGTTGGGTCGAATTCTGGGGCTGATTAAAACTAAGGTGAAAGATGTTGCATTGCGATTTTCATATTATTCATTGCGTTTCATTATTCATTCTAAAGTCTAAACCAAAAACCTATTCACAGCATCAGGAAGCTTGACCACTACTTACATATCCTGAGCTGCGTAAATCATCATTTTTCCCAGCAGTCACAAGCGCGTATACAAGTGGATAATTAATTAGTTACGTGACGTGAGTAAGTGCACCACGAAACAACGAGACAATTCATCGTTATCGAATCAATCATCCAACCAATGAAATTAAAGTTTGTTGTTTCACATTCTACCATGTCTTACGAATTTCGGCTCAGAAGCTATAAACAAAATAGGCATGAAATGTGATGGAACATTGATCAAAGATTATACCACGTGAACGATTCTTGGAGCATCGTGGCACTAAGGTTGACTACACTCACGTTTGACATACTCATTACAAATCTGTTTTGCGGAACATACAATTTTCATTAATTGGATAATCGTTACTCTAACTGGAAATGATATTGGCCGGATGGATCGTGAGGAAACGTGGTGATATCAACTCCCAGAAGCTAACCCATCCACTACCAAGTAGCGTTGGTCAGCGTCTCTTGCATGAACTTTCGTTATCTAGATTATGAAAATGGCATTGAGGAACTTGCGTCTGTTCTCAGCTAAAATTAAGCCAAGGAAGTATTATCACAGATCCCTCTTACGTGCGTTATCTCTGCATCGAGCACGTAACATAGCTCTTTGCTGAAAAACCGCCTAGCCCTAGAGCAACGCTTACATGCCGGCAAAAGCTGCATTCACGACTTCAGTATTTGTTTTAACTCAAGGTGTTGCCAAAGACTAGGTGACAAAAGAACACAAATGCATTAAGGTCATATTTTGTGTAACCGCCACTAAGTTTGCTGAGATTCTTGCGCCAGCCATGGTCAAGCATTATTGCTGCAAGCTATTTACGCTGATATTTTGTAACTTGGTTTCTAAATTCCCTCTAATGTTCCCCCACTGACCGTTTCAATGACGCGTCGATCCGTGCCCGAGTCGGACCACATCAGGACCACGGTCCCGGCGTCGGTCATGGTCCGCAGACAGGTGGTCCGGTCCATCAGACAGACGGTCTGGTCCACCGGAGTCAGTCGGACCACTGAGGACCACAGAGACCGCAGCGGAGTGTGGTCCCGGCAGACTGATGGTCCGGTGTGGAGACCGATGTCCGTCGCTGGAAGAGAGAGAGAGAGAGAGAGAGAGAGAGAGAGAGAGAGAGAGAGAGAGAGAGAGAGAGAGAGAGAGAGAGAGAGAGGGAGAGGGGGCTCTCATAGGTCGATAATCATAATCAGGGGTCAGTAGTGTTGTTGGCTGCTTTCAACGTTTATTTATATCGTAAGCTCAGGGTTCAGGCTGTTCAATGTCTATTGAGAGTGGAAATCGATTACAAATGAGCCAGCACTGTAAACATACACTGTTTTGGTATGCTTCGTGAGCCTCGTGATGCTTTGACCTTTGTCAAATACATAGCTGTAGGCCTGGCAAGGATGACAACCGTTCCAAAAAGAAACTGTCATGCTGTTAAGTCTCGAGACGTATTTTTGTAACCAGTAAAACGCCTTTTGGGCGAAGAACGAGCGAGCGAGATAGTGAGCCCTGCACGTGCGCAAGGGCGAGAGGGTACTTCCAACGGGCTTGTGCAAAGCACCCTTCTAACCGGTCGCTAGCGGTGTGCCAAATTTGGACGCAATCGGCCCAGCCGTTCCTGAGATCTGGAAGCGGCATTCTGCACGTGCGCACGTGCAAGCGGGGTCCAAACTGACTTTTGCACGGCACCCTACTAACTGGTCCCCAACCGTGTACCAAATTTGAGCGCAATCGGCCCAGCCGTTCTCGAGATCTGGGAGCGCCCCCTGCACGTGCGCACGTGCTGTAGCACCCCAACCTTAACACATGCAGATGAACTATCTGATGGAGACCTAACTGTGTACCGAGTTTCAATTCAATCGGCTCAACCGTTGTGCCGTTATTGAGGTTGCAATTTGGGGGTTCTTAAAAAATGTTCAACTACCACGCGCCACGTGCGGTGGTTGGCAAGAACGCATGGTGGCCATCACACCACAGAACTTTTACGTCCAAGTGACATTCAGTAAAGAAGACCGCTTGTCAATCGGATGTCCCGTTCCTAAGATACCTATTAGCTTTTGAAGAGCGTCCCCACGGCCGGCCCCGGCCGCTCATACTCAGGATTTTCCCTTATTTCAGTACCAGTATAACGCCTTTTGGGGCGACTAACGGAGCGAGCGAGAGGGTGGGCCTTGCACGTGCGAAATTGCGAGGGGGTATCTCCAACTGACTTGTGCATGGCACCCTACTAACCGGTCTCTAGCGACGTGCCAAATTTGGGCACAATCGGCCCAGCCATTCTCGAGATCTGGAAGCGGCACCCTGCACGTGCGCACGTGCAAAATGGGTCCTAACTGACTTGTGCACGGCACCCTACTAACCGGTCCCTAACTGTGTACCAAATTTGAGCGCAATCGGTCGAGCCGTTCTCGAGATCTGGAAACGACCCCTGCACGTGCGCACGCGCAGCAGCACCCCAACTCTGGCACATGGATATGCAGTGCCAAGTGGGTGCCTACCTACATGTCAACTTTCAGCGCAATCGGCCCAGTAGTTACCGAGATATTGCAACAATTACAAAACGGACACCTCTTCTTTTTGCACGTGGCACGTGCATAAGGGGTCACCCACATGCATCAGGAATAGTCCAATGCTTGGTAGAAGGAATGAAGCTACCCTACAAAAATTACCGCGTGTAAATCGGTCAAGTGGTTGTTGAGATATAAGCCTCGCAAAAGCGTGACCACGGCCGGCCGGTCGGCCGGCCGGCCGGCCGTTCATACTCAGAAATTTCCGTTAATCTAAGGAAAGACTACGCTCGCTTCGCTCGCTCCGTAATGAACTCGCTCGTTCGCTACGCTCGCTCGCTCGTAATTATCTTCTCTGTTGCCAATCATAACATTCAGACAATAGGCAATTTTACTCGTACGATCGCGGAATCAAGTCAACTAACTGAACCTGAATCCATGCACGTCGTTGAACATAATTTACCGTCTCAAGAAAAGGACAAATATCTAGATCTGCAGAAACCGCTATGTAATTGCCATTGAATACTGGGCGTGGATGCTGCAACGTAGACAGTTCCTACGTGACTAATTCCACGTCCGATTGAAGCCCCGTCCTTCATTTTTCTACGCCGAACAAACCCAGTGATTCGATAGGCTGCCTGTCCCGTACCGACGGGCAGTAGTTTACATATCAAATTTATTGAACAGCCCTCTGGCCTCTGGTTATGATACGGGCCTGCTCCGTCCAATGAGCGCAGCGGGAGGTCGCCGCCGTTTACCCCCCGGGGCGGTGTCGGTCGCGTGACCGTGGCGCGGCCGGCGGAGGGATGCGGGCAGACTTGTTGACCGGCAGATTGTTGACATTTTGCACAGAGAATACACAACCCCATTCTCGCTTAGCCCTTAAATTTTACAGTCTGCATGTTCTTGCTACTAGAACGAAACAAGAGCTATCAAACGAAGACTATATTGTTTATCAAGCAGCGCAGATGAGTCCGATAAAATGAATATCAAGATGTCTGCCGCAGCACAACAATGCCCTACGATAGCTGTAAGTGTTTAGCCTGGTGTTTTTTTCCTACACTGTTATGCGAGATCATGCATCCAGAAAGCAAAGAAGCATTTTTTCGCCATTACAAGTGCCGGCACCTGGCAAAATTTAGATTGAGATCATACGTGTGATGCTTTTGTGCTTTGTTTGCAGAACACCGGCATTGGTACCTCTACCTATCCTTCGCAGTGCAGTGACAGGTCAGCAATTAAACCGACAATGTCTGTTCGGTAATGGATGTCACTGACAGGTCAGTACTCGGTTGCACGACATTTTCCGCTTTTGATGATCATTCGTCGTGCGAGCCATTTGTAGACAACTGCTTGTAATCACGAAGTCAGCCACTTTGGTCGTTGATAGGCGTGCCATTTTCAACGTTAATGAAATGACGCAGTTGCTTTTTTAGGCTTCCCTCGTATCACCATGCACTGTATTATTACGTAAATATTTTTGTATCATATGCTAAGAGACTTGGCAATAATAAACATTGCAAATGGTAGGAGCAATCAACTGAAAAAGCAGGAATTTAGGATCGTTTTATATCCTGTTCCATACGAGTAGTTCGTGTTTGTTTCTCGTAGGCGGTATACCTACCAGTTAATATGTGAAATTGTGCAAGTGGACGAATGGAATTATGGTATCCTTGATGTCATTAATTGTACCCAGCACTCTGTCGAATTAGTAAGGGATGAATAGCTTGTCCGTTGATGGATTCGTACGGCCCACCTCCGATCTTAAGGTAAGACTGCACGGTTGATGACGGACCGTGAATGTAGGTGACACCCTTAACAGTTAACAGCCACACTCTAAATACCCGACGGGCATCACCCTGAGCCAGTCCAACACCGGACAGGCCTTATGGCTGTGACGAGTGAGCCAACGCGTTACTTAACCGCTGTTATGGCTCGATATGATTGTGGCGAACCACTGGCGACAACGTAACTATATTGACCGTGGCCGAATTCTTTTAGCGTTCCTCATGACGCGCGCTATAGGCGTATTAGCAAACAAGTGTTGATTAATGTTCCCGCCAATAGTAATTAATGGTGCTACGCTGCTCTTACGTAAACTAAATTTTTACTTTCGCTTGCACATTTTCGTGAAAACACTTCTTTTTGCAGGCAACAGGCGCATCAGCCAGTCTGGTAGAAAATCAGAATGCACTTGATGGTTGCACAATCTGTCTATTGATTTCTCCGCAGGAGATGAGAGACAATGACAGATACCCGACAAAAGTTGATGTCAGGTGTGTTGAAAGTTGCAGTTTTCCGATGGAAGGTCGCGTTGAAGTCTCCCGCGCATTCCTAACTAGTGTTAACCCGCGCCCCACTGGGGGGGGGGGGCTATTTATAGCCCCCCTCCCGTTTTTCTGCAATAACTTCCAAATCGCTTGACGGATCAACGCCAAACTTTCAGTACCTTCGGCTGCATCAATTTGACACCTTGTGTCAAATTTTAACTTCGTAGCTACCATAGGTCGGCTAGAAATGACGTCAGAGTGACGTCATGTTCGTCCGATTTCGACGCAAAACATTGAACCACGGCAATCGCTCCCAAGAGCTCAGTTTTTAAGCTAGATCCAATTTCTTTGCATGCAAGGACTCAGAATTGACCGCGCTATCAAACTGCTGTCTCGGATTTTCAAAATTTTGAAAATTTCGAAAATTTTATATAGTAATATTCAAAATTTATATTTTTATATTTTTTCAAAAAGTTTTTGACTTTTCGAAAAAACCGGAATATATGTGATAGAACGTATGATTATGACTAACTCTAGCAAGTTTTAGCTAAATATCTTCAAAAATGGCCAAGTTATACGCATTATTGCAAAAAATTCACAATTATCAATTTTTCATATCAATTTTTCAGTACGTATTTGACATCGTACACCAATATAAATGGCACCATCGTGTTCCTGAGCTCAAACTGCATCCAGTAGACACCTTTTTTGTTGAAAAATTTAACTTCAAAATTTGACCTTTTTTGACCTGAAAGTGACCTGACCTAAGCTAAATTCGACTCAAAATGACCTCGAATGACACAGACGACATCAAATTCGAAATCTATGGCCTAAATGGACCATAAAACATGTGTCACGTGACCAACGCATGATATAATATTTTCGTGACCTGTGATGACCTGACCCTGACCTGAAAATCAAGGTACAAGTTTGGTACCCTCAAGGTATCTAGAGCATCTGTTCACGAGTGTGGAAACCAAAAATGAGCCTGATCTGACTTGTAAGACGGCGGCCAGAGCCCAAAATGTGAACAAGCCGAAGTGCTAATAATTTTTAATTTGACCTGACCTGTGACGTCATCGGTGACCTCGAGGTCAATGAAATTAGGTTTCGCTCGACAGTTTTTCCGGGGCTATCAGACGCCGTTTGAATTTTGACGATCGGCCCAGTAGTTTCGGAGTTAGGAGGGGGCTATGAATAGCCCCCCCCCCCCCCCCCCCAGTAGGGCGTGTTATACACAGACCCCAGTGGGGCGCGGGTTAATTGCGTGTAGAATGTTGAATTTCACTTTCATTCATTTACATATTCTATAGGCCATCGTTTATCATTTTCCTTCTATTATGACGACTCGATACTTTCCGTGTTGTGTGCTATGATTACAGTGGAATAATTGAAACGAATAACTGGAAATATTTGATCTGCCTGGGACAGACGATGATATTCATGCGTGACTCACCGTTTGATATTGGCGGGTCCGGCTGGGGTAGCACCAAGGCACCAGTCCGGGTCTTCAGTGAGAGAATAATAAACCGAGTGAACTCGACAGCAGTTTGACAAACCGTGCTGTCATCTGCACCATCGCAGTTGTTTAGATAAGTAATCAACAGAACCAAGAACAGCAGCCGTGGGGGAGATGAGACATTGTGACACATCTTAACGATGATGAGTTTTGAAGTACCGGATGTCTTCAGATCATCGGAAGGGCTTCAGAAGGTGGGAGAAGCCTCTTAGGGTGCTACATCATTTGGTTGACTTGAGGAGTTCTCACGGTAAATGGCGAGCTCAAAGCCGCTCATTGTCGCACCAAATCACAAATAACTCGGTCAGATCGTGAATTCTGTCACCACAAGCCTAACAGGACCAATCTGGATAAACTCGAGGCTGGCGGTGACTGTGCAGTCTGTCCACCGTCGCCCCCAGTCTTAGACACAAGTTTGCGACACAAGTCTGCTGCACCGTGACACCGGCCGGCGCCAGACTATAACCCAGACTAACCCCGAGCGGCTCGAGTCGCCCGTCCCTCCCCGTCGCTCCCACAGCTCCCCACTGACTGAAGGCCCACCTCAGCCGACGCCTCAGGGCTGCCCCCCGGCCACCAACTATTGACAGCTCTGACGACGCACATTGTTTCGAACGCACAGTGTGCTTATAAAGTTTGGCCACTGAATAGAGTGCGATACCATTAAATGGCCACGTCAGACCAATATTCACTCCACAGTTTACTGTAAAAATTTCGTACATTGCGTGACTGTGACTGACATTTTGAATAGAGGGCACGTAGTACCCACGTCCCACAGGAATTCACAGAGTTTTGCCAACTGTCAAAACAAAATGTCAAAAATGTCAATGTCAACGAACCCTTTTGAAATGCCAATTATTAAAGATTATTTTCCTTGTTTAAAATTGATAAGCTTAGAGTTATCAATTTAAGTCGTGTTTGTAACAAGATGCCACCCAAGCAAGGATAAAGGCCATGTGAGACAGCAGTGGGTGAAGTTGAATTAGGGAATGAGTTGCTTGAGATGAAGTGCATGATATTATCATGTCAATTTATATAACTCATCGAGTGAATTTTGTTTTCTAAGAGTCGTCACTCGGATGTTTTTTTTTTAATTTCGTTGGATATGCATCCCTGATTGTTTCATCGATCATCGGCTTCATGACGTGCCTCTAAAATTCACACTCAACCGTATAAATATACAGGGTGATCCAAAAAATTTGGAACCCCTTACTTAAAATGTCTATAAGTCCGAAAATATTCACTTTATTGACAAATTGCGAACACCATTAGAAAGAGCATTAAATCCTCTATAAAACACGTCAAATTGGTGTATGTATGTTGTAAAGCATTGGCACACTAGGCATTAGCTTTTGGAATGAGCGTCAGAAAACTGAGTGAAACGAAATCGCCAAATGCTAACAATGTGCTGAAATCCGTTAGCACTCTATCGGTTGTCTTTTTGCGAATAACACCACATCCAAATTCAATTTTATTTCATAAAAGTTTACACAGAAGCACACAGTAAAACAGATACATGCGTCCTAGCTTCTGCTGTTCATCCCAGCATGTGCTCAACGCGAGCTCCGTGGGCCGTCACGCAGGCCTGCGGTTGCTTAGGGACAGCTCCGACAGCGCGGACCAGCAGTCTCTGGGACAACTGGTCCCAGCAGGCCGTCAGCCTTTCCTTTCCTTACAATAGCACGTGAATGAGCTATTTTTATTCATGAACCTCCAACAAGGACATGGTCAGAACAGCAAACCTTCAATCACTGATTTGCGTATAATGTTCAAAACCGTTTCACTGAGTTTCGTGACACAAATTTTATAGGCATATGCCTAGGGCAATATTTATAATAATAATTAAGTTCAATCAACTTGGTTTTATAGAAAATGGAACGCTCTTTCTAATGATGTTTGCAATTTGTCAATAAAGTGAAAATATTCTGACTTACAGACATTTTAAGTAAAGGGGTTCCATTTTTTGGATCACCCTGTATTTGGACAATACATGCACATATTTCTGCCCCTGAGTAACATATGTAGATGGACCGATGCGCACGAATAATGAAAAGAGCGCCATATAGTCACTACGCTACACAACATTCGCTATCATTCGCTTCATTCGCTATCTCCTATTTAAATCTCACTTAGCGCCGTCCGTATGTAAATATAAAGGAAAATATCTACCAGCGGCTATCCAGTCATCGATGCATAAGCACGCAGTATTCAACGATGCACCGATGCTGTATATGCTTTGCTTGGCTAAAAAAAAAAATGTTTCCATAGTCTTGTCGCATAGTCATGCTGTTGACTTCCGACTTTACACGCTCGATACATATGGGCATCAGTCGATACTTTTGCCAAATTGTCAGGGAACTCAGATTTGTTTTTCAATAGAAAAACACAATTCTAAAGAATAGTGTTTTAACTATTGACAACAAACCTTCGGTTACATCAGTTTGGTGGATTCTTTCATCCTTCATCACTGCTTTTTCTCTTCTAACCGCTGCTCCATGAAGAACTGGACCTGCTTTTCGGACCTCAGCACACGGGGCTGTTTGAACTGAAGCAGGAACGTGGAGGAGCCACTGATGAGCTGGTCACGATACTTGGAGAAAGTTCCAGGAATCACCGACATCACCTGCAAGGAAGAGATAGAGTGAAAAATAATGACGAAATGTAAGGAGGATATTCATTCACGCTGTCTTGGGAAGCGAAGACACATTCCAGACCACTTCATGCGAATTTATCATCACAAGCCAGGCTAGTCAATGCATTCCATATTTAAGCAGAAGCGTCTAGCACTATAAGGAACGCGTACTGCAGCTCACTTCGATCCAAAACAGTCGCAGCTAGCCGTGTGGTACCTGTATGGTACTCAGGTTAAACGCACATTACAGGTGCTTTGCCCCACGCCCGAGAGGGTGCATTACCCGTAACAGCACATTTAAAACAAAGTTCACCGACTCGTCGTAATGCGTCACGAATATGATTATATAACAAGCAGCGCTACATGCCCAAAATAGCTGGCATTCATAGCTTAAAATCCGCTGCTGGTTTGACAGGCTTTTTCATTGCTTACTTCAATCTGTATCAGTCAAAGTTTAAGCTTTCAGAAAGCGTGACATTAAAATTGCCCATTTTGCAAAATGAATTTGCTCCAACATAGCATTTCGGCATCGTTTAGAATTGCAAATATTGGATTTAGTGCTAGCTAAAGCCATACATACGCTTATTTTTTGCATGAAGTGAATAGTATCTGAGAAAAACGCACGTGAAATTTCGTCAAAGCGATTTATATCTATATGTGACATGAAAGCGTAGTGATGTTCTTACGTCCAAAACTCATCAGCTAGGGATCCGAAAAAGGAAGTAAATGCAAAATTCCCCACGTTCTGGAAAATGGCTATTGAAAAAGTAAAACTGTAAAATGTTCAGCACTTCATAGCATGCTTCATAGAAATGCAGGCAAGCATGCAAGGCAGGCGTTTGAAGCGCTTTTATAACACCCGGCTCTGTCCCAGGTACGTGATAAATTATATGACATTATATGGAGCTTGCATTGAAATAAAGCGAATAAGTGTATCTCCGGAGATGTCTTACCTTCATTGGGCCAATGGCGTTCTTGACCCTGAACGACTTGTAGACATAGTTTTGTTCGCAGAGCTTTTCGTCGATCTGTAGGTGATATTATTCAGTTATGTAAAGCTAAAATCGCTTATATGCGGCACAGGACGATGCATTTACACTTTCCTAGAATGGCTCCTTGAAATAGGTATCGGTCATATTTCATGCTAATTGAATTTCTTCGAGCAGATGCCTTTGTTAACTTCACGGGATACTTTTCAGTCAGATCGCCGATAATTGTGCCTATATATCTAGTTGATATCTAGTATTGTCATTGCTAAACTTGCTATTTTCCCCTGTCACATTGTCCATGACTCCTAGCTGAGCTATGAAGAAGACTACGACAATGCTGATCCGAAAGATATCCCCACCGATCGCACTCACCCTCCCAAGATCCTCTGCTCTAAAAAAACCCTCACCATGTTCTTCTGCTTCTCCGTCGGGATGCCTCCCTCTGTCTCCAAGAACACGAGGTAGTGCGGAGGCTGGCCATCACTTCCATCACGGGAGAGCACACTCTCAGCTGTGGTGAAGTCGAGCAGTTTAATGCCACCCCAGCTCTGTACTGCTGACTCCAGTGAGCTGGTGAAGCTCTGTTCGCTGAGCTTTTCGAAGTTGACGTTCAGCATCTGGCCGTTTCTGAGGGAGGTGAGGTAAGGGTGTCCACGTTGATCAATGTGACCCAGGTCAAACATGTGGCCCCGATTTAGAGCTAAAGTGAAGGCAAGTTATACCTATCAGATAATGTCGGTGAAGGAGTTATAGAAGGAGAAGGAAGGTAAAGAGCGTGTTATAGTATAGAGCTGGCAGAGCCAAGGAAAATATAGGTTTTGATGCTACTTTAGTAGCCTATGAGTTTAGTTGTGAGACGAAATTTAACCCGGCACCGCCTGGGCTATTTCCGTACCCACGACAGCCTGGGGGGGGGTCGGATCCGACCCCCCCCCCTGTTATCTCGAGAACCAATGGTCGCACCGAGCCCCGCGAGGCGGCGTTCGAAAGGTCTCTACGAAACCTTCCCAAAGCACTCTTAAGATTTTAAGATTGAAGTCAACTTTCGGGTCAAGGTCAGGTCAAAGGTCAAATTCTGGGGTTTTGCATGATTAGGCTTACGGACAGCGGAATCGATAGCTGCTGCTCGAAACTCACCAAAAATGACCTCAAAGGCCTAGTGAAGGTACCATGTGCGTATAGGGGTCATACTAAGTACGGGTCAAGGTCAGGTCAGGTCACGAAAGGTCACGGTTTTCACTTTCTGCTACATGGGCGTGCGACACATGTTTTATGGCTTATTTTTCACGCCGAATCCGATGGTAATGATTATATATGACCCCAGCTGGTGAAAAATGTGCATTGAAAGCCTAAAAAATCGTTTATACCATACATAACTAAACGAGGGCTAACAAAAAAGGTCAATTTTTCAACTTTTTATTTTTGACATAAAAATGCACTTTTCTAGACGAGCTTTGTCCCAGGAATCTAGTGGTGCCATTTGTTTTCACATGTGATGTTCAGAAGTGCCTCTAATTCACGAAAATGCTTATGACGTCACCATGCCCTATGGATGTTGGAGCTATTTTTTACATTTTGGGGGTCAAAAATCAAGATAGAAAGTTGAAATTTGGGACATCTAATGTTCTAATAGAGCTCTATAACATATATTCCGTTTTTTTTGAAATTCTCAAAATTTTGGATTTTATTAGTTGTTTTTCAAAAAATATAGTTTTTTGAATTTTTAGGGGTGACAGAGGCATTTTATGGAAAATCCGAGATAGCCATTTCAAAGAACTCGTTGAGCTGCATCTATTCATGTCCTTAATTTGCAATTTGCTTCAAACCCTGATTTTTGGCGATTTTTTAAACATTTACCACTTTTTGACTGAAAACGCCATGTAGTTACATCACTAAAATCGATATATCTCAAAAGTTTTTGGTAAGATTTTCTTAAAAACACACAGGAGACGTCAAATTGATGGGGGAGAAGGTATGCCAAGTTTCAAGTTGATAGCGTAAGCGGTTCATGAGTTATTCAAGAAAAACGGAGGGGGGGGGGGGTCGGATCCGATCCCCCCCCCCAGGCGGTCGCAGGTTAAATTTAAAATTCAGAACCATTCTGCGTGATTTGTTTTTAGAAAAAGCGGTGATGCACTGGTCAAACTTATCAAGGTATTTCAAATGATGGTTGGCTGCATGTCAAAGGACTTGCCACTTGCCACATCCAAATAAAAACCGCGATACAGAACATGGAGAGCCGCAAAGACGCCCACCTGAACATGAAGTCGACCAGCGGTATCTGGTTGAAGAAGCCGACCACCTCCACGATGTCTCCGAGTCTGTACCGGTAGAACCCGGACACGTTGGTGATGATGATCTCGTACATCTTGCCCACCTGTAAACCGAAAAACATGTTTTTTTTTCAGGACAGAGGAAAGAGGTTTACAGAGATTAGAGCGCTTGCTTCTTCTGAAGAAAGGCACGCAAAACAAAGTGATAGGCACAATTGTATTACATTGAATGCGTTTACCGATTCCCACAAGCAAATGTAAGCAGTAGGGGTAATAAACTTAGCTATCTACTATAGAGTATGGGTAAATCTTTGCTCGCCTTCCTATATGACGTTCATGTGAAGTCAGAACATACATGGAGCTGTCTCAGTCTTCCTACATCCTTCACAACAAATAAAAAACCATCCAGTCTATCTAAACTTCTTACGCTTCCCCAGACTGACCTCGACCTCGTTTGCCTGTACTGGCTGCGCTCCCTCTGTAGCCACCCCCTGGTCGTCGACAGGCAGGAACTCCAGGTATGCCTCACTCGGCACCAGGACGTAGCCGGGTCGGTCTCTGCCGTGGCGGATATTCATACCCAGCAGACCTTCAGTGCAGATGTAGATCGCTGAAAGGGAGGTTAGACGTAACGTTAGTAGACTATAAAGAGACGTGTCAGAAGGGTGAAATGCTTTAACCCTAGAACGCCTAGGGGGGGGGGGAGTTGTATCAACCCCCCCCCCCTGAGGTTTTTTCGAAGTGCTCGCTAAACGGCTTGTCGTAGCGGGCTGAAATTTTCAATACCCTCTGGGGCAGCCTTTGCGCATCTTTTGCCGAAAAAAAAATTGATCGGGTCATGTCAGGTCACGGAGTTATGACGTCATAAGAGGTACAGCCTCCGGCCGACAGTTACCAAACGTGTGCGCCGAATCCCTAGGTTTTCTGCCGGTGATACCCACATTGTTTGATGGATCATGATGAAACTTCCCATGCATGTTGGGGCAAGCATTGGCTATCGTGTGGTGCAAGAAAATTGACCGGGTCAGGTCAGGTCACGGAGTTATGACGTCATAAGAGGTACAGCCTCCGTCCGGATTTTCACGAAGTGTGTACCGAGTCCCGAGGTTTTCTGCTGATGCTATCCACATTGCAGTGGATATCCACATATCTTTTCTGAGTCGTTACCTGCAGTATTTATAGCGGAGCAGTGGTCAACAGCCGACGAATCGGGACAAACACCGGAGGGTGATGTGACACCATATCACTCATCAGCAATAGGCCTCTTACTTTTATAGGGTAAATACACCAAAAACACCATATATGATGCAGAATTGAGTGGGGAATACGTTGTTGAAGGTTTGAAGTTAATATCTCTCACCGTTTTGCCGCAATCGTTGCGCAAAGTTGAAAAAGTTTGATTTTTTCGGAAAATTTGACCTTTGACCGGTCATAAGTAGGTCAAATGTTGACCTAGGACCAAAAAATATACCACCAATCGCGAGATCTCGTTGAGAGCAATCCATTGGTTTATTCCGCTAAGCTCTACGACCTTCCGTTTCGAAACGCCAGGGGGGGTCGTAACCCCCCCCCCCCCCTGGTCGTTCGTGTTATGAGAAATGGCCTGGTCGTGCGAGGGTTAACTGTACTGGTGGATGGTGGATAGGTGAATGGTGCATCATCGCATCGGTCAATTTTGAGATTGTCCAAAGTTAGTCAAGTAAAGGCTATTAAGGTAGTGACAGAAGTGTCCCCTGAACTTCAGATAAATCTGCAGCTTCAGGCAAAGTCAGACAACAAAGGTGCCAGCGGTTATTGTACAATGTCGCTTTGGTACCCTATCACTCAAGTCTAGCACATATTTTTAGATCTACGAGTAGACACCTACTTTGCCTTGGACAGGCTTTGTCAGGCCTGAATGACTGTCAGGGGAACACTTAGGATTTTCACACAGAAGGTATCCCAGTACCAAACCCACATCTCTGAACCCCATCTTTCTTCAGGAGCGCTCACGTGAGTGGATCGTTAGGTCTCCGAGGTAGGGACGACACCGCTCCTTGTAGACGGCCATTGACGACCCCGAGCTGTTGGAGGCCACCAGGGACATTTTCGGGAAGATCCGTGTCATGATGTTGTCGAAACCTGCAATATATGTAATCGTGGTGAATGGTGATGCAAAGTACAAGCGAGCTTGCGAGCTTGTAAGCGAGCTTGTAGATCGACCAAGCGAGCTTGTAGATCGACCAAGCTCGCTTGGTAAATACATAGTTTGGGGTACAAGTAAAGAACGCATTGAGGCAGTCATCTGCTTGATTCTCGGTGCATGATAAGCAGCGGCGTTGTATTTGCTGTCCAGGACTTGCCTTGGACAGCAATAAATCCCTTCAACTATCCCTTAACCCTATTAGTGGCAGGGGGGGTTGTTTTTATCCACCCCTCAGGTTTTTCGGGAATATCTCCGAAACCGCTGAAGCTACGATGCTGAAATTTTCTGACTTTTCCTAAAACTAAATTAAGCACATTCCCTGAAAATTTCAAGTTCATAACTTTACCAGGGGCGGCTCCAGAGCACTGGGAATTGGGGGGTCCTATTCGCAAAGCGAGTCATTTGGGCGAAGATCACGATGCTGCACCAGTTTTACGAACAGTGAATAAAAGGTATCATGTGATAACATATATGTACAGTTATTGTGCATCCTCTTTTGACACGTTTTTGCTATAATAGGCGGATCCAGGCGTCCAAAAAGGGGGGTTATGTTTTACCTCCCAACATAGGTGCCCTGACACCGCCTATGCATTACCAATACAATTTTAGTCGTTCTCTCATAAGAAAATTATAACACAACAAGACCATTACCACCCTTTTTAGAAACAGTACCAACAAAAACCTTATTTACTATACTTTTTGTGTACCCCCAATCTCAATGATCTGTATCCGCCTATGATTTTTGAAAATGCATATTTTTAGGATCCATGTGAATTCCTGGTTCATTCTCTATCGATCGGCAAAAGTTGCGTTAACCCGCGCCCCGCTGGGGGGGGGGGGGCAGAATCTGCCCCCCTCCCGTTTTTCGCCAATAACTTCTAAACGCGTTACGCCAGCGACGTCAAACTTTCAGTACCTTATCATACATCAATTTGACACGTTCCCTGAAAATTTGAGCGAAATCCGTCGGAAAATTTTTGAGAAATTGACGTTTTAGTGACGTCATGTTCGCCATTTTCGCCTCAAAAACGGCAAAATTTCAAACGCCGCTAACATCTTCATTTTTAAAGGAATCAAGACGTAACAAAAAAGGTTATACGTGATTCTACTTTGTCTATCAAATGGCTATCTCGGTTTTTTGAAAATTTTGGATTTTGGCCAAAATTTTTCCAAAAAACTGACTTTTTTGGGAAAATATTTATAAAATCCAAAATTTTAAGTTTATCGAAAAAACCGGAATATATGTCAAAGACGAGGTCTATGTGCACCTACATACCAATTTTTAGAAGAATCGGTTAAAAAATGTGGGAGTTATTCAAAATTTTATGACGTCACGACACACAAAATTTTTGAAAAAAATGATTTTTTGGAAGTTCTAGACCTCGTACAGAAACGAAAATAGCACCATTCGATTCGCCGTGAAAAACTGCATCGGATAGACACCTTTTTAGGCCTTAACAACCAACTTCAAAATTTGACCTCACTTGACCTGACCTTGACCTGACCTCGACCTGAAATTCATCCAGGGGTGGTCCATATCACTTATTGAGTGTGCCTATTGAATTCCATGAGTAAAATGACCCATAAAACATGTGTCGCACATGCCCTTTTCTATATTTTGTTTTTGGTGACCTGACCTGACCTGACCTGACATTGACCTTGACCTTTGAATGATATTGTGTGCAACGTATATTGTCTTGGTAGTCTAAGAACACGTTTTGGGCAATCAGTCTCAGTCCATTCTTCGGCAACTACGGCGCAAGGCCGATACTGTAGAAACTTGCATTTTGTACCCTTGACCTGACCTTGACCTGACCTCTGACCTACTTAAGCAAAAAAATTTGGGCTCTTAAGATCCGCCTTGTTGAGAGCTTTCGATTGCCGTTTTCCCCGTCTTTCTACGACCATCGGTTCGGAAGTTAGACAGGGGGGGCAGAATCTGCCCCCCCCCCCCAGCAGGGCGCGTATGGCTGAATAGCCCAGCGGGGCGCGGGTTAAGATTGGTTCAGAAACCTGGCCGTGATAAACAGTCTAAAATGTATCTGCAATTTGCCCGTTTTTACCCCCCTCTACCCCCCCCCCCTATTGACATTTTTTAATTTTTATTTTTTTAGAAATGTAGATCACGTTGAGCGAAATCGAATGCCGTTTGAATTTTGAAAATCGGCCCGTTAGATCTCGAGATATCAAGGGGGGGTCGTAAACAGCCCCCCTGCCACTAATAGGGGGTAGCCAGGAGCCTGCCACTAATAGGGTTAACCCTATTCCTGGCGGAGGGGGGGCCTCAGGAGCCCCCCCCCCCCCTGAGGTTTTTTGGTTATATCTCCCAAACGCTTTGAGCTAGGAAGCTCAAATTTTCTGACTTTTTCTAAAAGGCTTTTACGCAACATTTCTGAAAATTTTGAGTTGATCTGACCTCAGGTCAGGTCACCAGAGGCGGTTTGGTGACCCTACCTCAGAAAAGTTTGCAATCACGCCAGAGCTAGAGTTTTTGACCGATCAATTTCTTCTCTTCAGGCTTTAGTTAGGGTACCAGTATGTGCAATTTGTATATCTCAGAATTTTCATATCTGTGACCTGAGGTCAGGCCAGACTCGTGACCTTTACATTGCAAGCCTATGGGAAAATATTGAAACGCCTCCTGCTTCGTGTAAACGAGTCAAAACCACCCAGTTCTTTCAGTATTATGGAAGATTATCTCATCGGTGATGATCCTGGTGCCGCTAATTGACAGGGGCACCGGCAAATGTCATCTGAGGTCATGTGACGTCATAAATCGTTTTTCTGTCAATAAATCACGACATGATGGTGCTAAAGACTTGTAAGTGGTACCAAACTGCTCGCCTGGTCAAGGCGCGTCGTTTGGTATGCAGCATGACCATACCCCACAACCTCATTGATGAATGACCTGACCTTGACCTCAGGGTCAAATTTTAAATTGACCTGTGAAGGTCATCACATACTTATTTCGCATCGCCTTGGCGAGAGCAACAAAAAAATGTATTGGTTTTATGTCTCTATGTTTCTTAGTTTAAAAGTTATATAGGTAACTAATTCCAAAACATGTTATCGTTGATGACCCCTAGTGACCTCAATATTGACCTGACCTGAAAATGTTTTATGTAAAAGTTGTAGATCTTTAAACGACCTATCAAACGCCGTTCGCCGTTTGTCGCTGCGATGTGTAGTTTTTGAGATCTGAAGGGGGGCCGATACGGCCCCCCCCCCCCCCCGCCAGTTTCTTGTCCCGGCGGAGCCCGCCAGGAATAGGGTTAAACAAGCGTGAATTGATTCAGGATATGGTATGTACGGAGGTCAATAATTTTCACTCTCTTTCAATGTAACCTTTCGAAAACAGAGTGCATATGAGGTCATGTTACGATTATTACACATTGAAGCCCTGCAGGAGGGACCACTGACACTGCGAAAAACAATGGCTCCTATGGACATTACCTTTGGAGAATTCTGACATTACCTTTTGAGAACTCTGCCTCCAGCTGGGAGGCACGTTCAGGCTCTGGCTGCAGCAGTCCGTTCAGCTTCTCCCGGACCTCGGGCGTCACGTTCACCTTCTCATCCAGCCTGCCTCTGCAGAGATCCCGCACCAGACTCTGCCAGTGGTCCTCCAGAAACTTGAGCAGCGTGAACATGTTGGACGCAAACGATCCATCCAGTCGTTCCACGTTCGGATCGCGTAGTCCAAACAGCAGTCCCACATACTTAGAAGCCTCCTGGTCGCCGATAGTCATCGCTTCTGGCGGCAGAGTTCCCAGCAGCGTGGCTGTCGGACTCTGCATCGCCGTTGCCATCACCGAGCCAATCTTGATGCCGCTGTCGGTGAAGCGATATCGTGGAGCGCAGAATGTCGACAGCGAGCGACCCAGGCTGATCGGAAGGAGATCCCGCTGTTCTGAACCGTAGAAACCCGCTACCATGGCAGTGAAGTCAAGACCTCTGGCAGAGATTGGGATCAGCTTGGCCCGGCCGGTTGTGCCGGAGGAGCATCCGAACATGGCGGGGGGCTGACGGTCGCCAAACATGGCACCGTAGTCGCCGCGTTCCACGCGGGATATGTAGTCCTCGTAGTCGCTATAGGTGGTGATCGGCTGGGTGCGACGAAACTCTTCTAGAGAGGTGATGGAGGAGAAGTTGTGGGCACGCCCGTAGTCGGATGATGCGTTGGCACGGATCTGGTTGAGAACAAACTGTTCTTGCGTCTGTGGATTTGAGAAAAGTCGTTAGAGTTAGGAACAAATCGAAGTGGTGGGACATCAATATTGTCAATTGGCTTGCACACCGAAACTCGCCCTTTGCAGCTAGACGTCAGGGACACCGGACAACGAGCGTTATAAATATAAATTGCAAAAAAAAATCGAAAAAAAAATAAAGCGGCTCAGAATAGAAAACCAACAAGCTGATAGGAAAACAGCTAGTGGTTGTCCCGATGAATATGTTTACGGTAAGGATGCCACTATCATCAAGTCAAGTGTCCATTATTCATCATTTACTTATTACCTACCTGGAGAAGGTTTTTGGACTCCTTGACAAATTGCCGCCACTTGAGATAGCCAACCAGTCTGCCGCCTCGCCTCAGAAGGTAGAGCAGGACGGCACGCTTCCATGGTAGATGGCGAGATCGTGGTAGGCGCAGAAAGTCAATGACAAGGACAGCAGCCAATGCAAGTAGAGCTGCCAAAGGATGGACATTATGAGCTACAACAGGACAGAGACAGCTGCGTCTAAAAGGGGATCGATAGACACAAACTTTGTGTCAGATGAGTTGAAAGGGATCTAATTTTCATGTCCATTAGTATGAACTCGCTAAGAGAGGGCTAGCGTAGCTAATTAAACCTTACCTAACCCGCGCACCGACGGGGGGGGGGCGGATATCCGCCCCCCCTGAGGTTTTTCGCGAATGCGCCGCGAAATTTGGTATGACTATAACCTCATCAATTTTACACATGGTGTGCAAGTTTGAACCTCCTACCTTTTAAGGTCAGGTCACCAGGTCACTTTGAATGACCCAACCTCAAGTCACTTTTTTGCAACTTTGTCACCGTGCCAGAGCTACAGTAGATGTCGGAGGCCTTTGAAAGTCGCAGGATATTATCAGGTCATTAGTAGCTACAATTTTTATATCTCGGAATTTTTATATCGGTGACCTAAGGTCAGGTCAATTTCTCGACCTCCCCATTATAAGTCAATGGGGGAAAAATCAACTCCCTGTTTTTACCACTAAAACGGGTCGGAATGGCCCCATATACCATACATGACTTCATATACGATCAACCTTCACTACCTTGAGGTCTGTTTTGCTGTTGGGCAGCTGTGAGGTCATGTGACGTCATCAAAGGTCACCAAAGGTTTTTGGCCAATAACTCCGTACAGGAACCAGATACAGACGCGTGGATGGTCTCATTGTGTTCAGCTCGTCAAGACGCATCGAATGATATACATGATGACCTCGAGGTCACGTGACCTGAGGTCAACCTTTGACCTTGACCTTTCGAGGTCAACATATATATCATTCGATGCGGATTGACGAGAGGATCACGATGATGCCCTTAGTTTGTTCCTATCTTGACTAATTCGAAAGTTATTCGAGAAAAACTCTCTCCATATCTAGCGCCGCCATTTTGACTTTTTCGACCCCTGTGACGTCATCTTTGACCTGACCTGAAAATGACCTTCGTAAAAATTGTAGATCTTGGCCGTGCGTATCCGATGCCGTTTACCGCTTGTCGCTATCTTGCTTCTTTCTCGAGATCTCAGGGGGGGCGGTCATCCGCCCCCCCCCCCGTCGGTGCGAAGTTGGCGCAGACCCCCGTCGGTGCGCGGGTTAACATCGATTTGCTTAGATGTGAACTTTCTCTTGGCTGGAGACTGGAAAGTGATAAAAAAATGGAAAGCTGGAGACACAGCATGCGTGCATCGTTTTAAATTTGGCAGTATCTGAGTAAATCGGGGGTTACTTAGCGACTGCGACTTTTCATCACAATTCGATAAGCACTATTCAGTTTCCATCTTCTAATTATCCCCAATGCTGTCTTTATTACTTTGAATATATCCGTCAGTACAACTTTTCACCTACCTGTGGCAGCTGCCGAAAGTATCACCCCTACCACCCCCATGACGACAGAGCCTGTTCCCGACCTTCCCCACAGCTCAGAGGGACTTCACAGCCTCCTCACACGGGGACCACAGACGTCGGACACTCGGTCCTTCGAGATGGGCAGAGGAAGCTCTCCGTCGAGCCCGCCTATCGGAGGAGCCGATAGGATATCGTGTGACCTGTATATCGCTCGGACTGTCGAGCTATTGGGTCGTTACCATGGTAACTGCGGCTAAGAAGCTTTTTCGGATTGGTTAGTTTTTTTAAACGCTTGAGTATTTGTATTTTTATCGCTTATCGAATGCGGATTCGAAAACATATTTCACACCGTCCTCACCTCAACTAGTTGTCAGAGTAGATGGCGCAAGACGGGAAACCAATCGGCAAAAAGATCACTGGCATTCCATATGCTGCCATGGACGTGTGATGCCACCCTGTTACACGGAAATTAATGAATAAATACAATGAGATGTCATTTCTATAAATGTGTGACCTTTTAATCCAATATCCGTGCTTCTGTCGAGATGATTAGGTCATTGGTAACAAAGATAACTGACTGAAACTGTTCCTTCTTCCCGCCAAATGTTAATCGGATTTCCTCAACAGTCCTATATGCCAGTACATAAACTATACCCTTTAGATATGTCAGTCAGATACCAATTTTTTGGTATACCGATACCAAACCGATACCAACTTTGTATTTGGTATTTCAAGGCGAATGCATTTGGTATTTTGTTGGTATTATGAATCCTCTCTAATGTAAAAGGCGCGGAGAATTTAGTAAAAAGTTGGTAATTGGTATTTCCCTCGTATTCTCAAGTCCGTTCGGCCTCGGAATTTTTCCATGCGTATTGTTGGTATTTGGTTTGGTATCGGTATCACAATTTTCTAATACCCTTGCTGCCGAGCGGAGCGCCGATAGCTTCGGTCAGCTTTGTCAACAAACGGCACAAACAATTTCAGCTCATTCGACTAAGCACTATATGAAATTATATCGACCAGCACAAACATATTTTTAATCATAATACGTTCTTCACTGCATGAGACATAAGACATGTAACGGCGTAGTTTAACTGGTCTGTCAACCTATCATGCTATCTCGGAGTCAGTTCTCAACGACCTTTGAATAAGCTCGATGCCCGCTATGTCCTTAGATATAAGACTTTGCGATACGACCTCTCCGATAGCCGTCCGTTTTGTAAGTGCTATACACTGTGAAGATGACAAGCTACCTTTGGTATCTACCTACTATCTGAACGACTAAACAGCCGATGTTACGTAAGGCGTATATGTAGTCATTTACGCAATGATGTAACAAAAAGTGGAAGTGGAAATAGCACTTCTAGGTCTACCTACTAGAGATAGAAACTTAATAGTTGAAGGTTGAAACCATTTTTATTTGTTGATGCCATATCACTACCAATCTATCATTATTTGCTATGAAGATATATAAGTATTCACATTATCTGGATTCATTGCCCGCGAATGTTCATAAATCATAAGATATCAACAACTTTCCACGGAAGCCTAACGTTTTCCTCAACCACATACATACAGGGCACACACGCACACAGACTTTATATGCGTTATAAATACCGTGATCGATAATACCGAAATACCGAGAGCTGTCGACTACCCACCGACCAAACAACAAATTATTCGTGGTAGAGTCCTATCATCTCAATAGACGTCCGGATGACATTCGATCGGAGAATTGGGGCTCAGACGACCCCTGGGGGCCCCGCGGGGTCAAATGTCACGGCCGCGACTCGGATCCTGCGCGCCACACGCCACACGGTCACGCGTCTCCATCAATGTCAGTGTGACCGACGTCAGTCTTTGCTGTCAGATTGGTTGACAGTACTGAGCGGACGTGTAGGACACTTGTCAGGTGTAAGTATGGATGAAATCAGGCGCAGAGGCTCTAAAATTTCAAGCGATGGTTATTGTGTTCACTTAACAGCTCAAATTCAATTTGGTTTGAAGCTGTGCGGTAATTTGATGTGTTGTTTGGCTGAAGCAAATGTGTTATGATAAGGCACGTACAATAGTGATCACGGGCATGCATATTACACAAATCAACAATGGAGCCTGTGATTGAAAGAGTTCGGTGGATACTTCTTTATCAACCCGCGCCCCATTGAGGTCTGGCAGGTTCCACCTCCTGCTGGGGGGGGGGGGCAAAGGGGCCCCCTTCGTATCTCCGGAACCAAAAGCCGGATCGGAAAAATTCAAACAGCATTCGAAAGAGCTCATCGGGATGCATAAGATAGGCTATCGATGACCTTGATATTTGACCTGTGACGTCACAGGGAGGTCATACAATGTCAAATCAGGCCAATATACAATGACGAGAAGTCGGTCATAAAAATGAAATTCAAGTTTCCATAATGAGTCTGGACATGATGTATATGATAGATCTGGCACGTGGATAGTCACCTGAGTGGATGATGACCTGTGACGTCACATTGAGGTCAGCCTCGACCAATCAGAAAACACTTTCATGAGTCGTAGGGAAAGGCATATTAAATTGTGAATATTCGAGTCTTTATGAAAACATGTCCTATATATGCAACCACAGAAACCTCTTGGACCATTTTTCTTCGACCTATGACGTCACAGGAAGGTCAAACAAGGTGAAATCGTACCGGTTTACAACGAAAAACATTTTTTTACGTAAAAGTGACTTTTCTCACGTAAAGGAGCATATTAAGTCAAGAAGAGGTTGATAAGTATTATAAATATTACTCCTGACTGATTCCAAGCACAAATACCGAAAATATTGTGACGTCATAAAAACGGTCGCTACTTTTTCAGTCATTCAAATGGCCATCTATATCTCTGGCAGTTTTAGAGATATTTTGTGAACTTTTGGCAAGGGTAACGCCCATAAGGGGTTTTCTGACATATCCCGGTTTTTCGAAAGTTTCCCCAAATTTCAAAAATATCTCGAGAAGTCTATGAGTTAGAATATCCCTAGAGCTAAGAATTTCTATATTTTGGAAATTTTGAGATAGCCATTTTGTTTGCCATACTTTTTATACCTACGATCCAATTTTTGAGTCGCTAAGTTACATCCCTGATTTTCTGCGATTTTTCTCCGTGAACAACTTTTTCGACGACAAATCGCCGAACATGACCTCAGTTTGACCTCAATAGCTCGTGACCTGAGATGACCTGGGACCTTTTTTTCAGAAGTTTTGTAAAACTGATGTCCGGAGAGGTACTGACAGTTTCAAGTCGAAATTCGCAGCCGTTCCTGAGTTATCTGCGAAAAACCACAGGAAGGGCCCTTTGCCCCCCCCCCTCCCCCAACGGGTCGCGGTTTAATAAAGGAAATATATCACTTTAAACATGAAGTTTTGAACTGGAATAGCAGTTTTGTAGCATAAACAGAGACTAGCACGAATCAGGATCTTTTACGCCCCAACGATCACCCATAAGGCAAAGATATTCTATTTCTCGTCCCGAAAAAGTGCCTTGTGGAGGAATGTCCTGCCTTGTAGAATAATGCCGAGAAAGCAGCCACCTGTTGCAGAGGCTAAGCTCAGCCAATCTGCGTGCAGTTGTTTTCTAATAAGGCAGTATTATTGGTTAACTAATATTATTAATAAGCTTCCGCCACACCACTATTTAGCCTCTACAATAGATGAAATATAGTTCTTCCTATGCGAACAGCGAAAAGTAAAAAATTATCTTGTAAATGTAGTAATCATTTTCTTTTCCGATCATATTAATGATTAAAAATCGTTAAGCTGTAGCAAAAGCTTATTTGTGGAAAGTGGCACTAAACGTATACCAACATATTACATACCTATTTTTGCTTGGAACATCAACACTTCGTTCGGCAGCCGCTATAAATGTATTATTACAGTGAATGCATCGACACTCAAAGGTGCATATACTGAGTTACTTAAACCGTAACAAAACCGCCGATGTAGTCATCCTGCGCTGGACTGTCTGAAGAAATTACACAGAGACGGCTGGCGCCATCACCTTTCTACATGTTGGTACAACGGGCCTAAGAGAGCTGAGGCTTCAGAACGATCTCGCCCTGGATGTGACCGTACATCTCCTCGCAGCAATCGTAGTGCCGTTCTTTGTAGGCCAGCGATGTCGACTCGACCGTCCAGCGTCCGTTGTCGACCATCTCGTCGGTGCTGATGGTATTGTTGTTCAGCACCAGCTCCATCTCCTCGACGTTGTGCGTCCAGGAGCCCAGTTTGAAGGGACAGGTGACGCGGTCCTGTGTGGCGGTCTTTCGGCGCTGACAGCGCACTGTGAAGCTCACCGGCGGCACGTACAACACCTTGCCGTTGCGGTAGACGACGGCCGGCATCGGCAACACCCAGTTGGCCGTCACGGGCAGCCGATCGTAGACGGCCAGGTCCGGACTCCAGATGTTGCCCGGATTGACGCGCGTATTTGTCACATTGCCGCCGCTCCAGCTCACCCGGTGATCGAGCCACTCCAGCTGCAGCCAGCCACCCAGCGTGGCCGTGTTGGCAGACTCCTGGAAGTCCACGTCAACCAGAGAAACGCCGGTGTTGACGCGGATCTTCTCAGAGGGGTTGGACACCGGTCTCACCATGAGATACCGCGTGGGGCTGAACAGAGACGGGATGGCGAGCTCTTCATTTACCTCAGTATCGCTGCTGGCCAAGCCGGCCACCGCCACCAGAAGTAGGGAGATGGTCACACGAGACATGTTTGCCCAGATCGCCACGTCAGACCTCTGTGGATTCCGTCAGTCCTCCCAAATGCTGCTCGGTGGTCCTCCTCCAGGCCTCCGTCAGCCCCGACTCCGGATGGCGGCACAACAGTCGACCAGAGACAGGCCTCGTTCAGCGGCCCTTGAAGAACTGCAGGTCGGTTCGTCTGGCACCCGACTTATGTTTGGCTTCGAGATACAAACACATGCATTTCAAAACCACTGTGACTTTTCACTGGCCAGGGTCGTGTAAACTTTGTGCGCAAGGACAGCAGTTCAATCTTAAATAAACATGGTCATCAGGCCAATTCAGAATTTCAGTCGGTATGTTTACTGTTTACCTCACGATCTAGAGTTGATCGATCCCAGAATGGGAGCTCGAATAACTGTTTATGTCTGCCGCTGAGGCCGCTCATACTTACGGTCCTAACTGATTTCTAGAACTTTGTTGCTTTGCAATGCAATCTTTTTCGCATTGAGAAACTTTGTAACGTCTGTGTAATTCAAAATCTTGTATCTGTAATGATTGAAATTGATTCAGCATTAATTTTATTTGACTTGACAATCGGTCATTGTAGGTTTGACGGCTTTTTGCCCCACCAACTTCCCCGGAAAAGCTCCACCCATGAAATTTTCCTCATAGTCAAAACATCATCCGTATTTTGAGCATCTATTCGGCTTGTGTCTTAATAATTACTTTTTCGTTGTCTCTCTGAATTTCTATGGTATGTGGACGGCTAAATAATTCAAGATTTATTGAAAAGCATGCATATCTTCATTCTCTAATGACTCTTAAGCTAAACTTTGGTCACTTTGGATAGGCGAACACGATGATGATTATTTGCATTTGTGTAGTTGTGTTGCGTAAGCTCAATGATTCTTCATTCATACGCATAATGCTATCGAGTTCCTCGCAGGGAACACGGTCTTTGGGTAGTTTTCATTTTAGAACTTACGTCCAAGGGCGTTTTGTGATCAGAGTTCAAACGTTGTTCGTCCTCTTCTCCCCCTCCCACCCATTCGGCAAGCCGTTGCAGAAAAGACATGTCCTCGCATTTCAAAACCGAGCAGCATAAATGCATCAATCATTTATTCCGATTCCAAAACATGCAGTGTAACCATACATCCCGGGTGCTCGGGTAAGTTCAGCACGGGTTTCACGTTTATTTTCGGAGCCAGGTCATCTTAGTGATTTTAGATCACTGGTTGATCGTCGTATGGGGTCTAGCAGGGTATGGGTCTAGCACTTCTTCTTGCCCTTGCAGCTCATTTTGAGACAGCACCAGCCGCGGTAGTGCTTGGGGCAGCCCTTCTTCACGCAGTACATGCCGGTGGACTTGCAGGAGGCCTTGCATTTCTCTGGAAAATGAAGAAGACACTTATTAAGAACTCAACGAATCTATTTACATGATCTAGTGTATTGATGTTTGAGGATATGGTGTAACGGCCTAGACCCTCTATTTCTAGTTTCTACGCATAAATTCGTCCCTCTTGTGTTTCGGCTTTCCTTTTGCACTTTCGCCTTTGTGATCACTTACAATTTATGCGAGTATTTTAGAAATTAGTTTGAAATTGACAATGATGCCTATTGTTTGCGTTAGGCGAATTCGTTCATGATTGAGCGATTAACGCTGCCTCAGAATATATTGTATTGTATTGTATTGCAGTATCGTATTGTATATTGTATTGTATATACAGAAGTATTGTGTATACTGCACGCACCGCGAGAGACGTAGGGCCGGGTCTTGCAGCAGTATCCGAGGAAGCCCTTAGCGCAACCCTTCTTTGAGCAGTACTTGTACTTGCCCTTGCAGGTCTTCAGGCATTGCTCTGAAAAAGCCAATGTTTTCCATAACACCACATGCAAACGTGAAGTGATTGTATTTTAGTTGGCAAGTGAATTGAAATGAAACGTGAAACGTGACATATGATTTTTGAACCCAAATTACTGCATTATATTAATCAACTTAACAACAAGTACCAATATCCAAACTTACTCTTGGTGATGACTGGACGTTTCTTGCAGCAGTATCCGCGGATGTTCTTGGAACATTTGTTCTTGGAGCAGTACCTGTACTTGCCCTTGCACGTGTGAAGGCATTTTTCTGTAAGTGATGATAGAAGAACCGTTTGTCAATGCTCTGGAAATCATTCAATAAAACTGGAATATTTTTTTTCAAACCACCATCTATCAACTTCGGCAGCTCCTTCAGAAGGATGCATAACCTAATAAGCTAAACGAGTTCAGAGCTGCCCGGTCATAACGGCCTTGAGTCCTAACATTGTGCTTTCCGTTTCTTATTTTACAGTCATACCCATTGCCCATCGGAATAACGTTTTTGTTGTGGCATCGTTGAGATTCAAAATATTTACAAAGAAAGCGCTCGATTAAGTGACTTTTTTAGTTTTCACAAAGCGTCTTACTGAGGCTGATGTAGGGCCGGGTCTTGCAGCAGTATCCGAGGAAGCCCTTAGCGCAACCCTTCTTTGAGCAGTACTTGTACTTGCCCTTGCAGGTCTTCAGGCATTGCTCTGAAAAAGCCAATGTTTTCCATAACACCACATGCAAACGTGAAGTGATTGTATTTTAGTTGGCAAGTGAATTGAAATGAAACGTGAAACGTGACATATGATTTTTGAACACAAATTACTGCATTATATTAATCAACTTAACAACAAGTACCAATATCCAAACTTACTCTTGGTGATGACTGGACGTTTCTTGCAGCAGTATCCGCGGATGTTCTTGGAACATTTGTTCTTGGAGCAGTACCTGTACTTGCCCTTGCACGTGTGAAGGCATTTTTCTGTAAGTGATGATAGAAGAACCGTTTGTCAATGCTCTGGAAATCATTCAATAAAACTGGAATATTTTTTCAAACCACCATCTATCAGCTTCGGCAGCTCCTTCAGAAGGATGCATAACCTAATAAGCTAAACGAGTTCAGAGCTGCCCGGTCATAACGGCCTTGAGTCCTAACATTGTGCTTTCCGTTTCTTATTTTGCAGTCATACCCATTGCCCATCGGAGTAACGTTTTTGTTGTGGCATAGTTGAGATTCAAAATATTTACAAAGAAAGCGCTCGATTAAGTGACTTTTTAGTTTTCACAAAGCGTCTTACTGAGGCTGATGTAGGGGCGAGTCTTGCAGCAGTATCCGAGGAAGCCCTTAGCGCAACCCTTCTTTGAGCAGTACTTGTACTTGCCCTTGCATCTCTTCAGACACTGGGCTGCAATCGAAAATTGGGTTCAGTGAGACGATCCATTATTTATAGGGGGTTGAAATGATCGATTATGGCTAAACAAAGTTGTCCAGCGTATATCATCGCAATATAAAAATGCAGCAAAGTCATTTCTTTTGGAGTGATACACCTAATTGCAAGCAGTGCAATGGTGATGTACCTTGAATCGAAGCATGAAAAGGCTAGTGAATTTCTTTTATTTTCAAAGGAAAACAGTGGCAGCGATAGAAAGCCAGCGCGCAATCAAATACTCACGTTTGGTGATTTTCCTGGGCTTGCAGCACCAGCCGATGAAGCCCTTGCGACACTTCAGTGAGCACTGTTTCCACCACACGTTGCAACGCTTCTTGCATTGCGCTGCAACAAGAGTAATTTATTTGTTATTGCTTTAAAAATGAACAGCGAGCAATAGAGAAAAATTAATGGTTGCTGAAGTATAGACACTTATTCCATAACTAGTTTAGATAGTAAAACTAAATAACTTATCTTTCCTAGGAGACGAGAACGAGTTGATGTGATACTAGGTTCAACAATCACAGTATGCAACATGGGGGCCCGCGGTCGATTTATAATTCGCTCAATGTGCACGTGCTGCGTTTATGTGTCTTTTTCTACGCTACACAAACTAATGTTGTTCAGAAGACTTACGTTTGGTGACTCCTCTACGACAGCACAGCTTCTTGCCGCATTTCACGCAGACCTTCCTCTTGAAAATACCGCACGATTGGCCGGCGCGTTTGCATTTCGGAATGTCTGCAAAAGAATAACATGGACGTGACGTGACGTGATTGGACGTGAAAAATTGCATGGCTCAGAAGAAGTGGAGCTGGACGAATCCATTTAAAAAAGCCCACTCAAAACGCAATTAGACTAGAACAAGACGAACAGATGGGATTACTTGCTACAATCATGCTCTGTATTGTTATATTCATGTCATGCGTGTTTTTCAAGCTTCACTGTTTATGACGCTATGCTGGCAGTCTGGTATACGGAACTTTATGCGTTTTCTCTAGATACGCAACATACAGCAAATCCATCTGAGCGCGACTTACAGACACAGCGACGGATCACGACACCTTTCTTGGTGCTCTGTCTGCAGGTCAAGCCCTTCGGGCACCATTTGCCACCGTAGCGGCAGTGCTTGGCAGCCGGTCCTGAGACAGAAGGCGGGCCAGTTCAGTTGACCCGGTGTCGATACATATTACACAGTGGTGAGAAATTAGGTGTGAACCTACACAAAGTATGGCACTATGCTGCTGAAAAATAGGAGCTTTGAAATTTAGTTTCTGTGATTGATTTGACTTTCCGAAATATATCTCCAACGAAAGCATGCAATGAAGATTTGCTGTGAAGGCTGAAACCTTCTCCATGATTACAAAAGAAAAATAGAAGCTCGAAAGCACTATATGGTACCAAAATTTGTAAACACTTCAGAATGGTCGTTTTAACTTATACTATTCAGCATTCATGTCATCATAAAAAAAACGTAATAACAGCATACCGAGCAGCTTCCTGCGGCGGCAGCACAATCCCTTCCTCAGGAAGCAGTACTGGCAGTTCCTGTCGTTCTTCTTGCCGCAAAGCTGGCCGTAGGAGTTGCAGGCGGGCACTGAAATGAAGCAATGTTTGACGCTTATGTTGTCAGCCAACGATGAGGTGCTTGTTGTTAATCAACATCTCATAAACAATCAGCGTTAAGATAATTACCTAAGATTTCGCTATAGTGTATACCGCAGCTATCGGCAGCTATAAGTAATATCACTAACCAATGGTGTGTTTTATTTTCATTAAAACTGGTTTTCTAGTCGTCATTGCACATTATTTTGCATATGACTATTGTCTATGCACTCATAGTGAGTCATCATGCATAACTGATAAACCACTACATCAATCTGTTAATGACATGAGCTTCACTATTTTCTTAGAGTTTTCAGTCCATGGTTTCATTCAAATTGATTCGGCAATGGTGAGATGACTTCTACAAAAAAAAAATGCTTACGTTTCTTTTTGAAGACACAAGCGAGTTTGCCGTTCTTGTACTTGCGGCACTGTTTGCCGTCGGGACAGTAGTTGCCAACCTTGTAGCAGCCCTTCTTGAAGTATTTTGTACCACACTTCTTGCCATAGACCTTGTATTTCAATCCACAGTAGTTCTTTCCTGAAACAGGCAAACATGCATGTCATTATCAAATGTCAATAGTGATTTCACTTTTTGTAAAGTGTCGCAACTAAGTTATTACGAGAACCATGGGATCAAAATGATACTAAGAACCGAATTGAGATATTTGGATAAACACCGCAAAGCTGTACGGCAAAATACTCTCCTACATTCATTAACTTGAAAAGTAAAAGTTCGCTAGGACGCATGAAGGTCTTCGTGTTCATCGGATATTATTTTTCGCTGACTATTTTAAGTACTATTACGCCGAGGGCACCATCCAATATCACCAACACTTTTAATTCTTTTCGAAAACCTCATAAGGACGGTGTTGTGCACTGGATGGCGCATGTAGTGCAGTCCCTGCGGCTTCAACAGTCTCAAAATTGTGGCTCTCTCCACTGTCCTAAACGTGTGGTTTCTTCCATTGTTTTATACTTACTGAGCAGTGCGGCACGGCGACAACAAAGCCCTTTGCGCAGGTAGCAGGGAATACACTTGCGACCAGGGGCGCAAGACTTTCCGAACTTGGTGCACTTCTTGACTGGAAGGAGAAAGAAAAAACTGTCAGATTGCGCGTGCTAGTTAAAAATCTCATTTGATAATTAAAATTCATCGTATATCTGAAAATCCTGCCATGTTTACGTGATAGTTTTTAAAAGGGTCAATTTACTTTTAAATAATGCGATTTTTTATCTAGAGACGTAGTATTCTCAGATTATTCAACATCTTACAATTTACTAGAGTTGAATGGATGGGATCAACACTCAACAGTTTATGTGAACACAATAGTACATTTTTTGAATTATTTATAATTATTTTCCCACTCACGCTCATATATCAATGAGTCTATTTTGCTTCAATATAATAGCACATCATCATAAAAAAATGATTAAGTACAAACAAAATCCCTAAAATGTTTTTTTCCGCCCACGTATTCAGGGCAATCCCCGCTCTAGTTATACACGAGCTGCAGCAAAAGGCACTAAACAACTTACCCTTGTACTTCTTGGGGAAGACACAAACGCGTCTGCCTTTGGAATACTTGCAGATCTTTCCATCCGGGCAATATTTACCACCGAACTGGCACAGATCCGCACAGCCGCCTAAAAAAATAGAGATCAATCGTCACTCTCATGAGGAAAAAGGCTAGCTCTGCTACAGCAATGGTAGATTGGTTATCTTTTATGAGTAATTAGCTTTAACATAACGGTTTGTGCTAGTATTACTTATAACAATGCTGTAGGGTATGATATAGGCTATAGGCAAGAATATCAATGTTTTTTTTATTAATTTTTTAGCATTGCATTTCAGGACGCCTAGTAGATAAGAGCGTGCATCAATGACTGTAAGAAACATATGGGAAAACTGTACTTACAATTTCATTGATCAATCGATTGATTTTAATTCATTGTTGTATTAACATAAGATATCTATTGTCAGAATATCAACATAAACTTTGTCAAAACTTGGTAAAAAGTTGCTGAGAAAACAACATCTTAATTATTTTCAGTTCTTACTAACGTTGCTTGTTGTCTCATCGGCACAATCACAGATTCTCAATAAAGCTCACAATCTACTATAGGTGCGTCCTGAGTGCCAATACTTATATGAATTGTATATCCTGTCGCGAATCTAATACTTACCGATCTTCTTGCTGTTCTGACAAATCAGGCCCGGTTTGCCCAGTCCCGGAGCACAGTTTTTGCCCTTGGAGCAAATCTCACCAAATTTCTTGCATTTGAAGGTGGCTGCAAACACATGAAAGCGTGTAAGACCTATTATAAATTCTGATCATTTATTAATTTATATGACAGGTATATGCAGCAATTTTGTGCGAACGAGAACAAGTCAACTTTCTCACCGGGGAGCGCGAGATTGTCCTAATTTGTAGTTTTTTTTTGTCGGCATTTACCTAATTTGCCTTTCATTCTAAACAGGACGAGAAAAGTTAGTACGAAGCAAAAGTGTAGAATCTATAATTATCGGACGGTTGAGCTGTCTCAGCGGCGTGCCCAACACCGCCCGCTTACCCTCCGTAGAGAGGACTGCCACGCAAAGCAGCGCGAGAAGTGAGAGGAGCTTCATGGCTGGCTCCAAAACTGGGACCGCACACCTTCTGGCTGGGACCCGCCGGTTTTTATATCATTCGGCACCAGGCCATCCTCCAAATGTCAATCAGGCGCGGCACAGTGCTGTCAGAAATCGTCTGACATATCTGTCAGATTTCCTCCCACTCTCCTGTGGTGGGGGTTACAGGAACGCAGTCAATGTGCCCACCGCCGCCGATCGGTCAGAGGGCCAGCTCCGGTTTGGGATGACATTTCGAAAAATTAATGCACGTGTTCGGTGGCCGATTTTTCGGCTGAACTGGGATCCTGCATATAGGTGCAGTGATGGTCGGCAGAAAGCCAGCTAGTTATTTCTCTTTTAACCCGCGCCCGGCTGGGGGTCCTGGATTTCCACGCCCTGCTGGGGGGGGGGGGGGTGTTTGAACACCCCCCCTTGTAACTCGGCTCCTGGGCCACGTAGCGATACGCGGAAGGCGGCGTTCGAAAGAGCGTCAAAAATAATGAGGAAATCACTTCGGTCAATTTTTTGGTCAGGTCAAAGGTCAGGTCACCAGAGGTCATTGAAGGCAAAATTTCGCCGATTTCCAGGTCGAATGTCGAAAATTTTCAAGAAGCCAACGCATAACTCGGGAACCAATAGAGCTACAGCGCCGCAGAAAAGCGCATTCGATAGCCCTATTAACGCCCTTTCTGAGTAATTCTCTCAGATTTGACCTACCGTCAACGGTTTTGCCTGCAGGGGGCAAAAACTGCAAAAATAGCCGATTTTTTCGGAAACAGTTTTTCTGCAATAACTTTTGACCCAAGCCTTGTACGAGCTTACTTTTACCGGCATCGTGTTCCTCTCGTCAAGACGCATCGAATGAACTATAACTTGACCTTGAAAGGTCAACTTGAAAATTTGACCTCAGGTCAAGGTCATGACCTGACCGGAAAGGGTCATGTTGCATATCAGTCGATCCGTATCGTCGAGCTGAACACATCTAAGGCGTTTTCATCGCTCTAGCATGCCTCTATCAAAAGTTATTTGCGAAAAACTGTTAGATACCATTCGTGACCTAAGATGACCTCAGGGCATAAACAAGGGTCACGGACACCATTTTCATGTTCTGTGTGTCTAAACCACTTGTAATTCGGTGTTTGGGAGTGTTTATAATGTCTTTCGTCCAAAAGAGGCGCATTTCAATTTTCTCCCATTGACTTATAATGGGGAGGTCGCAAAATTGACCTGACCTTAGGTCATCGATATCAAAATTCTGAGATATAAATTTTGTACATGCTATTGCTCTTAGCAATCGCTGAAAGTTTCAAAGCGATCGGTCACTCGGTGTAGCTATGACAGACATTGAAACTTTTTATGAGGTGAGGTCACTTCAAGTGACCTGGTGACCTGACCTTGAATGACCTTGGTCTGAAATTTTCACAACATGTGTAGAATTGATGTATGATAAGGTATACCAAAAACAGCGGCGCTCCGCGCCGCCGTTTTTGAGATATTCGCAAAAAACCACAAGGGGGGGGGGGTGTTCAAACACCCCCCCCCCCCCAGCAGGGCGCGGGTTAAGTGAGTTCGCTTGAATCCGGTCAGCTTTATTCTGGCCGTTTTTTGTAGAGTCATGATCGCAAATGATACAGTTTGAAAAGTTTGAAAAACTCAGGTCAACGATTTAGCCTCCAGAGAGCAAAAACTCCAAAAACACTATGCAACAGTCATTTTGTTCCTGAGTAACGACCGATTTTTTTTGGACTCATTGGGTCCCATTATAACCGAAATGGGCATTTGTTTTGATCTGAAAATGCTTTTCCGGTTTTCAGAGACGATTTTCGATTTTTGGCCCCGAAATTCGGTTTTTGGCCCACTGTGTCCGGTGTAATTGAGTAATCGACTCGCGGTAACTGTCATCGCCCTTCCTATGCCACAAGCTTTCGAATGATATCCGGTTTTGCATATTTGCGTGTAAAAATAACGTCATAAATCTATGTTAAAGTAAGAAAATATTGAAATTTTGTAAAAATTTGACTTTTTTTTCGATTTCATTTCAAAATAGAGAAAAAAACTAAAGGGCCTATCCAAATTCTGAGCCCAGTTCCTTGAAGAGCATTCAATTTCCGTTCGGAAGGTACTATTTTAGTGCATTTTATCGGTTTACTGTGGCGTCCAGATTGAGTCACTTGAAAAACGGGCCCCCAACAGATCAAGATTCTGAGCGACAGGACTGCTCAAAAGTAAGTTCCTGCGTGTGACCCGAGGTCACAAGGGGTCAACAAAATGACCTCAGTTGACCCCTCGTTGATCCTATGGCGTTAACATACGTTATCAGGTTAATGCTATGTGATAGGACTTAGGATATGTGTTTAGGTTAACTCAATCTGGACGCCACAGGAATCCGATAAAATGCACTAAAAAGGTACCTTCCGAACGGAAATTGAATGCTCTTCAAGGAACTGGGCTCAGAATTTGGATGGGGCCTTTAGTTTTTCCTCTATTTTGAAATGAAATCGAAAAAATATCAAATTTTTACAAAATTTCAACATTTTCTTACTTTAACATAGATTTATGACGTTATTTTTGCACGCAAATATGCAAAACCAGATATCATTCGAACGCTTGTGGCATAGGAAAGGCGATGAAAGTTACCGCGAGTCGATTACTCAATTACATCGGACACGGTGGGCCAAAAACCGAATTTCGGGGCCAAAAATCGAAAATCGTCTCTGAAAACCGGAAAAGCATTTTCAGATCAAAACTAATGCCCATTTCGGTTATAATAGGAACCAATGAATAAGAAAAATTCGGTCGCTTTCCAGGAACAGAAAATTTTTCATTTTTTGATGCATAGTGAAAAAGCCGTTTTATGAAAAGGTTATGCAATGACTTTTGACTCAAGGAAGTGACGACATTAACTTTGTAAGCATCGCGTTCCTCTCGTCGAGACGCGTCGAATGAACTATAATTTGACCTTGCAAGGTCATTTTGAAAATTTGACCTCAAGTCAAGGTTTCAAAATGACCGGAAAAGTCCATGCACCTGACCGGAAAAGTTCATGCATCATATCAATCGATCGTATCGTCCAGCCGAACACATCTGAGGCACCATGTCCCTATCTAGCATGTCTCTATCAAAAGTTATTGTCAAAAAACTGCTGGGGACCTTTTACGACATGATATAGCCTCAGGTACATAAGGGGAGGTCACAGACAGGTGCCATTTTTCGATTCAGCTTGTCAAGGTCACCAGTAACCCGACGTTTGAGAGTGTTTTGAACGACGTTCGTCAAAAACGGCGTCGCTCAATTTTTGTTCCCATTGACTTATAATGGAGAGTAGTGGTGTCAATTTACGGAAAATTGGAATACCGATACCAAACCAAATACCAACCAAAACCGTGGGGAAATACCGAAACCAAACCAACTTGGGAAAATGAGGGAAATACCAACTTTTTACCGATTTCTTAGCCTCTTATACATTAGTGAGGGTTCATGATACCAACAAAATACCAAACACATTACGATTGAAATACCAAATACCAAGTTGGTATCCGTTTGGTATCGGTATACCAAAAAGTTGGTATCCGATTGACATCTCTAATGGAGAGGACGCAAAATTGACTTGACCTTAAGTCACCGATATCAAAATTTCGACATAGATATTTTGTATACATTGTCACTCTAAGCAATTGCTGAAAGTTTCAAGGCGATCATTCAGTCGGTGAAGCTATGACGAGGATTCTAGCTTTTTGTTAGGTGAGGTCACTTGGCGTGACCTGGTGACCTCACCTTGAGAGACCTGAGTCTGAAATTTTCAAAACATATGCGGAAAAGATGCATGAGCACGTGTGCCAAAAACACAAGGGGATGTTCAAACATTCGCCCCGCCCGGCGCGGGTTTAGAGCCTCAAAATAAAGCAAGCATGTCAGCGGGCGTCGGATTTTTTTTTATTGACTTATGGTGTCAGTGAATGAAGATACATAGCTCTCTACGACGGATCCACCGGGCAATCCTAGTGCCTTCAATGATCCCAAATATCAGGTATCAGGTATGACATAGTTATTAGCGAGTCCTCTTAGAATTCCGTGAAACATTAAAATATTTTGGAAGTTCCGGATATACCAAAACAGTGCGGTAAAGATGAGCCTCCTCAGGACTATCGCCTGCAGGGTACTTTCCAGTGCAGTGCAGTGCAGTGCATTAAGAAGTACAGTGCAGTGAGGTGCAGTGGTGCAGTGCAGTAAGTGCAGGTTTACTTTTTCATCGATATTTTACGCTTTTAGCAGATATTTAAAATTTTATTTTGTTCTACATTTTCTACCTGCTACATTTTTCTCATATGTTTGAGTTATCTATATAACATACGCTAGATCAATATCGGGTATGTTTTTTATTATTTTGACACCATCATATTATTGACATCATTTTTCTGAAGCCCACTCGCGCGTGCCCAGGCGCTCCTAACCCGTTTCGACTTTCAAATGAGCGACAAAAGAGCACAGAGCGCCGGCCCGCCCTGCCGATCATCTGTCAAACTGCAGCCGGATATGTCATGGTGACGTCATTTGAGAGTCGCCATTTTACAACCGCACTGAACTGCCAGAGGCCGCGATTTCAATGGTGGAACATGGTTTGGTACGCATTAGGCTGAAGTGAGTTTGGTTGGTATAGCGTCTGGAAGTGTACATTCTAACATGACACAACATTTCTATTATTTTTCGAATAAAGCTCATGGTTCAAACGCGACTTGGTTTGTGATAAACTGAGAGAATTTTGAAAAACTTCTGAAACAAAAACCGTCATGTCTTGCGGTCACCGACAGCCGATAACGAGTTTTTCAGTCGCTCTCCAGATGAAGCCGTTACCTACCGTCTGCATTTATGGGCTGGTCCAAAAGACTAAAAACAGGCTCCAAATAGACGTTTAGTGTTTTTCTTTCCAGGCTTTTTAACCCGCGCCCGGCTGGGGGTCCTGGATTTCCACGCCCTGCTGGGGGGGGTGTTTGAACACCCCCCCCCCCCTTGTAACTCGGCTCCTGGGCCACGTAGCGATACGCGGAAGGCGGCGTTCGAAAGAGCGTAAAAAATAATGACGAAATCACTTCGGTCAATTTTTTGGTCAGGTCAAAGGTCAGGTCACTAGAGGTCATTGAATGCAAACTTTCGCCGATTTCCAGGTCGAATGTCGAAAATTTCCAAGAAG